GTACCATATTTAAATTTACCTTCCAAAGCTCCCAATTTACCACATAATAGTTCCATTAATTTAGCAATTGTCATTCTAGATGGATAACCATGAGGATTCATAATTAAATCAGGACACCATCCTCTTTCATTAAAAGGCATATCTTCTTAATTAACAATAAGACCAACAACACCTTTTTGACCATGACGACTTGAAAATTTATCACCAAATTCAGGTCTTCTTATTTATCTAAAGATTGTTTTTACTGTTTTTATTTTTTCAGTTCCATCATTAGTATTATTAATAATTAATACTCTATCTACAGTATATGGCCACTTTTCTTTAAATACAGATGGAGTATCTGCTATTTATATATTTTCAATTTAAGGATTATCTGGAACTTAAGGTGTCTTTTTATTAACATATATATCTCCATGATGTAATTATGCACCTACTTTAGTTATACCATCACTATCAAGAGCATGATATTTCTTAATAAATTTCTTTTTTGTATTATGTGTTTTAGTTGGTGGTTCATCAATTCTCTCATTAAATCTACTTTCCTTATTTCTTTAATTGATTTCACATTCAGTAACTGATTTTTTATAGACTGCAGTTCTACCAAATCCTCTATCTAAAGAAGATTTGTTCATTATTAATGCATCTTCAATATCATAACATGAATAACTCATTACTGCTACTTAAGCATTATGTCCAGCAGGTAATCTATGTTGATTGACAGCTTCCATAGACACAGTACGAACTAAAGGTGTTTGTGGATATATTAATTGATATAATTATGTATCACTTCTTATTTATGTATTCATTCCAATTATACCTAAAGATTATTTACCCATTTGACATTAAAATGTATTACGTGCACTTTGATTGTGATGTGGAAATGGAACTAAACCAGTTACACAACTAAGAATTGTCATTTAATCTATTTCTAAATGAGTAGTCTCAATTGTAACATCATTTATAGTTAATGCAATAAATGCATTATCAGATTCATTAACATCTAAATATTCTATCTTCCCATTTTTAACATAATTTGAAAATACAGTTTTTGCATCATTCTACTTGAAATCAATCATATCAATTTAAGTTAATTAAGGTTTACCATCTTTTACAAGAATCAATGGTCTAACTAATCTACCACTATCACCAGATATATTTACAACTTTCCTTAAATCATCTTTATGTATTGAAACAAATTCATTAATCTTACCTCTCCTTCTTAATATTCTTAATTAATCAACAAAAGTTTAAGGTCTAGCATGCATTCCCACTATAATACCATTTAAATAAACAATATAATTTTTATGAAATTCACTTGGTTTAAAATGACATATATCTTCTACTCCCATTGTTAATATAATTTTATAAACACTATCTTATATATCTTCTTAAGTTATATGTGTTAATAATGCTAAAGTCTTAACTAAACCACAATCTTCACCATCAGGAGTATCTGCAGGACAAATCATTCCAAATTAAGATCCAACTAAAGCTCTTGGTCCACTAACTTTAAGTGTTTTTTAGACTTGACTTCTCATTTTAGTTAACATACCAAGAGCAGATGTATATGATATTCTAGCTAATAATTATGTAACTCCTTATCTATCCATATGAAATCTTTAAATAGTCCATTTTCCTGTTTTAATTGCTCTATTTAATCCTTTAGTGATATCTACTCCAAATTCTTTCATTTTCATAGTAACATCTTTAGGAGTGAATTTACAATTAGCTTTACCTAATTCCTTTTTGAGTATACTAGATATAGTTGAATTTAATCCTTTAAATAAATCTTCAAATAATAATTCAAGAAGATTTCCTGCACATCTCATTCTTTTATTTCCATAATAATCTTTATCATCAACAAATCTTTTATCTTCCATTGCTAATATTAATCTTCTAACCATTTATCCTAGATATATAGCTTTAGGATAGAAATCATATTTTTTGCAATTAACATGTGCCAAAAAGACTTATGCTAATTTTTCTCTGGCTTATTCTGCTTAATTAGATGATTAACCACCAAATTTACTAGTAATTAATTTTCCAATATATTATAATGCATCTTATTAGGTTTTAACTTTTTCATCTGATGTATCCTAAAAACTCATTAANGTGGAAATGGAACTAACCCAGTTACACAACTAAGAATTGTCATTTAATCTATTTCTAAATGAGTAGTCTCAATTGTAACATCATTTATAGTTAATGCAATAAATGCATTATCAGATTCATTAACATCTAAATATTCTATCTTCCCATTTTTAACATAATTTGAAAATACAGTTTTTGCATCATTCTACTTGAAATCAATCATATCAATTTAAGTTAATTAAGGTTTACCATCTTTTACAAGAATCAATGGTCTAACTAATCTACCACTATCACCAGATATATTTACAACTTTCCTTAAATCATCCTTATGTATTGAAACAAATTCATTAATCTTACCTCTCCTTCTTAATATTCTTAATTAATCAACAAAAGTTTAAGGTCTAGCATGCATTCCCACTATAATACCATTTAAATAAACAATATAATTTTTATGAAATTCACTTGGTTTAAAATGACATATATCTTCTACTCCCATTGTTAATATAATTTTATAAACACTATCTTATATATCTTCTTAAGTTATATGTGTTAATAATGCTAAAGTCTTAACTAAACCACAATCTTCACCATCAGGAGTATCTGCAGGACAAATCATTCCAAATTAAGATCCAACTAAAGCTCTTGGTCCACTAACTTTAAGTGTTTTTTAGACTTGACTTCTCATTTTAGTTAACATACCAAGAGCAGATGTATATGATATTCTAGCTAATAATTATGTAACTCCTTATCTATCCATATGAAATCTTTAAATAGTCCATTTTCCTGTTTTAATTGCTCTATTTAATCCTTTAGTGATATCTACTCCAAATTCTTTCATTTTCATAGTAACATCTTTAGGAGTGAATTTACAATTAGCTTTACCTAATTCCTTTTTGAGTATACTAGATATAGTTGAATTTAATCCTTTAAATAAATCTTCAAATAATAATTCAAGAAGATTTCCTGCACATCTCATTCTTTTATTTCCATAATAATCTTTATCATCAACAAATCTTTTATCTTCCATTGCTAATATTAATCTTCTAACCATTTATCCTAGATATATAGCTTTAGGATAGAAATCATATTTTTTGCAATTAACATGTGCCAAAAAGACTTATGCTAATTTTTCTCTGGCTTATTCTGCTTAATTAGATGATTGACCACCAAATTTACTAGTAATTAATTTTCCAATATATTATAATGCATCTTATTATGTTTTAACTTTTTCATCTGATGTATCCTAAAAACTCATTAATAATTTCTCTACTATACTTGGTTCAGTTCCAATTAATTCAATAATCTCTTTATCATTAACAATACCTAATGCTTTAAATACAATAAAAAGAGGAGCATCTTTAAAACTTGAAGATTTCACATAAAATTTATTCTTTTTTAAAATTATTGATGCTTTTGATTTAGTTTCTAATTGATAAGATTAAACTGTAGACACATATTAATCTGTCTTATTATCAATATCAACAATAATTCTATTATCAACAATCTATTCTAATATTAGTATAACTTTTTCATTGCCTTCAATAATAAAATATCCTAAAAATCTAAATAATAATATTCTTACCTTTTGGATCATATGGACATTCTCCATATTAAAAAATCTCTTATTCAGTTTTACCTGATAAATTACATTTTTTAGATCCCAACATTATTGGCATTCTTCCAATTAGTATGTCTTTTTCTTCAATTGGCTCTCTACCCTTCATATGAATACGTACATTCACACTATTTAAATTTGAATATTTCTTACTATATATTTCCTGCATATGTCTAATCGTTTAATCTACATTCATGAGGATATAAGAGACTTTTCAAAGAGTATTTATCCCAACTACTGGTGAATGTTGGATTTTCTACTCTTATTGATAAATATCTAGATGCTTATGATGAGCTTTTATTACTCCAAAAGGAAAGATGAATCACTTTCACAAGTAATTCTCTAATTCAAAGGAGATTTCACTATCTATTCTAATCTCTATTCTATAAAGTAATTGAATGAATCAATGTGTTGTTTTTATAATCCACGAAAAGATAAATATGAAGTGATTAGTTTATCCTTCTCTGTAATCATTAATTTTATTAATTATGGGTGATAATAATTCTAATAATTCTGATGGTATGCAATTATTAAAGACTCTTCTAACTGCAGATGTACCCTCCGAAGGATCTGTTATGTAGTCTATTAGAAATGTATATATATAATTTCTATATAATAGAAAGTGAATTCATTACTCAATAATAAATAATAGATATCCATTTTATAAGAATTACAATAAGCGTATTAAATCATTTGATTATCATTTTAGAAATCTTGATAATGAATTCAAAGAAATGACTGATAATACATTAATGGGACTTAATGCCATCTATTTTTCATCGGTTATACTCACTTAATTTATGTTCACTAGAAAAGTCAGCAAAGTTGTATTTCTTCTCAGTTGTGCTTATTTCAACTTCTACATCATTCAACCAATTGAAATTGAATACAAATTACGTAAATTAGCATTACAAAATACTCTTGCAGGATAAGAAGTTAGAAATCTTTATAGATTTTATTTTAAAGATCATGAATTTACTAAAGAAATGACAGAAAAATGCAAATTGTAAACATAAGCAGATGAAATAAAAAAATAAATATATTCCAGAAAATTATGAGATTGACTATTCTCATGTAATTATATTTTGAATTCAATTATAAAATAGGTAGAATTATCAAATATACTTAAAAATTAATAAATTCTAAATCTAATTATTCATATGAAATAATTAAATCAATCTTCATTCATTCTTGTTTTATATTTATCTAATTTTTAATAGAAGGTTTTGTAGATATTAGTAAATATTAAAGATATTATACAAACATGGTCCTATCATTTTGAGGGTTATCACTTTTATATATGGCCAAAAAGATTCTATTGAAAGTAGCTGCTGATTCCACAAGACAAGATTAGTAAGTAAATATTGCTTCCAAAATATAATTTAATCTTTGTATTGGGGTTCATGTATTTACTCAATTGAATAAAATTTTCACTATTATATATTGAATTTCATGTCAAATTAATAAAAGTCAATAATTAGAATGGAAAATTAAAAATAAGTTTGCCAATATATTTTCATTATATTGGGCTCTTTTGAAATACAAGTTTTATTATTATTTTTATATTTCTCTTTGATTTCAAATACTATTTGAACAATTAAATATTTGTTATAGTATTTTAACATGTTATTTCATCAATATATATATAATATTATAGAAATTATTAAAACATTCAGTGGTGCTAAATCATTTCCTAATTCTCTTAAATAATATACTTCAGAAATAAATTGAATTTTATAAATGATAAATATATACATACTCAGATTTCTTTTAAACTCACAGGATCAACTGAAAATTCAATTTCAAAGGCAGTGGGTTTAAATCTCTCATTATAAACTAATTAGAATCTTGGTTGTCTGATTGGGAACATTTTGTAAGCATAAAGTGAATGTACCTTGTAACCTCTTTCTTTTGTTTCTTATGTAATCACTCTCAAAGTATTCAGATAATGTTTATAACAATTATTTGCACATTTGTTCTATAATAATTAGCCATCAAAGCATGTTTCAAAACACTCTGCCACTAAATCCAAATTTATCTAAAATATACCATACTTTTTATATATCATCAATTAATTCTTTTCTTTCTTCATTATTCATTAAGGGTTTAAAAAAAAATAAAATAATAAAATAAAATTAATCACTCTTTTTCTTTCTATTCTAGCTTCTCACTTAGTTCTAATATGACATTATCTCTTAATTCAATTTCATCTTATAAATTACTGAATTATGCTTCAATTGCTGCTATTCTTTCTCTCAACTAAAAATAATCCTTCAAATAATTGTACAATATCATTTTCATCAAAACAATGCTTCAAAATCAACTTATGCAATTTTAATTATTGTATAAGTGTTTACTTATCCATGTTCTCAAATTACTACTCATCTAATGTTCCTTTCACATTATTAATTTCTGCATTTGTAGGTTGTACTTATTTTTCTGCATTTCCAGTCTTTTCAATTTTCTCCCCAAGTGTTGTGGGTAATTTCTCACCTTTATTCACTTAACTTACATTAGAGAATGGAATTCTTGTAGTAGCCATTTTAATTATATTAATAATAATTATTTAATATAAACCCGCGCTTTCAATTCAATAATGTCCCGCTCATTCATTACCATATAAAACATATTCTTAATAAATTTACATTTATGTTAAATCAATTAATAATAATAATATTATAAGAAATAGATAAAGCAAAATATCATTATTTCGGAAGTGAGTCAATCTCTTCTTAAAGGATATTTTAAACACATTTTGGATATTCATAATTCTTATATCCACGAAATAATGGAGTATATTCTTTCTAAATTAAATTAATTATTTAATTTTTTACTAAATATGCCAATATATTTTTAGCCATTTAATCCTTCTTTATAGTAAATGATGGAATTATCAAATCTGGTATTGTTGGAACATTCTCTCTATTATATACTCTTAATTTATGTTCTTCAGGATCCATTCTTCCATTCCCCTTTTATATTTTATTTTTTGTTGTAATATTTAAAATTGGAGGCTTCTTTTTAAATTTCTCTTTATAGATTATATCATATTACTGCAAATAATACTGGATTTTATCTTTTTTCATACATCCTTTGAAGTGTATGGTCATAAATCTATTCTCTCTTTTTCACTTATTCAGAATACGAAGTCTTCTCACTCACTGTTATATTTTATTAATCTTGAACTCTTGGTTCTTCAGACAACAATTCTTAATTATCTTCTTCTTATTAAGAAGGCTCTTCTTCTTATTAATTAATAATTTGAGGATTTGTCATAAAATCTATTTCTTTTTTATGATCTTCTTCATTTTCATATAATTTTTATAATTCTTATTTTTCACGTTATAATTTCTCTTATCTTTCCCTCTCCATTACTTTACGATAAGCTTGAATTTTCTTATCTATTTATTTGATTGCTTCAGGTATAGGAATTGGTTTTGGAACATACTAAATAATATTAAAAATTTATTACTGGTTAAGCATACTGAATAGATGGTTAAGGAATAACAATCATCTCCTAAGTAGCTTTTGGTTTTCGACTTTCTTGATAATGAAATGAAATTACAAAAACCGTTATGCATTTCTCATTTGAGGAGGATGTTCACTTTCTTCCTTATCATTTAGAAATCTTGCTTTTTAATTCTAAGATTTTGCTTTGTTTTCAAAGTTATGTTTTTTTGAAATGAACTTTTCTGACATTTACTTAATTATTTTATATATATATATTATATATATAATTTCATAAGATAAATCAATGTTTTTGAGAACAATTATGAAAATTTAGATTGTTCAACATAACAGTCTATAAATCTGAATTCAAATCTTATAATATTAGTGAATATTCATGGATTGACTATTCCAAATCAGAAATATATGTTTATTTCTATTCAATAATATACTTAACATCATCTAACATTTATTCATAATAGATTTTCTAATATTAATTATGTCTTAATTATCTTTCTGTTTATTATAATTTTGGTGCTGTAATTTCTATTTTTTTAGTTAATTCAATTCTCTATTTTTATTTATTTTTTATTCTCTTTTTTTCTTTTTCTAATTCATCCAATTCATTTAAAGCAATTTCATCTTACTCTCTGAATTCAATGAATTATTATTTTTAAGTAAAAGGTGCTTTTTAAAATGCCTTTGAATCAACCTCATAATCAAGTAAAGATATCTAATATTTATCATTTTAAAGTTCAATATTTTTTTAATACTCTTCTTCTTTACATTTACTTAATTTCTCTTAAATCTTATAAAAGTTATTTGTTTATTTTTCCTCTAATTTTGAATATTATTAATATTGAATTTTAACTCCATTAAATAGAATCCTTTTTTCTTTTAATTCCTTTTTTTCATTTTATAATTTAATTTCTAGCTTCTTTATTTTGATATTAGTTTTTTCTATTTCTTACTTCAATTAATCAATTTGTTTATTAGTACCTTAATACATATATTATTATTTTTTTAATTAGTTTGTTAAAATTAAATAATTTAGTGATATAATTATATATTTTCTGTTTAGAGATTTCACATATATTTTATATTATAATTTTATATATCTGTTTTTATAAATAATCTATTATTGTATAATAAAAATCAGAAACTCATATTAATGAGCACCATCCTTATTTTTAATTTTATGTATCTTCTTCTACTTTCTTGAATTATTTTTTTTGAATAATATCATTAATAAGACCAGTAAACATTTAATTGACATTTGATCCATTTTTGGCTGATGTCTCATAAAATAATGCTTAGAATTAAGCAGCTAACTACTTTCCTTCATCATGTGTAATAACTCTTTCAGAACCTAAATCAGTTTTATTTCCAACAATAACAATAGATGGTACCTATTCTTGCATCTTAAATAACTATTAAAATAACAATAAAGTATTTTTGATATCTTCAAAACTTTCTAAAGAATTTATTGCATATGTGAATATTAATCCTTCTTTATCCTTCATCCATTAAGTTCTCAATGATGTGTATGCTTCTTAACCACATGTATCTGATATCTTCATTAATTGATATATAATTTACTTCAATTTGACAATGTTACTCACCTACAATTACTCTTTTTGTGTATTTATCTAAAAGAGTAAGACTATAATCTTCAAAAAATTCATTATTAACCCATCGAGTTGTTAAATTAGATTTTCCAACAGAACCCATTCCTAATAATGAAATTCTATATTAAACTAATTATTTTGATTCAGCTGAAGAATTTTAAAAATTAGAATTAAAATTATTAAACTCCTCTCCCTATATTAATAATACATTTTAGATATACACTAGATATGAAATAATTCCCTCCCATTTATATTCTATCAATGTCCAATATCTCTTTGCCTGATTGATCAAATATCCTAGAAGCTCTTAGTTCTAATAATGATGATGTCCAGAACCTAAAACAGTTGAGCACATTTGCATAAATTTCCTTCTATCAGTTTCTTTTCTTAAATAATGCACCTTCATTGATTTACGTGGATTTGCATTATTATATATTTGTATTGTAACATTATTGGTATTTATCATATAAATTATTATATTTTCTTTATAATTCACATTATATCAAAATAAAAAAATGAAGAGTAAAACAAAGTACCTTTCTTACTGTGACATTAGAGTTTGAAATAAAAACAAATACATATAATTTATTTAAATATTATAAACATATTTTGAGAGTATAAGAGTATATTAGTTCAATGCTGTTTTTTTGTATTAAAATGGCTTAAGTAATTTTAGAGAATGGTTTTTGCAAATGGTTTAATTCTGTTGAAGCAACTTTTCAATTAAGTATCTGATATTTATGCATGTTTTGATATGATGGTTAAATTGATACCACCATATTATGAATAAATAATATCAGAAGCCATTTTTATTGCTAAGGCATTCTATATCTAGTTTGGTAGTTTAATTACTAATTTTCTAATTGTATTCAACATTATTTAACAAGCTTTTGTAGCCTTATTATCCATTTTAAGTTTCTTGCATAAATTAGATAGATTATTGTTCAGTTGAGTCTCTATCAAAGAAGATAAAAATTGAATCTTTGGATTAGCAATTATGGGTTCAAAATTAAGTTATTTCATTGCAATATAGATTACTGCTTATGCATACTAAGATGAGTTAGGTATTTAAATTGATGATAAAATTTAAACACATTGTTTTTCTATCTCCATGTTAAGATTCATTTTCACAATTTAATGGCTAATTTCTTCATATATGGAAATTTATTTTATGGGAGTTTATTCACTTTCTGTAAATTTTGGAATGGGCGGCCGTTTTGACATTCTTATTGATAATTTATTAATTAAAATCCTTTATTTCTAATTAATTCATCAAAAAAGACATGACAACTAAACATACAAAATTTGATAATATCTATATTCAATCTAAAATCGAATTTTAAATTTACTAATTTCCTTTTAAAAAGTAATAACTATTAAAATATATATATCAATTCTAATATAATTTTAAAGTAAATATAAGTAATATATTCTATATTATCAAATGTTTTAGACAAATAAATGCCGTTATATCAATTTCAAGAATTGATTTTCAGTTTAATTTCACTTTTTCATATTAAATATTACCAATTTATTTTAGAATGATTTCAAATGAAAAGGCATTAAACGTTTATTAGTAAATATTATTATAGATCTTAAATTCATAGATAAAATCATTACTTTTTCACCAAAAGAATATAAGTAATAGAAATAAATTAAAATAGTTTTCATTCATTTAATTAATTTTAGAGTCTTTCTAATTTTTGATATATTTTTTCTCTTTTCCTCCTCAAATTACTATTTATATTATAATTAAAAAAATCATTAAATAAATTATGAAATATCATACTAGATTAAATAAGATAAATAGTTTAAAAAGGAATGTAATTTTGATTAAATCAAATAAATCTTTACTCAAAAATCATATGTTTTGTTATATTAATAATCTTGAGAGAATATTTTTAATTTAAATAAAAATGTTGTAATTTATTGAATTTTAAGTAACAATTTTATAGTGGAATATTAACAATATCATATATGATATATGGATTTATTAGTATTAAGACTGTAAAATAATATTTATAATTTTAAATAAAGTATTTAATATAAATATGATTTTAATAACATCTTTTATACGAATTGGTTATATATTATAAAGAATACTTATAAAAAAATCTTATTTTCTGATTTCATTTATATAATAAACTCTTATATTTTGACATGTGAAATCAAATTAAAGGTATTTTTATTTGATATAAATTATATGATATTTAATATAAGAGGTGGTAAACAAATAAAAGTATCAAGTAGTCAACCTTTTTTAATGTTATTGCATTTAAGTAGAATTTCTTCCCAAGCGTCACTTGACTATTTAGGTCTTCTTCTAAAATTTGTCTCAATCATTCTTTTTAGTTCCTTTGATTTATTGTTTGATGGAGTTTGAGAACTATAATCTGGATATTCTATTTTGATCTTATAAAGAGAGGATTTAGGTTATGGAAGTTAAATAAGATTCTTTGTTTAATTTTCTTTGTCTTCATCTTCTAATTGCCATCTTGAAACAGTGAGTTCTTATTCTTGAAAGAATTCGATATCCGTTGATTAATTTATCATTATTTAATTTATAGAGTATTGATAATCAAAATTGGTTATATAATTGTGTTCTTTCATACTTATAGAAATTATGATTGTCTTTTAAATCTTCCTTGTCTATTCTCTCTTTAGATTCACATATTTTATATTTTTATCTACAAAAATTATGGTTTTTCTTAAACTCTTTAAACTTAGATTAATCCAAATTATATCTGTTTAAATTACAGTAATATTTTAATTGTTTGCTAACCCAATACATTTATAAATAAATCTCTTAAATCTAATTCATATCATGAATACTCATTAATTTAGACAATAAATCAATTGTCTAATTTTGATATGAAATTAGATCTTTAATAATTAAATCAAAACAAAAACGAAGTTTCTAATTTCTCTATCCTTCAATTATTCTCAATCCCAAACATTATATATTTTAGATTACGAAACAATCTATAATTGGTATATCACAAAGTTATTGCATACACACTCTTTTTAAATAAATATAATAGACTTATAAAATCTATTGATAAGTTAGAGGTTCTCTCAATTCTTAAAAATAGATTTTCTTATCAGTCATACTCTTCCTATAATCAGGTTCATCTTTAAAGTAATTTTACTATAAAGTTTGTTTAGGTGTGTTATCCCAACTAGGTGCCACATTCAAACTTTTAGATATTGTCAAGTTTAATTCAGTAGGTAATCTCTCTAATGCAAAACTAGTATTGAGAGTATTTGATATCATGCTTATATTACAATCAGCAAATAATTCCTTTGGAAGTTAACATTATTGAATCATCTAATGAAATACACTTAGGAGTCGTATTATTTATTCAGGTTACAAAGAACAATCAAATGGTTTTGATAGTTCTTGGAAAACTTTCTAAAGGCCTATCAAAATGCCATAGAAACCATACCAATTTTTAGTATCTATTCACTTAAACTGTCAATCTCATCATTTTTATGATTCATCATATGAATTAGAATTGATTTAATCATTTTTTAATAAATAATAATATCAGGAAATGAATCTCCCTGTAATAGGATCTCTACTACCTTATCTATATTAAGGAATCTCAGAAATATTGAATGATTGATGTTTTTTATTAGAAATTGGATTCCAATAGTCAAAAGCAGATGCCTTTTTTATTCGTTCTTAATTAGACTAATAATAATAACATTTTAACAATATACCTCATGATTAGTAATGATATCATATTTATCTGGTTTTGGATGATAAACTAATTATCTTTGTGGTGGTTTAGGTTCCTAAGCAATTAATTAGGTAGTTTTATAATTTGGTTTATCATCACCCATCACTATTTAAGTGGCCATTAATGTAAGCTTATCTCTCATAGGTTTAGCTCTAGGTGGATTCTGATAATCCTTATAATTCTTATATTCAGAATTAAAATGAGTATCCTTTTTATAAGGTACATTTATATGATCAATATGTATAGTAGGTGGATGAAGATTAGCACACTATAAGATGATTATAATATATCTACATTCTCCCTTTTAACTATTTCTTAGTTTGGTTTGTAATCTACTTCATAAACAGTTTCATTTGATTATTGCCATGGTTTCCATCCAATGTTATAGTGATGTTGTCTTTATTCTGTAGCAATTGGTGGAGCATACTTGCCTACTCCAACATTCAGATTTTCAGAAACCCCTTTAAATACACCTTTATAACCTTCAGTCTAAGGTCCTGGATCTCGTTGAATTTTACGAACACTCATATTATATTATATTAATCATAATATTTTCTTACATTTCCTAATTCTAAATAAAATTAATATATAAGGTCTAGATAGATATTTAAGAATAGATTTTATTTGTATAATTATATTTTTATGTTTTTCTTATTGTAATATTTAAAAAATGATGAATTACAAAACTAAATATAATAATTAGTGAATTAATAATTGATTGTAAAAATAAATATTTTTTTTAATCAATTTGTTATGAAATTAGATTATATTTGTTGACCTAATTCTATTCTAACCTTCTCCATAATAGTGTCAATTATATCCTCATTGTTTTCATCTTCTTATTAAAAATATTTTATTTTTTCTTTGTGTTAAATGTCCTTTAATTTTTCCAACTATTTCTTTTCCTTTAATTTTTAAAGCTATTTTTCTTTTTTATGTTTTTCATAAAGAAAATCACTAAAACTCTTTATATTATCTTAACAATTACAATGATTGAATAGCTTTAATATGGTGAAAAGGCTTGTACTACTTTCGGATTCAATTTTAAAGGAACTCTTCTAAATTATTGATTATATGATCCCAGTTGCTGTGCTCTAGGTAATGATATAAGGTCCTTAACATTTGGTTCTATTATCATTCTTGCATGTATTCTTTTGGTAGAATTCATATTTGGATTAGTAGCTATATGTAATGAAGGAAGAGAAGGTTATCCTTTTTCGTGCATATATTAATATATTTAATTAATTAAATAATTCATTTAACTTTATAAGAGTTTTTTTGTATTTTTATTCTTCATCTTTATTAAATAAGAGGTTAGATCCATTAGAATTATCAATCAAATATAAAGATATGGGTTTAATTATTGAAAAACACTTTCCAGTTATCATTGGTCAAAATTTACCAGAAAAATAATTCTTATTTCATACTTAAATGCGTTTCTGCCAGAACTAGTAAGTTAATATCTTATGTTATGATTCTCAGATTTTTTAATGACAAATAATTCTTCTCATCATGACTTAAAACTAAACCCGTAGTTGGCTTAATCTCATGACCATCAAAATCAAATATAAAAACTGAGCCAATTTGATTTTCAACACTAGTTTCACCAAATGGTTCTGAGTATTTAAATATATTGTATCTCATATATCAAATCATAGTTTCAATTACTTATATTGATATATGAGATAATTACAGTCTGTTCTTTTATAAATTTAATTGTTCTTATTTGACCTTTAACTTATGATTTATTACTAAACATTTTGAAATTAAGAATCTCGTCTTAATTTATTACAATATCAGATGAACTAAATAAAGAAACAACAATAAATAATAGAAATAATATTAAAAAGTCTACCACAATTTCTTATGTTCAAATAAAGAATTAATAAAAATATTAAGGCTATTATTAATAGTAATACAATTATTTATGCAAATACTATAATATTGAAATAAATGAAAAATAATGATTACATCTTTATTTTCAGTTTTTAAACTGTATTTTTAACTTTAAAAAATGAAACTGAAGTGAAATTCTCTTTGATTAAAGAAAACCTGAAAATCTTATTTATTTTATATTCAGACTAGAAGTGTGTTTATTATTTATTAGATAATTGATAATATATTAGATTTTTTTTAAATGAACAGAATTATAACAATAAACGATATAATTATCTTCTTTAGCCAATTTTTATTGTGATTAATATAAGTATATTCTCAAGTTCTTGTAAAGGTGTAATTTTTATTTAGAAAATAGTTTATTAATTATTTTTATATACTTGTCAAACTCCTATTGTTTTCAGAATACAAATTGCATAAGTATTATGGTTAAAACTGTTTTTATTTGTTTGGATAAGTAGCTATTTTATTTTTTGATTTGAGATGCAGATATTTGATGAAAAATATTATTATTTTTTTAAGAAGTTAAATATTTTCAATTTTTTCTTTTATGTAAAATACAATAGAGAAGTTGAATATTAAATGAAATTCATATAATATTGAATGTAATTCTAAGAATTTTCTTATTTTTAAGATTCTTTAATTATTTGTATTATAAATGAAACTAAATTAAAACTATTATAGGTGAATTAAAATAGTGTAAGAAGACCAAATATTGGATTGACGAAGATAATTTGATGCTTGAAGGGGAATTTTTAAGATTAAACAATTAATTTTATATTAGTTTTTTATAAATAAACAATTAGATTAAATAATTTTTTTCCACATGTTCTAGAATATTCAACTTATATATTTTTAAGAAAAGTGAAAAACAAATTAATATTATTTATTTTTTCACACGTCACAAATTATGAAAACAATAATCCTCATCGTACTTCTACTCGGAGCATGGGCATAAGAAAAGACAAACAAAGTTGAATGCCCTGTCATTGGTATTGATTTAGGTACAACATATTCTTGTGTTGGAATTTATAAAAATGGAAATGTAGAAATCATTCCAAACGAATAAGGAAACAGAATTACACCTTCAGTTGTAGCATTTACTGATGAAGAACGTCTCATAGGAGAGGCAGCTAAAAACTAGGCAGCCATCAACCCTGCTAGAACACTTTATGATGTCAAAAGATTGATTGGAAGAAAGTAAGAATTTTATCTTATTATATTATAGATATACAGATTCAACAGTTCAATATGATAAAAAGTTTATGCCATATGATATTGTTGATAAAGACACTAAACCATACATTAAAGTCACTAACATTAAAGGTCATTAATCTAAGATCTTTGCCCCTGAAGAAATTTCTGCTATGGTTTTAACTAAAATGAAGGAAATCTCTGAAACATATTTAGGAAAGAAAGTTATTAATGCAGTTGTCACAGTTCCAGCCTATTTCAATGATGCTTAAAGATAAGCTACTAAAGATGCAGGAACTATTTCAGGATTGAATGTTGTTAGAATTCTTAATGAACCAACAGCAGCAGCCATAGCTTATGGTCTTGATAAGAAAGATGGAGAAAAGAATATCTTAGTCTTTGATTTAGGAGGTGGTACTTTTGATGTTTCAATCTTAACTATTGATAATGGTGTCTTTGAAGTCGTTGCTACATCAGGAGATACTCATTTGGGAGGAGAAGATTTTGATTAAAGAATTATTGATCATTTCATCAAGGTTATTAAGAAGAAACATAACAAAGATATCAGTGCTGATAAAAGAGCCATTCAAAAATTAAAGAGAGAAGTTGAAAAATCAAAGAGAGCTCTCTCTGCTACTCATGAAACTAAAATAGAAATTGAAGATTTAGTTGATGGTTTAGATTTCAATGAAGTACTCACTAGAGCTAAATTTGAAGAATTGAACAATGATCTCTTTAAAAAGACAACTGGTCCTATGTAAACTGCTTTGGAAGACTCTAAATTCAAAAAGACTGAAATTCATGAAATCGTTTTGGTTGGAGGATCAAGCAGAATTCCAAAAATCAGATAAATTGTTAAAGATTTCTTTAATGGAAAGGAAGCTAACACTGGTATCAATCCAGATGAAGCTGTTTGTTATGGTGCTGCCATCTAAGGTGGTATTATTTGTGGTGAAGAATCAAATGAAACCAAAGGTTTAATTGTTATTGATGCAACACCTTTGAGTTTGGGTATTGAAACTGTTGGAGGAGTCATGACTAAAATCATTCCAAAGGGATCTTATATTCCAACCAAAAAATCTTAAGTCTTTACAACCTATTAAGATTAATAATAAACTGTTACAATTTCAGTTTTTGAAGGTGAAAGACCACTTGTTAAAGATAATCACAAATTAGGAACTTTCGATTTAACAGGTATCCCACCAGCTCCTAGAGGAACTCCTTAAATTGAAGTTACTTTTGAAATTGATGCCAATGGTATCCTTTAAGTTGCTGCCTAAGATAAAGGAACAGGAAATAAGAATCAAATTGTTATTACTAATGATTCAGGTAGATTATCAAAGGAAGAAATCGATAAAATGTTGAGAGAAGCTGAAGAGTTTGCTGAATAAGATAAAGCTGCTAAGGAAAGAATTGATTCTAAGAATTCTTTGGAAAGTTATATTTATTCAATGAAAAATCAAATTGAAGTATGATTTTAAATTTATATTGTTAGGATCCAGAAAAATTGGCTAACAAATTATCTGATGATGAAAAAGATACTATTAAGGATGCATTAAAGGATAGTTAAGATTGGTTAGATAAAAATTAAAATGCTGAAAAAGAAGACTATGAAGAAGAACTTAAAGAATTGGAAAAGTATATATATAAATTAAATATTTAGAATCTGTAATCCAATCATTAAGAAAGTTTACTAGTAATCTGGAAGTTAATAATAAGCATCAGATGACGATTATGATTCCGATTTATGATTTATGTATATTTCTGTGTGTTTTGAATTAAATATTCAATTAAACTTAAGTGTTTTTTCATATTAATTAAATAAGTTTGATTAAAATAATGATGTTTTAATAAATGATAAATATTTAATTTCAAAAAAATGCTCACATGTAAAAAGGAAATCTTAATTAAATCTAATTGGATGGATAATATAATGGTTTTTATTAATTATATTACTAATTTTATTAATATAATAGAAAATGTTATTAGGCTTAAGAAACAGAATTCTTGATTTAATATTGAGGATTTTACTAGGTAATGCATAATTAAGGAAGGTTTTGAATAATACTATTTTATATTGGTTAGGCTAGAATTATGGGATTGGTTACATTAAAAATCTTATTTGCATTATGTTTCTTGTTTTTATTCTTATATTTAAATTGATTCTTTGATTATGCAATTATTATTGACTTTCATTTTTATATCTTCTATTTTTATTTAAGGTTTTAATGATGCTTCTCTTGTTTATCTTATTTTAATTTAATATTCATCAATCAAATTATAAATTTGTTAATTTGAATTTTATATAATATTTAGAAGTAATTCTCTTTCTTCTTCATTTGTCAACTTTAATAAATTAAGTATATTTACTTATTCTTGTTTTAAATTTCTCATAATCTCATTGTATTGATTCTTAATTTAATACTCACTTCTACTTTTAATGTGATTTTGAATCAAAGACCATCTTTTTCCATATTTATAAACTAATTATATTAAATTTATCTTCTCTTATTGATTCCATAGACATTTTTGGATAGATGGATTCAAAACATTCTTCCATCTCTCTCTAATCTATTTAGGATATCTTTATGTTCTAGAAAGAGAATTAAATTTCATTGTTAATTCAGTCCAATTATTTGTATCATAAAATTATCTTTAATATAATATAAATATGATTTACTAAGCTACATCTTTAAGAATCTAGTCTTCTTCTGTTGTCCATTAATGAATCCTATAATTGGAATGTAACAATGAAATCCATTTTAATTTAATCAATTATGAATCAACTTGTAATAATTCTGAAATGATATCCCAATCTTGATCATTCTATTAATATACTGATATTATACAGGTACTAAGTTTATTCTTTGTTAAACCTTTAACAATTTTGCTACACACCAAATTAATAAATATTTGTCCATTTAATGCCATTTTGTTCTATTTTTAGAACTAGTGATACTATAAATCAAGTAAACATTAACTTTGAAAATTCATTTTGATAATAATCTATTATAGAATCATCTCTAGGAAATTTAGATAATTTTATTTTGACATGTTATCCAATCATATCATAATCAAGAGGAATTGCATTCTTTGTATACTCTAAGAATTTATGCCATTTAGATTAGGTTCCTTCACTCAAATGCATCATAAAATTTAAATATTTATATCAAGATTCAACTCTTATTTTCTAATTAAAAATCATTTTTGTTCAAGAACATTTTCATTTTGTTCTAAATATTTACATTTATTTGAATTACATGATTTAACATCACTTAAATTAGTAATATTCCCTAAAAATCATGCTAAGATTGCCAATCATGGACCTTTTTATTTTAATATATAAATTCAATGTTAATAATGCAATTATTTACTCTATCCATAAATTTTCTTAATAACTATATATTATTGTTCTATCTTAATGTTTTGCAAGTGTTTTATATTATGTTTTAACCTTCAATTAAGGTATATATTTTATCGAACATCAATAGAATGAAATTTTTTTGAATATTAAAATTTCCCTTTTTCATCTCCTATTTAATTAAGCATTTACAACTTTTAAATATCAATAAGCTTAAAAAGTAAAAGGGGATCCTTACTTTTTAACTATGTAGGATCAATATCATTAATAATTAATATTCAACATTATATATTTAAAAACCGACAATATTTTATTGGAATACGAACTCAAAATAGTTACTTTTATAGACAGAAAAGAATATTGTTTAAATAGTATTAATATTTATAGGTTTTTATATTTTGAATCATTCAACTACTTTAAAATAAGCAAAATTTTTTTTCTTTTAAATAATTAAGAGATTAAATCAGAAAAAATTTAAAGAAAACTAGATTTATATTTTTAAAACATATATAAAAATTAAAAAAAGAGCATTATTTATTCTTCATCTAATCATTAAATATAATTAAATTCACTTTGAAATGTTCATTAAAATGATTTAACCAAAATTATCAATTAATAATATATATTAACTGAAGAACCATTATATTTTAGAAGAAAAAAAATATTTAACGAAATGGATTATTATTAATTATTAATTTAATTAATTTTCTATAAATAAATTAATAACATATGTTTTATTTTTATTGTAATAAGATCAAATAAAACTTACAAAAAATTTATTTTGATATTTCTATTTTTCAAGTAAATTTATATTAATTAACTTTTTTATATAAATCAATATTCAAAAATAAAAGTTTAATTATACAAGAATCAATTCATTAACAAAGTTAAATAATTATTTTATAATTTACTAACTTTTATGAGTAAAAGATTATTAGAATTTGGTTGAATATTTTGAGATACAATGAATTAATTTCATAAAAAGGCTAAAATATGTAAGTGATATACTTTAAATTCTGAATGTTAAATATCATTTTTAGAATCTATTAATGAAATGAATTCATTAAATTTTTATTAATTGAAATTAAATGAATTATTAAGAAAATTGTAAATGTGAGATTATGTATATATATTATCACACCTTTGTTAAACAAATGCAATTATAATCTCTTCCTCTAAGTTCTTGATTTTTGATGTTCTCTGCTCTTAGAGATGCTGCTCTACTAATTTTATCAACTCCTCCAAATAATCTTTATTGTGTATTCTGACATGGATTGATAGTTCTCTTGTGCATCCATTTATAATCCATCTCAAAAGTTTACACAGGATATTATCCTAACTTTCTTGTTTGATTGATTTAAGTTAGAGAATCATCATATTTTCTGTTATCAAATTCAATATTAGGATTAGCGCTTGAATATTTTTCCAATGCTAAAAAATGATATATGTAATTATACATTAATATCTATTGATTGAATGAATCATCCTATTTTCTTATTTTTGCTTATATTTTTGATGCTCATCTTTGTACAATTCAGAATTTTCAATAGTAGGATTGTCAATTCCAATTATTCCTGATCTAATATTAAAAATTCTTCTACTTATAGGCTTATCTAATTTTTCTATAGGCTTTGTTAGCTTCACTAAATTCTTCTCTCCATTAATGAAATCTTTATGATTGATATATAAATATAATTTACTTTTTTTATTATTCTTGTGTTTCTTTGAGTTCAGCTAAATATCCTGATGGCTTTTTAAGTGTTATTACTTATGATAAGGCTAGATTTTATTCAACATAGTTTTTTTCAGGTATTTCTAATCTTTTTTTTATAACTTCTTATGAATGATTTACAGGATGATCAGAAACAATATGATTAATTTTACTCATGTTCAAGTAATCAATATATTCTGGTATAATTCTAGGTTATTATCTACGAAAAAAGAAACTCTGATTCTAACCACTACCAACAAAAACTGCTTAGTTATCAAGATCTTAAGTTTATCTCATACTTGAGTATTTGCTTTATTTGAGAAAGGTATCTAAGTGTTTAGCATCCCAACTGCTTCCAGATAGAGAACTTTGATTCTCGTCAATCAAAGGCTAACTAATAAAATTCAAGTAATATGAAACTTCATTGATCTAGATAAACCAGACTGAACACTAGGCATCATTTTTATTGTTTTAGTTTAGGCATCATGTTCCATTCTATAAAAATCTCTAAAATTGTTTCTTCCAACATCTTATATCTTCTCCTTCTATCTAAATAACATTTAATATAGTGATTTTATATTATACCTAACAAGTTACAATACTATCATAGTATATTTTAGTTGACACTCTCTTATATTCCTAATTAGCCAATCAAATTACAGAATAGACACATTAAGTATTGAGTATTCAAGTTTATTTTCAAATTAATAAAAATGGCACCATCAAAATCACCAAAGGCAGACGCCGCAAAAAAGACAGTCAAGACAGTCAAGACCAAGAAGAATCCTGATGATAAGAAAAAGGCAAGAAGAAGATAAGAGACTTTTGCTCTCTATATTTACAAGGTCTTGAGATAAGTACACCCAGAAATTGGTGTTTCAAGAAAAGCTATGAACATTATGAACTCATTTATCAATGATATCTTCGATAGAATTGCCCTTGAAGCTAGCAAATTGGTTAGATTTAACAAGAGAAGAACACTCAGTTCAAGAGAAATCCAAACAGCAGTCAAGTTGCTCCTCCCAGGAGAATTGGCCAGACATGCCATCTCTGAAGGAACAAAAGCCGTCACCAAATACACAAGTGGTTGACTTATTAAAAATTTAATTCACATCAAATTAAAAATACCTCCATTTTCTCATTTTTACAATTAAAACACTATTCTATCTTCAAATCTCACCCTAATAAGAGTGTTTCTTATATACTAACTATTATTGATATTTTTAAAGAATAACAACAATATCTATACTTTAGAAATTCTTATTCTTCCATATTATTTAGATAAATTTAAGATAAATAACAGATAAATATAAAAAAGTTAATATTGTTTAATTATTATTTAAAATAATATTCATAAATATTATGGGATTATCATCAAGAATAGGAAGATTAGGTATTTTCATTTTCTTTGTTGGATTTGCAATTCATTAATTACAAAATCCTTAAATAGCAATTAAATAGACACATGAAAAAACTAATCAATTTCTTTAACTCATTTCATAATTAACAAAAAGTCCATCAATAGTAAAATTTATAATTCATTATTAGCAATTTTCATTAGACTCAATACCTTTAGTTGTATTTAGTTGTGCTTTATTGAAATTCTTAGTAGGTCTTGGAGTATTACTTAAATGGAATTATGTAAAATTAATTGGATCAATCTATTTACTATCAGCTATATTTGTTGTCCATAATCCAATCCTTTCACAATCCTATAAAGATTCAATCATGTTTGTAGGAGCTCTAGGAGCATTACAATTTGCTTGATTTATAAAATAAAATATGTATATTTTATATGTTACAATTAAATTATAATTGTATGATCTTTTATTCTAATATTTCTTTATAAATTATATTAATATTCCTCTATTAATGAGATCATTTACTAGTATAATATTATTTATTAAATATTTGAATAAATACTTATAAACAAAAAATACACAATTTTTATTATTACAATAAACTATTTTTGTTTTAAGAATAATAAATAAAAAAGTATTTATTAATTGTGTTTAACAAAATTTTATTTTCAATTTTTTTCTAATGAATATCCAAAAAATAACTTATATTTTTATGCTTAAAATTAAGACATTAAAACTATAAAAACTTAAGAATTAATGTTTTAGTTTGAATATATTAATATTTGAATTATCTGTTATTTATACAATATGAATTATTTTCAAAAGTAATATTTACAATATTGATAGAACTTATGTAAAATAAACTTTCTAAAAACTATTTGTTAAACAATACTTTATTGATAATCATATTAATGGATGAAATGATAGAATTGAGGATGTATGAGATACAACATTGATATATATTTTATATTATTAGAATAAAATTTCTCCTTGAATAAATAATAATAATTTATGAAATTAGTGAAACCGCCCTTCTAGATTAGAGAAAAATAATGGGACAATCGTTTTTATTTGGGAAAGCTGAGTGATCATGAAATTAAGAAATAGTTTATGATTAAAAAGAAATCAGTAAAAAGACCTACATCTACAAATAAAATTGTAGTAGATGAAAAATCATTAGCAATACGACTTTATGAATTATAATTATTGTGGGAATAATTCCGTATTCCTTAATTTCATAGAGCTTACTTTCTTCAATACAATGAAAAAGATCTTGATGCTATTTTAAGAGAAACTGCTGATATCAAGTTGAAGTAATCAATTGTACAAAAGTTAATGAGTCTAATAAAAGGTAGGGAGAGATGTTTAAATTTTTTAAAAACTGAAACATTTGAAGAACATAAATTTTCAGAGCTTTTATTTCATCTAAGAATTTTAACAGTCAATGTTATTGAGCAATTTAAAAAATGGAGAGATTCTTTAAATAGATGTGTTAGATGGAGAATAGATGAAATAGATTATCTTGTATAATTAAGAGGAGATCTTGATTTTCTAAAAGAATATTATTAAGATTACTAAAGAGATCCATTTTTGTTATGGTTATATAAATTAGGTAAGTATGACACAGTACATTCAAATTATCATTAATTATAAAAAGATATGATGAAAAGAATTCGTGATTGGTAATAATCATATAATATATATTTTAGTGAAATTTTACTCATAGAAAATGATTATTTTGATATGTAAACTAACATTTTATCAAGAAAAGAAGCTTAATTGATAAATAAATATCTAAGAGAATCTACAATTTAAATGGAAGATTAATTAAAAAGTTAAGAATTAAAAACTATATTAAGTCCTAATCATAAATAGACTAAAACTGTTTAAATTTAGGATAATTTTACACTTGTTCCATAAGTTGTAAGAAATAAAGAGCAATTTAATAATTTATTAAATTAAATAAAAAATGATAATGATATTGATAGTTCTTTTCCAATAAGAGACAATTTATTTGAATTAATTGATTATTAGGATTCATTAATTTTAGCTTTAATGCAGCATTAAAAAATAAAAGGTATTTGTATTAGTTAAAGTGAACAATCTGAATAATATAGAAAAGTCATAATTGAATAAATAAGATTAGAAAATTTATAATTATTTCCTCAATTTATATAATAATTAAGTAATTATTTACATGGAAATGAAATAACAATAAAATTGGTTCATTATATGTAAAATGAAAAATTAATTGATTGTGAATATTTAAAAGTTGCATTAAAATAAGAAGGATTTAGATGGAAGTAATAGACAAATGATAGTGGAAGAAATATTAGATACACAATATATTATAAGAAAAAGGAATATCAACAATAGTAAATGAATCAATTTAAATTTAATTTTCATGTTCATAGTACAAAACTAAATTAATTGATGCAATTAGTTTATAATAATATTGATGATAGTACTAATGTAGCATAAAAATTTAAACATTATGTTGATTCAAGAAAATCTGAACATAATCCTACTTAAATAAAATTAAAACCAAAAATATATGATGATAGAGTTGTTTTATTAGATGTTAAATTAAAAATACCATCTTTTTAAACAGAAGTTCGATATGAATATAAATATTACAGAATTGTATTTAAATTATTCATTATTAGATTTAAGATCCTGAAATTACTAATATATCTTTTATGGAAATAGATGGATAAATTGTTTATGCTTTATCTTTATTAGATAATGATTATTATATCCTTATTTCTAAAGATTAAATATGTCATGAGTAAATTTAAATATCTTAATTTTAACCAACAGAAGAAGATCTCTCTATACCAATGTTTTGTTATAATGATGAAATTGCTGATGTTTTTAATCATCATATCAATTTATAATTTGAACACCTCATGACAATCAAAAGAAAAGTTAATACTGAAAAATAATCAATTGAAATAGCACCAGATAATTTTTATTTCTCTATTTTTTATGATGGTCATGTAATAAATTCTTTTAAAATTAAACAACATCATTTAATAAAATTTAAGCCATTTAAATCATAAATCAACATTAGTGATGATATTAAAATTGATAAATCTAAATTTATGTTATAATGTCTTCCCTTAATCCAAAAAAATATTGAATCTGAACCTTTAAAAATCATGATTAAGAATCATGAATGTATTTGTGCTTTAGATAATTATGCAAATTCTAGAAAATGGATTATTTATACAATTGTTGGTTGTCAAGAGAATTAATTAAAAGATGTACTTGAATAGTTAATAACTTAATTAACATTAATTGATCCGAATATATAAGAAGTTGGTATAGAGTAATTTTTATGAATAACTTTAGTCTTTATCATGAAATGGTGAATGGAGAATTTATTACAAACAAAAACATTTAGAAATAACTTACATCTCTTGGTTTTAAGTGGAAAATCTAAGTAAATGAAGCCAATGAACACACAAGATTTACTAAATATTTATTAAAATTACAAAGAGAAACATAAGTTGTTGATAATATAGTGATTCAATATTTTTGTACATAAGATTTTGCAGATGTTAATGTTTAGCCATTAATTTAATAATTTTCAATATTTTATTAAACTTTGACTCAATCTCAATTAGTTGTAAAGAGGGTATCATATTAATTTAATATATTTATATAGAACAATTTAATTCCGTTTTCAAAATATTATAATAAGGATATTCCTCCTGAATTATATACAGATTAAATGTTAGAAACAAGAATTTCATAAATTTTATAAAATTGTAAGTATGGAACCAAAAACAAAATTGATTACATAATATTTAATGTAAATTTATTTATCAATATTAAGAACTAAGTTATTACAAGTAATAAGCATCCAGAATTAGGAACTATTTACTTTATTTAATTATTTGACATTGTCTTATGTTTCTATCAATTGGAGAAAGAACTTAATACAGAATAAATAGCTAATTTGATTTAATAAGTAAATAATTCAATTATGATAAGTCTACAAGTGATGAAAATGAGTAAAAAGAATGCTTAGGTGTTGAATTCATTCAATACAGCAAAGCAGGTAGCAATTATTCAATGGAGATCAACTTTAATATGGAGAAAAACATTACAATAGAGACATAAAATTTTAAAACAATATCGAAACCTTACTTTATTGGTATAATTGAGCCTAATTGGTATGATAAACATAATTAGATGATTGCATCAATGATAATTTTATGAAATTTATTTTATAATGTTAATTAATAAAGAAGCTTTTTAAGTTTTTGATAATTAATATCATCATTAATAATTTTATTTGTTATAATAAGATTAAAAAATTTAGAAATATGACGACTTAGAATGAAGTATCTTGAGAATATAATAAAATAATTATGCAAATATAAATTAATTAAAAATCTTATGTTTTAATTGTATGAAAATGCTGAGAATTCAACCTATTCTTTTGAATTCAAATTAGATCTAACTTTATTGAATGTATTGAGATCATTCACACATAAAGATCATGAATTTTAAGAGGGTATTAATTAATTAGATTTAAGGATATTTGGAATCAATTTATGCATTATTATACTATTATTAAGGGAAACCAGAGAGTGAATTGTTTTCAGAATACTGTACTTAAAAGGGAAATCACACAATTGAATCTTTAATATTTTAGGGTAATTTGTATTAAAATATATTAAAGTACATTATTATATTGCATCTCTGGCAAATTTAAATTAATTGGTGGGAGTATTGAAGGTAGATGAGAACAAAGTTATTCCATTATCTAGAAGTGATATTAATAAGACAAATATCTTGTCAGTGCATTCAATCAGTGATAGAGTAGGTTCAATTAATAGTACAATATTGGTGAGCAAATCTTAGACTGTGAAACCAGAGTATCTTGATTTAAGAGTGAAGATCTGTACCTATGAGAATAAAGAGGAAGGAGTACTTTCTATAGATTACAATGTGCTTTCATTGGCAATATAAGCTAAGGGTAAGTTGGATCCATTGGTAGGAAGTCATTTGGCAAATAAATTGAATAAGATGTTTAAATTAGAATTATATCACATTTTATTGCATTTTGCTGATAAAAAAGGATAAGTGACAGAAAATTATGATGAAAGATGTATGATCATTGTAAATGGAGTCAGTAATTTCTCATTTCATAAAAAATAATATACTGATTTAAGAGACAAATTTATTAGACTTTCTTATGGAAATGTAGAAAAGAATGTTGATGAAATAACAAAGTTATTAATGGATTTAGATTAAGATGTTGGTAAATCAATTATAGCAAGAGATACAAAAAGTAATCATTATTTAGAAAAATTATTGGTTGGTTTATTGGGAAATCAATTATAATTGATTAGAGATTAAGCAGTAATTTTATTGAATATTTTATATGATGGTGTTGATTGGTAAAAAAGAGTACCATTTAAACCAAAAATAACAAAAGTTGGATCTAAATTTGATATACAATATTTATTTGAATATGATTCATCATATCCTTTAAGTTCAATTGTTATATTATTGAAAAGTTATATATTTGATTCAGGATGTAAATAAAATATAGTATCATGGCATAAACCAAAATTAAGTGAATATAGTAGTTAAGGAGATAAAAAGTTTATGGCATTTAAGATGGATTTTGGTAGATTTAAGAGATGTGGATTTTATGATTGGAAGTTAATTAGAATGACAAATTCTGGTAAATTGTAGAGTATTCAGAAAATTATGAATTTGGATGAATTAAAAAGTAATATTGAAATTACATCTCTTCAAATGATGGAAGCAAAGCCAATTCAAGGAAGATTTATAGTTCATCCTAGAGATTCTAAGAATTTACAAATTCATGAAATTTATGTTGATTTATTAGATGCAAAACCAGATAATCAAGGTAAATTCACAAAGAGAGGAAATTTCAGAAAGGTACGTGAAAAAATACCTGATTTAGTATAATAAGGAATTAATTGTGTTTATTTAATGGGTACTTTAGAAAGAGATAATGGATAAATGATTGATTAAGACAAATAATAAAAATTATTTAAGAGACCAGATGTAAGTCCATTGGCTATTACTTGTAGATTAACACCAAATTAAATGTTGGGAGGTAAAGAAGAATTTATGTAATTAAATAAAGTTGCTTAATAAAATAAATTAAGAATTATAGTAGATATGGTTACACGTATAAGTAGTGCAAGACCACATAGAAAATACAGAAAAGATTTGGTTTATAGATTAGATGAATAAGGAAGATAAGTAGCTATGTTTGGAACTGATGGAAGATCTTTGCATTTTGAAGATACAATTATTTTGAACAATAGAAAAAAGAGAGTTTGGGATTTGTTATTAGATGAAATGATAGAATTAACATCTTAATATAATATTTAAGGAGTACATTTAGATAATGGATCTTCATGGCCATAAGTATTTTCTCTAGATTTAGATGAAATGTATAGAAAAGACAGTGATGGAAATTAAGCATATTCAAATAAATAAATCTTTAATGGAGAAATCTGTTTATAAAATGAGGATTGTGGTTATTGGGGTACAAGTGTCAAAAATTTGTATCCAAATCCATTTTTAGTAAAGATATGTAAATCTTTATGGAGTAAATTTCCAAATTATTTGATTGTTGCAGAAGCTTGGGGTGCTATGGGAGAATAAGAAGAAAGGGAAATTAATCTTATTTAAAGTGGTGTGATTCCTAGATTATTTAAGTTACCAATAGCTATTGCATCAATATTTGGAGAGAATTTAAAGAAGGATGGTACAATGGTTAAAATGGAGAGAAAAAATGTTAATGCAATTAAAAAATGGATAGAATATACAGCTAAATAATATCCATCTGGTAGTATCATAGTTTAGAGTACAACTTATAATTCATGGCCTTATCCTGCTTTAATATATAAGCGAGGCACATGGGCAGCTGTAGATTTATTCTTTACTTTGTAAGATATTCCTATGACTTTCATGGGAGAAGAGGAAGGATTTGCATTTCGTGAAAAAACAACTAATGTGTTCAATTATGTGACAAAACATGAGAGTTCAGAAATCAAGTTATAAGATCCAACATAATAAAAAACACCATAGAGATCACTCAAAAGAGCAGAATCTTATGTATAAGTTAATGAAGATTATGGATTTGGATATAATACATTAACACATTAAGTTTAATTATAAATAGCATAATCACCTGCAAGACCTAGTAATAATGGTTAACCTGTAAGAGTATAAAGTGGTTCATCTTTATCATAGATGGATATTTCTAATATTGCAACAGCTTAAGAGAATTTTAGAAGAGAAGTAGGACCATAATTTGGATTTGATTTATAATAGATTGGAAAACATTATGTTCACATTAGATAAATGAGAAAATAACATAAAGTATTAAGAAATGGTCAGATGGTATCATTATCTGCTGAACATATGTATGGTTGGCATACACATGTATTAGCATTTGCTAGATATTCAAAAGATGAAATGGCATTAATTGCTATTAATTTCAATGATGGTGAAATTGATATGTTTATGAACCTTAGAAATTTAAGATATTATTTTCCAAATTCAGAAAGATCAAATATAGTAGTAAGATTAAGAAATTGGTCATATCCTGAATTGGAGAATGAAGAAGTTAGCTATTTTTATATTGGCAATTTCTTGACATCTAGATTAGAAGTACATCTTAAGAACTTCTAATCTTAAATTTGGGGTGTTGAAATCTTAGGTAATAATTAGGAGGTGTAATAAAAAGCATAGAAAAGTGCATTAATTAGATTATAATAAAAAATGTAATCCAAAATACCATTAACTATTTATGGTAATGATGCTGCAAATAAGTTGACATTATTAACAGACAACTTAAATTCTTTATAATAATTTATTAATGGATTTTCTCACTTTTATAATTAAGTAATTAAACCAAACAACTTTGATTTGAATAGATTAATCAGTTCAATGAAGGATTTCTAATCTAATAAAGTAAGATTGTGTAAATTATTTGGATTCTTTTAATCAATACTTGGAACTCAAGACAAAAATCTTCCTTTCTTTGACACCTTATAATAATTAATTAATCTTAATAAATTAGGATAAATGTGTTTTTGTACTCCAGAGTTGGGCAAATGGACTACAACTGGTGGATTGGGAGTTATGGTTGATGAATTAACATAAGAATTAGCCAAAATGAATGAAGAAGTAATCTTGATCACTCCTTATTATCATAGAAATAAAAAAGGAGAAACAGGATATATTCTAAGTGATGGATTCAAACACATTAGAAATATAGAAATTTGGATGTAAGGTGAAAAGATAATTTTGGGAGTGTTTGAAGGAGTATTCAATGGAGTAAGATTGTTTTGGTTACATAATGAACAATATTTCCCATCTGCTTATGCTGGAGAGGATGCTTGTTATGTTATGAAATAATTAACAGTCTATGCTAAAGGATGTTTAGAATTATTATGTTAAATCTAATTAATACCTAAATTAATTGTTACAAATGATTGGTTCTGTGGTTTAATTCCAGGATATCTTAGAGTAAGAAGATATGGTGAAGCCTTTGCTGGTACTAAATCTTTCCACATTGTTCACAATTTAGATCCCTTATATGAAGGAAGATTATATCCTAAACCTAATGAAGGAACATTAGATTATATACATGAACTTCCTAATGATTTCTTAATTGATCCATATTGGTAGAATTTAGTTATAAATCCATCCAGATGCCCATTAATTACTTGTGATAATTGGGGAACTGTCTCTTAATCCTATAAATATGAATTATTAGAATCCTCCCCATTAGCAAGTGTATTAAGGAAACATCCTTTACCTTTTGCTTTTCCTAATGGTATAAGAAGAGAATAAAGATTTAAGGTAATAATGGATAAAACTAATAATGATCATTTGAAGGCTAAGGAATAATTACAAAAGAAATATTTTGGATGTTCTTAACTTGAAAATAACATAGTTGTGTTAGGCTTTGTAGGTAGAGTCACTAAATAAAAGGGAGTACATCTCATATTGGAAGTAGCAGAAGAACTCATTTAAAGAAGTCAAGGCACTGTGTAAATTTTGGTTGGTGGACCTGCTGATATGAAAGAAGAATACAGTGCATTTTGTGCTTAGAATATGATTAGATTAAAATCTATATATCCTAGAAATTTCTGGGCTGATCCATCTGCATTCTTTATGGATGGTACATTAGTAAATGTTGGTTGCGACTTTGGATTAATGCCATCATTATTTGAACCTGGAGGTATAGTGCAACATGAGTTCTTTATTGGAAGCACACCTGTTATTGCCTTTAAAACAGGTGGATTGAGAGATACTGTTCATGAATATGATTAAAAACAATAAAAGGGATCTGGATTTATTTTTGATGCTTATAATCGAGGAAACTTCCTCTATGCTATAGACAGAGCTCTTTAATTATATAAGAATTAAGAATAGTATTCTTAACTTAGAAAAAATGCTTTTGATGCAGCCATTGATGTTGCTGATGTGAGTAGAGCATGGGCTTAAGAATACTATAGATTATTTGATAAGAACTTTATTGATAAGGAATTAGTTTAATAATTGGCTGGACAAATTCAATAAGATTACAAGGAACTAAAAGAATAAGAACTTTTTGCAAAGGAGGAAGGAAGAGTAAGAAATTTAAATATAATTTTTTTAGGTATTTTCTAATTCAGACAAAACACTTAAGAATTTTGAAAGGATTCTGGCTCATGCAAAGAGATCTAATTTGAGATTACATTAATTTGTATATCGATCCACTAGATTATTATAACCAAGATAAGTAGCAGTTTCTGGTTCATTTGATGAATGGAAGGAAAAACATAAATTAAAATTTGATCATTTCTCTAAAGTATGGAATGTTACTCTTAAATTGTTACCAGGAGAATATTAGTATAAAATTAAATAATATTTTTAGTTACAAATTCTATGTTGATGGAGAATGGATTTGCACTGATGATGATCTAAAGGATAATGACATTTATGGAAATATAAATAATTTTGTTATCATCTAATGAAGGATATGAAGAATCATATAATAATAAATATCAATTATACATTAAAATTTGATTCAGCTTCCATTCTAATTATTGTTTAATTCAATATTTAAATCACTGATCAAATTTTATTCATCTTCCAATAATAGTAAATCTCCATTATTGTCAATCATTCCAAATTACTTAACCTTTCTTTATTACTATGGAGGAGTATCCATAATGTCTTCAGATGATGATTCTCTAATTTGTCTTCTAGGAGGTATAATATTTTCAACTTCATCCATTTCCTCTACTTTCAAATCTTCAAATGGTTGGACTTCCTCTATTTATGCAGATTCTTGAGATTAAATTTTATCTGAACTCACTTTATCTGATTATTCTTTTAAAAACTACATCAGTTTATTATTATTCAATTCTCTCATTTATTCTTATTTTCCATTTGAAAATTCTATACAACTATCAAAAACATCCAATTTTTCTGTACTGCATTTAGTTGAACACATTCTACTCGATCTTCTCATTTAATTTGTTTCTTGTTATCAATATGGAAAATTTACTCTCTCTTTTTTATCTTCTTTATATAAAGTTATCCTCTTATCTTTTTAAGTCCTCTTCTATCTACTTCTAATTTTAATCAGAAGTTTTTTGATATCCTTGTATCATATTTTCTAAACTATTTTAATTGCATTCAATCTAATCTTAGATTTCCATAGCAATCTTTGCTTTCGTTTATCTTTCTCTTTTCTTTTATTCAATACAATTTTCTTACTTTTCTATTATTATTATATTAATACTTTTATTTTTGTACTCTCTTAACTATTTTCTATACTTTTTGTTTCTTAAATAATCAAGCTTTAAGAATGTAAAGGCACAAATGTACCTTGATCTTGATTTATTTTACGTATAGTCTTCAAAGTCCGTTAACATGTGAACAATGATTACAATTTCTCATTAAAATAATATCCCACTGGATCCTACAATTAGCTGTTATTTATTACTTGAATACTGTCATAATGCTCTATTAAAACAGCATATAAATCAATTAATTTTTGAATCACATCATATTTGTCTGACCCCTTTTAGTATCGATCTTCGAAGACAAGTAATTCTTAAAATAGATTATCTATTTAATATGGAATCGAGAAGTACTCGTTATTGGCATTGTTGTTGTTTTAATTAAAATTAATTATATATACTATCAAATGCAATTACTCTTACTATTAAAATAACACTTGAATCATCATTATAATTGAAATAGTTATTCCCCAACTTTTAACAACCCATTTCTTACTTAATTACATTAATTTGGCAACTAGATTCTTTATAACACTTTATCTTCATCTTATTCATCTAACTCATAAAGACTTAATACTGAATTCTCTTTTGATATCTCAACTATATCCTTAGTTGCTTTAATAAAATAATCATTCACAAAACCAGAATCTTAATTCTTACATTTTGTCAAATTTTACATTGCTGGAAGTAATCCACATTTATATAATGAAACATACACTTCTGAATATTTAAAGTATCCTGATTTAATTCTAGCTTTATGCTATTACATTCTTCTATCTTTTAGATCATTCAATTGATAACAAAATCGCTACATTTCAGTCTTATACATTAACTTGACCATAACTTATTTACTTGTTATAATCATTCTATAAATTTGAGCAGCATTCTAAAACTATTCAACCAAATAATAAGTGTTCTCCCTATATTTTGATATTCCAGTTATTTAATCTAATCTGATCTAATAATCAATTTCCCACTTTTATCCTGTTTTTATGTTCAATAAAATCACCTTCTATTATTAATCTAGAATATAATTAGTATCAAGTAAAAGAGTTTGATTGGATATTGGGATTGGAATTTGAATTAATTTAAAAATTTCCTATTCCATCATAAAATTTATAATACTATTGTCAAAATCAATTCTTATTTTTTTGAACATAAAATTTGTTTACTTCTCCTTACTCAGTATTGTATTCTCATACTATAAAGAATTGATCAATAATAATTTATTTTTATTGAAATAAATAGAATATATTTATTAATATCATTTTTCATTTTTCATTTCTCTTTTTGCTGCTGCTATATATAACAATGCTTTCAAATAGTTATTTTCAATATTAATCATTTTTGATGCCTCATAAAGTATTTCTTAACTTTCTTCAGATATTTAATAATTTACAGGAATACCCAATAAATTTTGATTTAAAATTGGATCCTTATCAAAAAATTCAAAAGAAGTCTCATCAAGTGATTTGCTAATCTCAGATGGTTCATTTATAGTTTATTCTTCATTTTAATTATCTGATTAAAGGATTAGATTTATTGATTCTTGTTCTTTACTTTGTATTGATGAAATCTCTTGCAAATTATTTTTTAAAGTTTCTTATTCTTATTATTTTTATTCAAAAGTCTCTTTGGATGAGATTTAAATATCTTAAAGTAAATCTAATGTTTATTCTCCTTGATTATCATCTTTATCATTACTTTAATCAAGTACTTAATCATATTCTTATTTATTTTTTTCAATAAATTTTTTTAAGCATTTCTCAAAATTATTCACAAATTCATTTGTTAAAAAGTAAAACTCATAATGAATTTATGAACTTTAATTTTCCTCTGCTTTTAGATATACTTTTGAATCAGGTATAGATTTTAATAATTCATTATGAAAGAATATTTTATCAACTAAATTGTTTTATGGAGTATATAATCTCTAAGCAAATAAAGGTCTAAATTCTATTTTTCCTTAATATTATTTTCTTAATTTTAAAACATAATCTTAAATAGACTTATTTGTTTTCCCTAATTTTATTATTTTTTTTTCTTCTCCATTCCAAATTATTTTTGCTGTTGTTTCAACAACATAAAGTAATTACCAATTCTAATTTCTATATTTATAATTATCAGAAATCGATTAATCAATTTCTCTAATCTTACTCATTAATAGTCGATCATTTTCTTTGATAGATTTATCATCAGAAAATTCAGGATTGTTTGAAAGTTTAAAAAGATGAACCAATCTTTAATTTAGATCCTCTTCTATGGACTCAAAATCATCAATTAGTTAATTAATTACATCATTTGATGCCCCTTTAATAGGATTTTTTTAGGCCTAATTCAATATCTAAACAAAAATTGGAATTGTTATAAAACCACTCTCTTAATATTCAATCCCAAAATATTTAAAAGGAGTTTCCAATCTTAAATAAGATTATGAAAAATTTAGAAAATTGACCTTCTTAGACATTAATTCCAATTATACTAAACAATCTACATTTTCTAATTTGTAGGTAATGTATATTGCCTATTTCCTTTATTTTTCTTAAATTGAATGAATACTCATTTATTTATAATATTTGATTATATATTTATCATTTAAATTAACAAAAAGAAGTTTTATAATATAGAATACAATTTTTATAATATTTCAATAACCTAAATTTTAGTTTTAAATATATTTAGTAAAAGATGGATCCAATTAAGTTTAATCGGTATAAATTAAAAATTTCAATGTTGTTTGATAATTTTATATATCTTGTTAATAAAGTGAATTGGTTGAGATAATATTAAAAGGGCTTAGAATCTTCAAAATTATTTAATTAACAATACATTCTATTTCAAATTATTGTTATGAATCTGAAATTATTGATTGAGAAAATTAAGACTCCATTTTATCAATATAATTTTTATGTTCAAAAACATAAGAAAATGATATTAATTGTAAATCTTGATTTAAGTTGTATTTGGTATTTTTTATTATTTTTTTATCTATTTTTAATTATATAATACTCTGATGTTGAGATATCTTTACAATCTTATTAAAACAATTTATTAATAATTATGTTAATAATCTAGTATTTAAATAAATTATTTGTTATTCTACTTCATATGAACAATCTAATTGAAATTATTTTTTATGCTAATAACAATAATGAATAAAATAATTAGACAAAGCTCTATTTAATTTATATATTGTAAATTCTTCAATTTATTATTTTAAAAAAGACATCTTTCCTTTTTACAAATAAATTAGATGATTCTTTATGTAATTTAATGAAAACTCAATATTGCAATAATATTATCTCAATATATAATTATCAAAACATAAAGTATCATTTAATTATAATAATGATTTATAATTTTCTTCTAATTTATTTCCAATCAACATAAGTACTTATTAAAATTTTTCTTTAAATAATTTTATATTATTTTCATATTTTTCTATCTATAATTTGGTCTAGTTTTTGCGGATAATTAATATTAATATTGATTTTTAATATTAAAATCTTGCAATCTCAATATTTAATTTACCTTTATCACCAATAGCCTCTATGCTTATTACTTTTTAATCTTATCTTAATTTTTAATTATTTATTAAATCAAATAAATATTCTTCTAAATTTAATTATTTCTGAATTGATCGATTTAAACATAAACAATTAGAATTTTCTAAGATTTTTATTCCTATTGTATAAGTTCTCAAAAACTCTTTAAATTAATTTCCATTATAATCCTTTTAATAGTATAACTCAAAATTTTTGTTTACAAATTCAAGTTCAAAACTATTTATTTTCTTATTAAAACTTATTGCAAATAATGGATCTTAAACAAATTCATAAATAATTTATCTAATATAGATATATTATGATACTATTATGATTTTATTGTAAATAGCTATGAAAATTCTAATCTTGATGTATATTCAAACAAATATGTAATTATTCCTTATTAAAACATCATTAATATGCAAAATACTATGTAAGATAATTAATCAAACTAAAAATTGACAAATACTCCTAATACAATACATTAAGTAGAGAAAATGAATATAGCTTTAAATTTAACATCACTGTATTATAAGACTGTTAAATATAAAAGACAACTAGAGTATCCATAATTATATAAGGGTCTATATTAAAATAAATATTTACACATCATCTTATGCATAAGTTATTAAAGTTCCAGCAGCTACATATGAAACGTATAATAATGTAAATATATTCTTCAAATAAGGTTATAATTTCAGGCTAAAAAATAGAAAAATTATATGAATTATAGTAAGACTTGCCATAAAAATAACGATATGTATTTAGGCACTTTAGACAATGAATATAATCATGGCAATAAAGCATGTAAGAATGCCAATAACAAGTAAAGTTCTGAAGAAATACAGTCTTTATATATTGAGTTTTTCTTAAAATTAAGCTTCATGAGAAGGATCATAAAACCTTAAAGTCCACTTGTTAAATAAATTAGGCATTTTAAATATTAAATTAGAATCATAAAATTGTTATTTTTGAATTCACTTTTAATATTATTTAGACTATATGGCTATAATAATTAATATTTATACAATTCAACATATATAATTAAAAAATATTAGTTTTATATATCTATAGAACTAATTCATATTAAGAAACAAAATAATCTACAAGTATTCTAAAAAACATTACTTAGCTCCTATTTTAATTTGGATAAATTTAATTATCCAAAATTTTAGCCTAAGTGTTAGATATCAACTTTCTAATTACTCTAAGATAAATAAGTGAGTGAAAGATTTCAAAAGCAAATTTAATTATTTAATAATTCTAGTTTTGATTTTACTTCAGCACAAACAATTTCTTATAACTTATTTTATTTTAAAGCGATTTTAAATTTGAATTAGAAATACAAATGTGTAGCAGTGAAAATCCAAAAAGAAGAAAATAGAATTACTATTAGAAACAGAAAATTAATTGCTTATATATTGGTATTAAATTAAATTATTATATAATATCTTTTTCTCTTAATTGAACTATAATAATTTTAATATCATTAATATTTTACTCTCATCAATGTTTATAAAGATGCTCTCTAGATCAACATCTATATATTGAAAAATTCTTAAAAATTATTCCCCTAATACCTATTAATCAAGTTCCTTATTGGTTCAAACTAAACACTTGAGGTATTGTATTATAGTTATATTTTATATATAATAATTATTTTCATAATAATCTAGGCTTACTTATAATATAATATATATATTTACTATGGACACAGAATTAAATTTAAAACTAACTTATAGATGATATTACATAATTTTAATTTAATTTTACTTATGGAAATTTCCATAACTTTTTTTCAAGCACTCACGAATTAGAACCTAATATGATGAAATATTGGAAGATAAATTGAGAACAGATACTTCCAGCTATGTTTGAAGATTTTTCAAATCCCTTAAAGATGAAGATTAAAATTTTTCCCTTTAGCATAGACCTTTTATTTTCCCATAGTATAATGTAATAATTTATAGTTGTAAAACTTGATGCTTTAAAAAAAAATCAAATTTCACTTTTTCATTTTTTTTAATCTATCTTTTTTTGTGGCTTCAATTATTTTGAAATTCATTTCTTTTTGAATTGTTTTATTAAATAGATGAAATAGTTATGCATCATCATAATTATAAGAAAGGACATTTGATTAAAACTATGAATAAGAAACTTACTTAATTGCTAAAACGAAGTGATTCTTAAGATTAAGAAAGAAATCTTAATATTATCAATTATGCTATATTTAGAATGAAAAATTTATTAGAGTTGGTTAAAATAATAAATTAATATTGATGGATTGAAGTTTATATTTAAAGTTTTAGATTTTTTGAATCAATCTATTGATCATAAAATTTTAATTAATATCAAATTACTATAAATTACAAATATATTAGTTTTATTTAAGATAAAATTAATTTCATAAAACAAATAAAATTTATATAATTATGAAATTTAATAATAATTCAAAGGATGGATTTTAAATTGATTCTACAATTGTTTGATAATCAAATGTTTTTTGGATAGGTGATCTTTCAATTACATATGGTCCAAAGTAAGAATCAAAACTAGATTCTGCATAATTGTCATATAGTTTATGTATCTTGCATAAATTGATAGTAGAATTAGATTTGCATCTTAATTAAGTAGGCCTTTAAATTTAGCTTATCAAATAGTTTGTTACAATAGTTATATTGGTATTGATATTTAAAATAAGATTAGTATTAATTGAGAAGACTTAACAATTCATGTATTATGAATAAATATTTTTTCCAATAAAATAGCTAAATTAAGGGGAGTAAAGTGTCATTTAAGCAAAGATAAAACTGGAACTCAAAAATATACATTTAGATGAATAATCAACAAATGTATTTGATGTATATTCTAATAAGAATGTATTATTATCAATTTTTTTTAATTAATTTATGGTTGAAATATAAAAGATAAAATTAGTGTATGAAATTATTCCAGTCATTTCAAATAAATTTTTAATATTTGAAACAGATTTGAAGATATCTTAGGTTATATTATTGTTATTATTAATAATGGATTTAATGGCTAAAGTATCATAAATTAAAAGTAATTGTTGGCCAAAATAGAATGATTTAGAGTTTACTAAATCAAATAACATTTAATCAAATCCTTATGTTTGTTTGACCAATAAGTATAGTATTCTTTGATAAGTGGAGCTATTTTTATTGAGATAAAATTACTTATCCAATGTTTAAGTTTGAAAATCATTGATTAGAATATGGAAATAAGATTAAGTTTAATTATAATTTAATTCATCTAGATAAGATTTACATTGATATCCTGTATAATTATCTTTGCAAAGACAATATTATAATGGCTAATAAGAAGATTGCAACTATCCATTGTTATTACAATCTGAATTTTAGGATAGATACATATAATCATATTAGGGTAGTAATACTTTTAATTCTCCAGTTTACCATTCTAAACAAGAATATCTTTATGTCCAATTTGTTAGATTATTGTCAGATAGAATTGTGATATTACAATCAATCAAAGATTAAGAGATCCACTATTGACCTATTTAATGAAACCAATCAGTTGAGTAGTATTAAGTACCATCTGAATCAATAACAATAATTGTTATTACATATAATTTATCAGTCCATGTTGGTGTTAATGATATATTAATAAAAGATGTTTTCTATTCAGAGATAGTTGATAAAATAGGACCAAATCTAGTAGGATCTTTGATGAAAATCTTCCAATCATAAATTAAGGATGTTGATAAAATAATTTAAGTTTAGTCTGGATTTACTAATTTTTATAAGGAAACAATTTATTTAGGTATTAGATCTCCTTTTAAAATCATAATACGAATTTATAACAATTAAGAAAATAACTAAATTTTAGTTTTATTATGTATTCCTGTAACTCTAATGAAATAATCTGAATTCATTTAAAGTTTAGTTTAATTAATTTGAAATATAATTCCATTCATAACAAATACATAACTAGCATTGAAAATAGGCATTTCAATTAAATTATAGAATTTACGAGGTTCCTATAGTGTAAAATTAAATTCTTGTCTCTCTGCAACCAAAATTTAATTACCCAATCTAACAGCCCAATCTGCATATGCACGTTTTTAATATTGTTAAGTTAAACATCCATTAACAGTCATAGCAGGATCTGAATTGATATGCAATAATTCCCATTAGATTTCCAATTATTCTTCAATTATATCTTCTACAACAATAATTAAATCTTTTTTGCTTTCATGATTGACACAAAACTCATTTATTATTTATCTAGTAGAATTCAATATAATTTGATAGCAATTAAAGTGTAAGAAATATAAAAGTAAGTAAAATTTCATTATTTTAATAATAATTAACATATAAATTCTGAATATAGATAAAAATAATAATATATTTATTTTAATATATATAAAATAATAATACAAAAAAATAATATAATGATAGAAGATTTTTAATCTGATATATATTTTTTTATCACAAAAAATTAAAAAACTCATGATTATTGTAATGTTTATTAGGATTAAAGTTATTATTACTATTATTCTGGACATTAATTTAAAAATAACATTTCATTAAATACAAGGAGAAAGTCTTTTAAATCTTCTTGTTTTAAAATGGTTGTCTTTTCTGGTTATTTTGTATTAGTATTATTCATTTTATTGACATCAAATTCTCTTAATTCATTTTCAACATGTTCTAACCATATTTTATATGCTTCCTCTTCATTAGTAATTGGTGGCATATTCAATTAAGGAGGTGGTGACATATATGGTGTATATGAAAATTAAGATGATGCTACTAAAAATGTTCCAACCAAAATCACCCATGAATGAAATACTAAAGGTGCATATGTTCTATAAGAATCCAATATCAAAATTTTGAGAGTATGAAAAGTAGCTTCTTCAAATTTCTTTGGTACACATTTCTTACATATTACTTCAATGTAATCATTAGGTAATTTAATATCAAATTCATATTCAATTACTTTTAAAATTCTGCTTTCAGCTATACAGAGTTTGTTTTATAATGATTACATTAAAGCTTCATTAGCCATTCTTGTTTGTTCAATTGATTACATGATTCTATGAAAACTAATTAATAATTTTCTCATTCTTGGATCTCCATCTTTTATTTTTTAAGCCAATAAAAGAGATGCAGCTCCAACAATCTAAATTAAATATTAAATTTTACAAATCTATCATATTGTAAATAACATTTATAATGAAAGAAATAATTACATAAATGAATTGCTAAAGACACTGTAGAATATGAATTTAATTCTAAATTGATAGCCAAATCTATAATGAATTAAGCATTTCCATTTAATAATTTTCTTTATACTTATGCAGATATTTCATATTCTGTGTTTATGTTCTAAAAAATGTCTTTCTTCTTAATTAATTTCATAATAATAATATTTATATTTATAAAAATCATATATGTTTTCAAGAATGTTAAATTGATAATGAAGTCCTTTTCAAAGTCGATCTAGTACTCAAAGGGCCTGGACTCTTTTCAGCCAATTTAAATGTACTCTTTTCAATAAATATTTTCTTTGGTTTAGTTATTCTTAATGTTCGTGTGGATTTAATTGATTAATTTTCTTCAGATGGTTCTGATTCTTATTTGACAAATGTATCTTATGGGGAATCTACAATCATTAACAAGTGTTCATGCACTTATTATTCATTATATTATTTCAAATTATTTAATAAAGGACTCATACGATCATCTGTTGATATGAGCAAATCTACAGTCATAAAAGTAGAAACCTTTTAATCTTCCTTTTCTTTCTTAACTAATAAGTTATCGTTTATGCAAAGTATAGATGCAATAAAATAATCTTCCAAATTCTGTATCGAATTGTTACATGGATATAAACAATATATAAATTATTAAATTATTCTTATTTATTTTATGAACAAAATCAATTCATATAATATAATTTTCATTTATTTGATCACACTAATATATTAAATACAATAATTTAATATCTATGCAGAACAGAAACGATATTTCTGTTTTGTTTCAATAATTTAGTAGAAGAATTTCATTATTTTGACTAAAAGAGTTATTATTATGAGAATTTATAAGATTATAATAAGATTAATTGCTAAAATCAAATTTACTAAATTGAGCTCCATAAAAAAGATAGATATCCTTTTCAATTCACTCAAAAAAAGTAAGGATGAAAAAGAGTTGAAATCTATAGATGTATATATATAAAAGATTCTATATTTATGTTTTCTTTCTGGTCTGTTTTATGTTTCATTCTGGATAATCAGTTTAAAATAGAATTCAAAATTTTTAGAAGATTAAAGACTTGAAGGAGTGAGTTTTTAAATAAATATATTTTGAGATTGAAAGATTTGTGTAATTAGTTAATCTAAAGAGAGGAGATGAGATGTATAAATATGTTTTAGAAAAGACTTATATAAAATTGTGAATAATGAGTACTAGATTTTATAATTATGTTAATTTTTAGAAGATTGTTTAAATTCTCATCATGTAAATAAATGACGATTAAATCATAGAATTTAAAGAATCCACTTTGACTGCTATTTCACCTCTTGATGGAAGATATGCCAGTCAAACAACCCCTCTCAAAGACTATTTTAGTGAGTATGCATTAATGAAGTAATATAATTCTTATTATACTAGATATCGAATAAAAGTAGAAATTGAATGGTTAAAGTTTTTGCATTCTAAGAATATGATAAAATAAGGAAATTCAGTTTTGAATTTAACAGCTTTAGATTTGACTTATTTGGATTTGATATATGATAAATTTGATGTAACCAAATCATTCAGAGTTAAATAAATAGAAAGTACAACTAATCATGATGTTAAATCTATTGAATATTATATCAAAGAAGAATTAGACAAAAGTATATAATTATTATGAGATATTTAGATCCAATTTTACATTCAATGAAAGAATATGTTCATTTTTGTTGTACAAGTGAAGACATTAATAATATTGCTTATAGTTTAATGATGACTGATGCTAAAAACAATTTATTAATGAAATCATTAGAAGGAGTCATTAATAAATTAGTACAATTATCACATGATCATTATAATGTTCCTATGTTGAGTCGAACTCATGGTTAAGTTGCATCTCCTACTACTGTAGGAAAAGAATTTGCAAACTTTGCTTATAGAATAAGAAATCATTCAGAATTATTAAGAAATCTAAAATTTGAGGCTAAATTGAATGGTGCTGTTGGAAATTATAATGCTCATTTATTAGCATATCCAAATTATGATTGGCCTAATCTAAGCAAACAATTTATTGAAGAACTTAAATTAAAACACAATCCCTACACTACTCAAATTGAACCTCATGACAGTGTAGCACTCTATTATTCATATCTCAATTTAATTAATAATATCTTATTAGGATTATCAAGAGATGTTTGGAGTTATATCTCAATTAATTATTTCGAATAAAAAAGTATTAAATCTGAAGTAGGCTCATCCACTATGCCACATAAAGTCAATCCTATTGATTTTGAAAATTGTGAAGGCAATTTAGGTTTATCAAATTCCTTAGCCTAACATTTTATGAATAAATTAGTTATTTCTAGATATTAAAGAGATTTATCTGATTCTACTGTAATGAGAAATCATGGAGTTTGTTTAGGATATGCTGTTGTAGGATATCGAAGTTTAATTAAAGGACTTGATAAAATATCACCTAATTATGATACTATTTTAAATGATTTAGAAAATGTATTATCTATTTGTTTATTAATATAGCATTGGGAAGTCTTAGCTGAACCCATTTAATAGATTATGAGATAATATGGGGTTCCAAATCCATATGAATAACTTAAGGAATTAACCAGAGGATAAAAAATAACAAAAGATTCTTTAAGAGATTTCATTTCAAAATTGACCTTACCAGATGATATCAAAAAGAAACTTTTGAGTTTAGAACCAAAAGATTATATTGGAAATGCTGACAAAATGGCTAGATTGATATGATTGGTTTTTAAAAAGAAATAATATATAAGATGATGTATTTCAATTAAGTTCAGCAAGATTTTTTACATTTCTAAGGAATTTAGAATCTTTTATATAGGATTTAGGAAAATGTAGTATAATTAATTGAATTAGTTATAAATTTTTAATTGTTTATAATATTATAAGAATATCTTAACAATTATTATTTGGATTTATTATAAATTTCGGATTAGCAATTTAAATTTTTTGATTATAATTAATATCATAAATGGATTAGAAGGATTTCAAGATTGATACATTAAGTGAATTTTTCACAAAGAAATTTTAAGTGACTCTTACATAAAGAGAACCTATCAATCATGATTCTTATATGTTCAGATTTGATTTCAAAAATCCAAAAGAGAGATTAGGAATGCAAGCTGTTTAGCATATCAAAATCTAGTAATTTCACACATATTAATATTGAGTGGTCTTAATATGAAGGGTGAGATAGTTGACAGAGCATACACACATATATTTGAAGATGATGGATACTTTTTGATCCCTATTAAGATTTATAGGCCAAATGTACATCCTCAATTTCCAAATGGAGGAGAATTAACTCCATGGTTAGAGAAGTTAGATGTAATCTTATGAGATTAAATAATAGTTGCATTCAGAATTGACAATTAAAAGGTGTGTAGGAAAACTGTTTTATCATAATAATCAATTTATTGTTAGGCCTAAACTTAATAAGACATGGTAATAATTCGAAACTGTATTACTTATATGTGGAGGAAGTGGTATCACTCCAGCATATTAATTAATCAAAACTATATGTGATAATCCTAATGATAACACTAAAATGGTACTTTTGTATGCAAATAAAACTGAATAAGATATATGGCTATTAAAAGAATTAAATGAATTATAAACTAAACATAAAGATCAATTTACAGTTCATTTCACTTTAGACAAAGTATTTATATACAATAATCTTAAAGTCTGATGAAAATTGGAAAGGTCTAAAAGGGTTTGTGACTTTAGAAATGATAACATCAATATTTCCAAAACTAACTGAAACAACATTAGGTGTATTATGTGGACCTAAACCTATGAACAAATTAGTCATATCACTTTATGAATAAATAGGATTAAAGAAAGATAATATAGTAAAATTTTGAGTAGCATATTGTATTAAATACAATAATAAAAATTAAGAGTTTTTTCATTATTATACCTAAATATACTAATCATGACTTATCTTATAGTCTTTTGTTGATTATGTAACATTTTCAAATTTCAATACTATACTCTATAAATCATAAAAATAAAGACATTAGAAATATGAATATAATATAATCATTTATTGGTTTAACATTTTATTGCTTTTTCTATTCTATCTTTGAGATTCAAATCTATTAGACTATTAACCTACTTATTTTAACATATCTATTTCAATCTTTGATGTAATCTAATCATCTCTTCTTCCTCTATTATTCGTTTCCTAAATAAATTCATTATTTATATACTTATGTTAATCCATTTTTTCGTTGATCATCTATTGTTATTGTTATTTAAACTCAGCTATTCTTTGATGACTTTCATGTTTCGCATCTTACTTTTTTATTTAAACATCTATTTTAGACTTAAATTTTTCATTCATCTTTGCTTACTCTTTTTATTTTTCCATTTCTTTTGTCTCTTGATTATATTTGACTTTCTAAAAATTGATTTCATTAATTTCATGTAATCTTTTAACCTATTCATCAATCATCTTTTATTTATAAATATCGTATTTGATACTTTATTCTTTCTCTCAGTTCTATCTTCAGTATTTGATCTTATGGTTGGTTTTTTTATTTTTAATAAATTGCTATTAGATTTTATTTTAGGAATATCTTTCATTTCCTTTTTTAAATGTGTATGAGATTTTGATAACCAATCTTCTTCATTCCAATTCAATCTTCTCATTTCTTCATCTTAAATAAAATAAGCTGGATCTTCTCCAATCTAATAAATTAGATTGATTAGCTACTTCTAATAATTCTTAATGTGTCAACTATGCCTTCAGTTTTTATTACATTTCCAAAGGAGTTGGAATGTTAATATTCATTCTTTAGCAATGATGTTTTTCTTCTTAAGTAAATTTCATTGGTGGATGAATAGGTAGTAGTTATATTAAATTTTAATCTTCTAAATCAAATTCACACTTCCGAGTTTCAATTTCTGATTATAATCTCTCAATTTTTAAGAATTTGTGACAATAATTCTAAAACTAACTGTTCAATATCTTTACTATCTTTGATCTCAATATACGTTTCTATAACCTTATAATGTGATTAAATTATACTTTTCATTAATTGAAACTGAAGGAAATTTTGTATTGGACATAATAATTTTGTTTAATAATAAATTTAATAAATAGAATTCTTCATATAATTCATAGGTGTATATTATTTTATATTTTTTCAGTATGTATTATAAAAATATAATAGTTTTATAATTACAGTTGTCTATATTTGAAATACTATTTTTTATATGGTTTATTCTTTTTTTAATTATTTAGAATTGGCAAAACTTAAGTCTACTATGAAATGTATTAAGATTATTCAATTTTTAAGATTCCTATTGAGAGAGTACTAAGCTGTAATTTATAACTGTTAAATTAATTTAGAAATTATAGAATCCCATATGGCCAAATTTTCTGTATAGAATTTTAATTTTACAGATATTTTATCTAAATTATTTAGTTTTTATAATGTTAATAAATTATATTGATTTATTGAACTATAGTTTCATTAAGTAGAAACATAAATGAATTAAAGAATATCTTTGATTTATAATTAAAAAAAACTATAAATCATAAAATATTTATTTAATTTTAATGCTATAATTAATACTAAGCAGATTAACATGATATTAATTAGTTAAATACTTTAAATATATTTATAAGTCATTTTATTAGAAGATATTAATATTATAATTTTTTGTTTATTTAATAAAAGATATAACATGATATTTTAATTGCAATTATAATACTTTATTTACTATTATACTAATGGAAATTGATTATTACAAACTAGTATTTAATAAAAACTTAAGTATTTAAAGAAAATCTTTGCTTTTTAATCATTAATTTATTTACTTTTAAAATCTCTTCTTTACAAAAACAAATGAATAAATTTATTCAAGATAAAAACTACCAATCATCATAACTTGAAGAAATTACATCATTAATATATAAAATAACAGATAGACAGTCCAAATTTGCAGACCTTCACAATTAAGTTGAGGAAAGCATCTAGAAAATTATTAATGTGAGTTAGAAATAATTTGAAAAAGTAATGAAAAAAAAACAGAAAGAAGATAGATAAATTGCATAAGATCATGATGAAAGAATAAAAATAATTCAATAGGAATATCAGATTTCTTAAAATAACTTAATTTCATAGTTATGTTAAAGTAAATCAGAATATTTACAGATTCTAGAATCACTATATTATGAATATTAATAGTTTATAGCATTTTTTGATCATGATTAATAGGCTGAAAATAATAATTATATTATGATCATCTATGAAATATTAACAGATAGTTAAGTATTTCATGATGATTAAAGAATGAATGAAACACTTCTAACTGAATATTTAACTTAACATAAAGGGAATAAAATTTAATCCCTTCATACTTCACTTAAAATGATAATTTTTTAATTACAAAAAATAGAAGAAAACTTTAAATTTTCAAAAAACAATACCAAAAAAGAATAATATTTACAATAACTTAATGAAAGGTTGAAATAATTTATTGAAAATCTTAAATATGGTTTAAGTAAATTGGATATGCTTTTATAAGAAATACAAGAATATAATGAAGCTCAAAAAGAATAAGATACTAGAATTCAAGCTAATCTCAGTTTAATCAATTCAATTTTGAAAGGTCATTAAGATAAAAAAATTGCTGAATATGAAGATTTCAAAAAAACAAATGAAAATTTGATTAAAATAATCAATCGACTTTAAGAAATTAATTACAAACTTAAATTATAATAAAAACAGAATTATGAAGATGTTTCATAATTAATGGAATTATATTACATTTAGAATGATAAAGCACCATCTCTTTAACCTTTATAAAGAAAAAGTACTATCAAAATAATAAAACCCATATCTTATTAAAGATCAAGAATTTATTCAGAGACAAAAAAAGAAGTTCATTTTGATTTATCATCTCGAACTTCTATAAAAGAGACAAATCTTGAATCATAAATTCTTTATCAATCTCCACTTATAATTCAACCTTAAATAATCACTTAACCTACAATATCCGATGTATCTCTCTTTACTTCTGGATAAAGTCTCAACAAATTGAAAACATAAAAATATTCTGATAAATAATGGACTTCAAAGCATCCAACTAATGTGGATAAAAAGACTGCTATACCAATTAAATGTTAATGTCCACCTTAATGTTCATGTCAAGCTTTATTAATTATTTAGGTTCATACATGTAACAAACAATTATATATCAATTCAATAGGTTAACTATTATGTTAATAATGTTTTTTCACTTAAAACATTTAGGATTATAATTTCTATTGTCCTCATACAAGAACAAAAAACAAATTTAAAAGTAGTAAGGATTTCTTAGAAGCATTTTGGTAACATATAAAAACATTAACAATGAATTAATAAATAGTTGATTTTTGGAATAATTTATAATTAAGTTGTTAATAGATGTTTTAGATTAATCCATTTTCTTATCCTGAAATCCAAAATCATATTAATTTTATTGGATTCTGTCCTGCTTAATGCAAATGTAATCATAAATAGAGTAGATAACAATATCACTTATGCTAAAACTATCTTTATATTTCATCTGATGGTTTAATTCATTGTAAAAAATGTAATTTTTATGGGGATCCAAAGTAGTACTTTTACTATTGTCCAGAAACAAAAACATTCAATATTTATAGAAGTGGAGAAGAATTTATATAGTCTTTGGATTTCATTCATGATGCAGGAAATTAATAATAGTTTCTTAGATAATTACGATTAAAAATTCCTTCTGTTTTATGGGAATGAGAATATATAAAAGGTATGATTAAATGTAGAATTACATATATAATTAAAAATTAAATTATTATTTTAGTAATTATTTAACAATTTCAAATAAATCATTTTAATGTATTAAAATTGATTCTATTATTTTATGGATTATTCTTTGGTTGGAATAAATTTTAATTAAAATTATTTTGATTTTTCTAAAGATTCACAATTTATTAAATATTCATATCACTTTCTGTTCTTAAGTGTTATCTATGAAATTTTGATTGTGGATTCTAATTATTAAAGAATTAATTATTATCATTTTTTTTAAATTTTGTGGTATTTTAATTTAAAAAATTAGTATTTTCGACCATCTAATTAAGATTGGATTAATTTCCTACAGACATTTTATGATTCAAATTGATTTCTGCTCTTTCTGAAATTGGTTATTAATATGTATAATATTCTCTCAATTGTTAAGTTACTAAACTATTCAAATTTTCCCATGTAATTCTCTTTGATGGATCATAAACAATCAAATTATCTAATATGTACAAAATTCCTTCTGGTAAATTATTCTATCTCATATAAAAAATTACTTAAGTTTCCCTTTCTTTATAGTATTCTTTAAAACCCTTTATTCTAATAGCTTCAAAAAATTCTTTCTGTTTCTTCTAGTTTTCAGTTATTTCAAGATTTCCTTCTATCATCTCATACAATATTATACCAAACTAATTTTTATATCAATATCAATTTTACTGAAAAAATATCTGATTCATAACTAGATTTCATATTATTTAATAAAGTCTCTGGTGAACAATATTTTGTATTTACCATAACTTTTGTATGTAAATTTTCTTAATTATCAATTATTCTACTCATCCTAAAGTCAGCAATCTTATATTTAATGTCATTAAAATGTTTTTTTATTATTATACTTTCTGGTTTTAAATCTCTATGAATAATATTTAATTTCTTTAGTTCCATATATCCTGAACTTATTTATGATATGAAATCAAAAAATTAGAATTTTGTGATAAAATTTTCTGGTTTCATATATTCAACAAGTGTTTCATCATATAATTCACAAAACTAGTATATAGAATCTACCTCTTCTTTGTAATCATATATAGTTAAGAGATTATCATGTCTTAGCCATTTTAATTATTCTAATACTTTTCGTTCTTAATTAAATGTTTAACAATTTATATTCTAATCTCTTTTATTTAAAATTCTTGCAAAACATTTTATTTTTGTATCGGTGTTGATGCAATCGTAAATTGACTCTTCTCTTTCTTTGTTAAACTTCTTATCTAAGTGAATCTCATAACATCCAATAAGTTTTTCCATTAGAAAATTAATATAATCGTTAAATTAATTATTATCAATTTAAAATTTTATTACACTAAGATATTATGTAATACACTATAACAAATATATATCAAATTATAATATTAATAATTTAAACATTTTAATCCTTACTAATGTATATAATCTATATATAAATTCATTGGGCTCTATAAATAATTTTTTAAATTTATTAATTCTAAGGTGAATAAATAAATGCCATGTTGTTAGAGGGTTATCTATTAATTGTTCCCTAATTGCAAAATTACTATTAAGTCGAACTTTTATAGAGGATCTTAGGCTATTAATTTTATAGGGGAATTATTTATTGATTTTATTAAATTTTAATATGCTTATTTTAAAAACTTGTAATTTATCCTTTTGTTTAACAAAAATTATTGCCTACTTGCTAATTATTTTATAGTTGATGATTTTATGGTTGATGAATTTATTATGGTAAATTTGATTATGGTAGATATTATACAGGTAAATTAGATTATGGTTGATTTTATAATGGTAAATTTGATTATGGTTGATGATATTATACAGGTAAATTAGATTATGGTTGATTTTATATTCCATTTCCCTTAATTTAGCAAAGATATTATTATTAGTTTTTAGGTGTTTGTCTAGTCTAAAAATTTGAAACTTTTGGATGTTATTATGATTAATATGGTTATAATTGATTTTATTATAGTTAATGTGGTTAATTTTGATGTTATTATGATTAATATGGTTATAATTGATTTTATTATAGTTAATGTGGTTAATTTTGATGTTATTATGATTAATATGGTTATAATTGATTTTATTATAGTTAATGTGGTTATTAATCTTACAAAGCTAATGACGATTACTATAAATACTTACTTATTTTTTTTTGTATATTTCCTTAAGTATCATTCATAATTTTTTTAATATCTTAGGCTTTTTTTAATAAATTTTACCAACAGATTCTTTCCTCTTTGTTGTACTTTAATAATTAATCTATTATTTTAATTATTTCATCATCTTTGTTATATTCAAATATATTTTTTATTTTTTCAAATTACTGTTTATTCTCATCATTCATTTCTTTAATTTATATGAAACTTTTTATTTTTAAGTAATTCAAGAGACAATTCTTGTGCTATATTTTATCTATTTGAATATTTAAATATAACTCTAACAATACTAACCCAAACTAATTATAAAAATAATATAAATACTGAAAATATATCTGCTAAATAACTATAATCTGATTCATTAATTTCTGGAGCCTTTTTAGATTAAGTGCCTTGTTAATTTCTTGTCGTAATTCTGTTAGATTCTTCATCACATTTTTTACTCTATCCAAAATCAGCAAGCTAATCATATATGATAAGATGAACCTTGTAAATTATTTATCCATTTTTATCTTTTTTTATAAGTATGTTGTCTTATTTTATATCTCTATGCATAATATTTCGTTCCATCAATTAAATATATCCAGATGCCACTTAAATGATTAAATCCAATATTTGTTCTCTATCTAATTATTTTTTATATCGTCCTAAATCTTAATCACAAAGTTCTTAAAAAATATAAATATAATTGTCTTTCTCAATAATATCATATATTCTGACAAGATTTTTATGGAATACCCATTTAAGCTCTGATGATATTTATTTCTCTATTTGATATTGTTTCATTTAGCTCTAATCACTTTTATCCACTATCTTAACACAACAATCGGTATTCCAATCTAGGTTAAGTGCTTTAAAAACAGTGACTGCATTTCCAGATCCTATTTTATCTTATTTAATTTCATAAGGACCAAATTGTGTTTATTTCAATTGTGAATATTCCATTCTCTTCAATAATTCTATTAAAAAAAAAATATTGATTAATTAAAAAAATTATCCTTCATTTATTATCTATAGGATTAAAAAATTCCAATTATTTAATCATTAATCAATTTTTTCTCTATTGTGCTTATGGGTTCCCAGGCTAATTAATTTATAAGATCGGAGCAACACTTTGCCTTTGAATATTTAATCCAGGATTTAAATTACCATTTAGTCTGGGCGTCACTACCTAAAATATTTAAACATTCGGTTATTATACTTGTTAAGGGATTTTATTATTATGAAATTGATGTTGACTTCCTTATTAGATATTTTGAACATTATTAATTTGTGGATTTGAAATTTAATTCATTCCCTAATTGTTGTAATATTGTTATTGTTGAGGCTAATTGCATTAAGTGACTAACGAGTAACATAATCTACTATTTTCTGATGTTAATTGATTTTAAACACCTAATTAAACAGCTGGTAAACATTATTCTTGAATATTTTTAGGTTTTAAGTTTTATACACTAGGATTTTTAAGTAATTGTTTTAATTAATGTTTAACCAAGATATTTAGTTGTTCCCATTATATTCTTTTTTCTGGTTGATAGACAAGTAGATTATCCAAAATTTCCAATAGAAATGGATTAATCTTAAAACTATCATTTAATTAATCCAATATGATAAGTTTTTTAAATTAGCTTTTAACATTATCATGTTATAAGAACCATTATTTTAACCTGTTTTATTCTAGGAAAGAATCTATTTATTTTTTTAAACTTTCATTTAAAGTTATTTATAAAAGGATTTCTAAGAGAATTAAACCAAACTATAAATAAATATTTTAATTACTGAATAAGCGTCAGCAGCCCAGCTATATTAATATTGACTAATTTCTGGGGCTGAATAAGCTTCTGTTCCCTTTTTTATATGCGTTTATTATCTCTAGTTTTATTCTATTTTGCTTATTCCAAAATCACAAATCTTGCTCTTAGATTATATAAAATACTTTGTAAATACATCTATTTTATTTTAAATCTTCTTTAATTAGAATATTTTCAGGTTTTAAATCTCTATGAATAATATAATTTTTTTATAAAGTTATATATCCATCTGAGATTTAATAAATGAAATCTAACATTTGAATAAAGTTGGATGGATCTAATTAGTATTTTGAAAGATCCTTTTCACAAATTTCTTAAAAAATATAAATATGATTCTTCTATTCTATTACACTATAGATTCTTGTTATATTTTAATGAACTATTAATTATATTTATTAATGAACAATCTTTTCTATATTACTTTCTTCTTTTTTCTCAATAATTTTAACACAACATTTCCTATCCAAATCAGTATTATAGGCCAAGTATATTTCTGATGGTACAACAACTCGACAATTATAAACAATATAAGGTCCTAATGTAACCTTGATTTTGTAAAGGGGAGAATAGTTAGATTACATTTATTGAATTCTATCAAAAACTTAATTAAATTAATTAAATAATAATTCTCTCATCATTTGGTTTTCTATTAGTTTTAAATAGACTTTCATGTTAACAATCATGAAAATAAATATGATAATCTTACTTTTCTATCAAACTCATTTCATTCTGTTTTAAATTAATAAAGTATATATACTTCTGACTATTCGAATACTTATATAATCAACTAATTAACTAATCTAATATCTTATATACATTAAAAACCTTAATAGTTTGATTATGACTTACTTTTAACAAAAATCTTGAGATTCCCTTGAATTTTATATTTGATCGTCAATTATTTATTCCTACTATAAAATATTTCTATTCATATATTGATATATAGAAATTGTTATCTATAATTCTACTTCCAAACCTCAATTTTTTAATTTTTATTTGTTTGCTAGGTTAGGTAAACTCAATAACCTATTTTTTAATAGATATTAAAATATTTTTCTAAAATGAACTATTTAATAAATTATCTTAAATCTCTAATCAATATACTTATTATTCTCAAAATTCTACCTTTCTTAAAATCCTTCAATATTGATAACTCTTATAAAAATTAATTAATAATAATTAAATATATATAATCTAATTTTTTAATTATTTCTTTGTTTAGAAAAATAATCAATAACAAATATTTATTCATATATTTTTAGATTTTCTTGTTACTTATAAAATCATTAATATTAATTAATAAGTTTTAAGTATAAATTATTTATTTGCTTATGATTAGAATAACTTATTGTTATCTTCTGTTTATATTAAATAGTTATAATTATTTAAATAACACAAATATTTTAATATAATTATTGATTCAAATGCGACCATAATTACTATAATTTTAAGTAAAATATTCTTTTAAAGAATTATTATTATATTTTATTAAATTTAATATTTTAGACTTAATTTATAATTCAAAATACTCAATACTATTTTAATTTTCTTAATTATTTAAACATATTCTGTAGATGGAAATGAGAATATTAGATTTTACACTTTTAAATATTTAAAGTTATTATAGATTTTTTTGGATTAGAGTAGAAAAACCGACATTAATAATTTAAAAAGTATGATAAGTGTGATTTAATTTCATTAATTCTTATAATTTATTTTTTTAACAAAGCAAAATAAACATGAAGGAACAAGATTAAAGGCAAACTAGATTTTAATCCAAGGCTTAATAATGTGGAATATGTTATAATGCAATTGAGAATTAAGTAAAAGATGTTTGAAGGTTTAGGGAATTCTGGATAGCTGCAGTCATTCATTTTGTTCAGATTGTATTAAAAAATGGTCTAATGTATAAAAACTTATTAATTTTAGATTGAAAACACATGTCCACTATGCAAATAGAAATTCACTTAAATTGAATCCAAGTGGAAGAGAGTATATTTTGAAATTTATTCAGGTTCATTACAAAAGTCATAAGATATCAAAACGAAAATGTAAATAAAACAAGTATCTACCATAATATTGTAGGATTTATGTTAAAGATAAAAGTCAGTCACAAAAGGAAGATCAGTTAAATGTTTTACTTGAAATCCTCATAGAGTTCATTCTTGCTGATAGTATAATTATATTTAACCAATTAGTAAATGATTGAAGATGATTAAAACCTTTAAATTTTTGTATATTATATATATATCTTTATTTAACATCATATTGGATAATCATCATCAGCTTCAGGATCAATAATTTTAGCACTTTCTCCTTTCATTATGTGGCTGATGATACTCTAATTGTTGGCAATTTTTTCTTCATAAGATTTCTTAAAATCTGGATAATGATATAATAGGATCTCCTCATATATCATATCTATTAAAATATTATTTAAATCTACCTTTAAGTTACTCATTTGTAAATTCATACATTTCAAATTCAAATTCCATATTAGATACAGGAACTCTAGTGGGCTATATAATAATATATGTTAAATAATATACCTCATCACTTGGATTGTGGAGCTCCTTTAAATAAGGGTGTTTAAGAGCTTCAGCTGCTGTGATTCTCTTCTTATAATCAATTTCTAATAGTTTTTCTAATAAATCATATCCTTCAGGTGGTAATCCTTTTACTACTCTATCCCATGGAACTTTCTCTAAAGCTCCTAATTCTTAAATAAGTTCAACTAATTTTTGTGATACAAATGTATCTTGAACTTACATTATTTTAGTCTTAGATGGTGTTCCAAGAGTTTCAAATATCATTTTAATTTATTATTTTGCTAATGATATGAATCAAAAAGAGTTTACAATTCTAGCCTCTCCATAATGTTTTTCCTCTAACAATTTCTGCAAATATACATCCAACACTCCAAATATCAACTGCTTATGTATAAGTTTTAAGACCCAATAATAATTCTGGTGCTCTATAGTATCTAGTTTCAACATAATCTGTCATAATATTAGGATTTTATTATTATGTTTTTGTTGTCTATAACAATGCTCTGGATAATCCAAAATCACAAACTTTTAACATACAATCCTATTTATTTAACAATAGATTTGTTGGTTTCTAATTTTTTAGTCTCATTATTATACCAAATCTCGATGTAAAATATTAGCAGAATGCATATATTTAAGTGCTCTAAGAATCTGGTATAAAAAGAGTTTAAAATGATCTTAATTCAATTTAGCATGTTCTTTATCAATAACACGTTTCAAATCAGTGTCTAATAATTCTGTAACACAATATCTATTTAATTTAAGATCTATATTTTTACATATCATAAAAATTCTTTCTGGATTTCGGAAGCTATATTGTAATAAGATTAACTATCTAAAATGTTTGTTTTGATGCTTACATTTTCATGTTTTAAATTTCTTAAGATTTTTAACTCTCTTAAAGTTCTTTTAGCATAAAATCTATGCTCAAAAGTTCTCTCTATTTTTTTGATTGCTACCATTTTTTATTCTGGTATTGTTGCTTTTGTATCTTCACAACCAATAACAATACCATATGCTCCACTTCCCACTGAAAAATTAATAATTAATTTACATTATTATGTTGGCTTATATCTCTTCTCAATAATAAATTCTGATTCATCAACTTTGAATACATTGGCTGAATATGCTTTTTATGCATATTGATCGTAATTATAATTTGAATCCATGAATTAATTTATTAATATAATAAAATATATCTCAATCTCATAACTAATTGACAATCTTTTCTAATATATCAATTGCATCACACATTACTTTCTTATTAATTTGATTAATTTCAATTATCTATTAAATAAATTATATGCTGTTAAGTACTAACTATATAATTTTTAAGTTTTCTATTAAGTGATTAATATTTAATAATTTCTAATTTTTATCCAATTATTTTTGCGAAATTATTTAATTATTTATTTTGTATACTAGTTCTTTTGAACTTTAATCAACTAAATTTTGTTTAATTTACTTATCATTTATTTTGATTATTAAATTGAACTAAAATCCTTCAAGTTTCCTTTTGTATAATATTCTACTACTACTATTATAATACTTATTGTAATAATAATAAAATTAGGTTATGATTATTTAATTGATCTTGATTTATGATTATATTTTATTCTTATTTTACTTCCTGAACTATCTAACTAATTATCTATCTATTTTAAAAAGCTTGATAATATTCACAATATACATTTCCTTAATTTTTAGTATTTACAAATATTTTAAATAATTGGGAGATTTATTTTATATCTAAGAAAATGAGTATTAATATAATATTTATTCTTTTTCAGCAATATAGATTTAAAAGCTCCCTTATTTTTATTTCTCTTTTTAAAACTAACTTGTAATTATATTAAATCTGGCTTGTTACTAAATTAATTAATCTATTTCTTATTTTTAATAGTTTTATTTATTCTTCTATAATATTTGTATGATGACAATATATTTAATTTTTTGTTTCTTCTAATCAATTCATTTCACAATTGTTTATTTTTATTATATCAGGATTGTTTGAATATATTAAGTTGGGATGAGGATTAATGATAATATTAATATAAGTCACTAAAATGAAAATTAATAAAATTTATATTATAATTAAATGCAGAGCAATTGTATTTTGAAGCCACTTTAATTGCAACCTTAAGTAAGTATTATTTAAATATATTAGAAACCTCTGAAACCATTGGCTGGAATGCAATAAAATCTAAATGAACATTTTAACAATATATAGAACATAATCCCTTATCAATTTGTTGATAAAAATAGTCCTAATATAACTATTTGTAAGATAAATGAATAAATTTGAGGTGGATTGACTCCAAAGATAACAGAGTAATCTCTTAGATTAGTATGTGCAGAATATGGAAATGTTGTGAAAATCTCTTTACGTGCATACTATAGAGATGCCTAGGCTTAAATAATAGCTAATGTTACATACGAAAATGCATAGTCAGCATAGCATGCTTATATAGAATTACAGAAAAAAGTAGAAAATGGATTTCATTTTTAACTTTAGTAAATATATTCATTTAGTGTAGTTATGGAGGACCAAGTTATCAAAACACATCTAAAATAGTGAAAATAAAATTACCAAATCCATAAATTAGAGGGATAATTGATAAAATAGCTAGATAGGTAGTAAAGGAAGGGATACAATGTGAATAGATTATCAAATAGAGAGAGATAAATAATAATAAATATGCTTTTTTATTTTTGGTATTTATTTAAAGATTATTTTAGTAATCTGAAGAGAATGAATATTACAAATGGCGAGTTTATTCATTTCAGAATGGAGATGATGAAAAATAATGGAAATAAGAACCATATTATTTCAATTTAAATGAATGCATTTATATTCCACCTTCAATAGAAGTTGAAGAGCCACCTTCATTTGCCAAGAAGGAATTGGAAAAAGCTTAAAGTAATTGTTATATTATGATTACAGTTACAACAAAAAACAAGAAAATATAATATTAAGTGCTAGAAGATTCAGATAGATTGATATTTAGTAAAATGTTAAGGGATTTAAATACATAGAAGTAATGAAATAATAATAGAATAATAGACATACTATAGGGAAGGCAATGATTTTTTGTATTGATCATTAGGACTGTCCAGCAGATTTAATGTTGATTTTAGAGGAATCCCTTCTAAATGATTCAACATGGTCAATGAAAGTATTTGTAAATAATAATTAAAGCTTGCTCGTTTATATTTGATTTCAGATATCTTGAATAACTGTAATCATAATTTTAAAAGTTACATCTAGTGGTGTTTACCTAAAATTTTTAGTAATTTAGATTAGTTATTACCTTATAAAGAGAAAGTAATTATATTTATAATTTATTAAAGATTTTGAAATTGTTGTAATGTTGGAGAGAGTAGAATTTGTTTGACCAAAAGTACTTGAAGGGATTAGAGCTATCCTTTTTGATGAAAGAACAGTCAATCCAAATTGAGAGCATCTCCTCATAGCTTTATAAAGTCGATGGTTATTTTATTGAAGGAAAAACTCGCACATGTTGATGATGAGACACTTGATCGTATTTGCCGAATTAAGGGACTGTGCTCTTAGGGTTCTCGTGATACATTAATCCAACGTTTAGTTTAGCATAAGTTCTACAACCGAGCCAATCCAGACGTTTCTCTTGAATAAGTGTCCAAATTTGTTCAAGTTTATCGTTACATTGTTGATAAGGTATTTATTATCTATATTATCATCTAATCAAAGGATTAATAAACTATTATTTCATCCTAGAAGTAATCATTTACTACATAGATACAAATGATGCAAGAATTTCTTAAACTTATACAAAAGAGGTAAATATTATATTATCTTTAGATATAAAAATATTATAAGTAAAGAAGGAGAGGAAATAGATGCAATTGATGAAAGAATATATGAATTCAATAAACATATTGAGATCTAAAGAGCTGAAAGAAATCTTTATATAAACATAGATGGTAGAGAACTTACTGAAGAAGATATCAGAACAATTGAAGATAAAAAGGTTCAGGTTGTAACCAATTATGAATTGACTTATTTACAACCTAAACCACCTTTGCCTCCAGTCCCAACTGATCCCATTGAAGTAATATTATTATTTATCTTTTAGATTGAAGTCTAATAATATAGAGATATTCTCTTTTAAAGTGGTTTATATGATCCTTTCAAAATAGAAGAATTCTCTAAATCCAAAAGAGCCTAATTGATTAAGGCTGATCAAATAAGAAAGGAGAGGGAAAAACAATTGCTAATAAAATAACAATAAGAATAAAGAGAGAGAGAAAGAGAGAAGGAAAGAGAGAGGGAAAGAGAAAGAGAAAGGGAGAAAGAAAAAGAAAGGGAGAGAGACAAAGAAAAAGAAAAAGAGAGAGAACGCGAACGAGAACGAGAAAAAGAAAAAGAACGTGAAAGAGAAAGAGAACGATAAAGATATCATAGTATTCTTATTTATTTCTATATATCGATAGATCGTAGTAATAAAAGAAGCAGTGCAAGTTCAGAATCAGATAAAAGGAATTAAAAGAAAAAGTTTGATACAAAAAATGATCAAAAATATGATTAAAAACATGATTCTAAATATTATAAAAGAAGATCCAGATCAAGAAGCAATTCAAGAAAAAAGAAGACTCAAAACAAAAAGAGATGAGTAAAATAAATAAAGCATAAAAATATAATTATAAAATATATATTTATTCATCATATTTAATAATGAATTCTGAATTTGTTTTAGAATAATTAGCCCTTGGAAAACGAATAGATGGTCGAGATCCTTTATAATAAAGGATGATTTAATGTCATTTTGGGCCTTAGAGTACAGGTGCTATTGAATTAAGTTTGGGTGAAACAAGAGTATTAAAATCATAAAATTTAATTAAGGTATTTGCAACAACTAGTGCCTCAATAACAACACCTAATCCTATAAGACCTTCAGAAGGATTCCTTAAATTTCATTTGGATTTATAAGTGTTAAGAGATACTGGTTATATGCACAATCCAATTAAATTAGGAATGGAAATTGAAAAATACATTGAAAAAGTAATAAAAGGATCAAAGTATAAAATTTATTAAATAAAGAGCTCTTGATACTGAGTCTTTATGTATTTTATCTGGCAAAAATGTTTGGTCTATAGATGTAAATGTAGCCTTAATTAATAATGATGGGAATCTCTTAGATGCCATGTATTTATGTTGTATTTTCTCTCTACAACATTTTCGAAGACCTTAAGTAAGTGTCTCCCTTTAAGGAGTAAAACTTGAAATAGAGAAGCGATTAGTACCATTAAGTATACATCACATTCCTTTGAGTCTTACTTATGCAATCTTAGAATTAAATGAATAAACTATTCTCTTATAAGATCCATGTGTAATATATTGTATTGATTTTTCTAGTTAGAAGAGGAAGCAGTTCAGAATGGAAGAATCACATACAGTGTCAATATATATAATGATATATGTCATGTCCACAAACCTGGAGGATCACCAATAAATATTTCAATATTATAATAATTGACAACAGTAACTTTGATGAAATCAAGACCATATACAGAAGAAATAAGAAATCTCTTAATCAACAATAAGGGTTTTCCAATTGAAAAGACAGTGACATTATTCAAATTTGAATTACCTAAATAGGCTAATGATGCCATATAAGTTGAGTAATTAGAGTAATTGTATAATTAATGAATGATTAATAATTGTTATTTTGTTTTTATATAATTAATGAATAATTAAAATCGAATTCCAAAGGGAGATCTTAAAAAAGTTGTGGATTCTCAATTTCATTATGAAAGAAGAAAATATATTTTTTGGGCATTCAATACTTCATATTTGGGGATAGCTTTCTTTTAAATTTATTCAGATGTAGTAATTGAAGGTGGAGAGAATCCTGCCTTATGTGTTGATACTGCACTCTTGAATCATGATTTACAATGTCCCATAGGTTTATATAAGACATTAGTTGCTTTGATTGTTGCTCATTTAATTTAGATGCTATCAGCTACAATTGGATATTTTGGTATAGATTAAAAGTCAAGAAAAATAAATAAATCGTATTCAAGTATTTAATTTGATAATATTTATTAGTATTATTGATTGGTTCATACATTTATGATTTGATAACATCATTTATATTATGGTTTTCATATAATACTTGGGATGATACTCCTTTTAGAAATACTAAAAATGAATTTCTAATGTTATCAATATTCTTCCCAGCTTTAATGGCAGTGGTTGGATATTTCTGTTTAAGTTAATTCAAAAAAGCTACTTTTGAAAATGCATGTAAATAATATAGATTTATTAATAAGAAATGTAATAAGCAAAGGATGAATTATTAGAAAAATATCCATAAATCGCATCAGATGTAGTCAAATTGTTTTTATGATAAAAAAGATAACAAATAAAATTAATCAAAACTCTAATTTTCTAATATATTCAAAATTTTCTTTTAAAAATTCTTTTTAAAATTTTTCAGGCCATTTCAATTCTTTAGCCATAATTTAGAATACTTTCTCATATACATTAAAAATGGCATTCTAATCTAAGAAACCTAATCTTGTTCTTCTAAATAAAATATCTTCAGGCTTTCTAGCTTGTTCATATCTAATTTGGTACAATATTTCTCCAATAGTATGGGGAAATTGTGGATGTAAACATTCCTTATTTTCTGGTTTTTCATGAACCAACTTTAATACATCATATGCTCTGTCTCCATATGTTGTTAAGAAATAGGCTGCATAAGATTATGGTAAATCGAACTTATTCATCATTACTTAGATTTCTTTTTTATTATCAAATTATGTCCAATCACCAACTAATTTTGGTAGATTCTCAATCCTTTTATAATTATTTCCAATTAATTCTTAAACTTTATCTACTGTTTATTCACCCATCAATCTAAAGATTGTCCATTTACCACCCATAACTGATATTAAACCACTTTTTGATACTTCTATTTCATGAGTTCTTGAAACTTCTTTTGTGCTAAGAGCATTGTTTTAATAAACTAAAGGTCTTACACCACACCATTTTGATTTTACATCTTTTGCTACTTCATTAGCATCAATAGCAAATTCATCACAAAATGATTTCAATAACCACATATATTCCTCATTACTTACAGTAGGATCATTTATAGTATTATCTAATTTTCGTTCTGTAGTTCCCATTATCATATTTCCTAACCAAGGTACCATATATAGAACTCTACCATCATTAGTTTTTGGTATCAAATAACCCCAATAACTAGATCCATATTTTTAAGGCATTGTTAAATGACTACCTGCAACTGAAACTATTCTCTTGCTAACATTAGGATCATCCATCAAACGTAAATTGTCAGCCCAACCACCAGTTGCATTTACAACACATTTACCTTTTATTTGAAATTGTTTCTATCCAATTTTATCATATGCTTAAACTCCTACAATCTTATTTTCTTAATTTTTCAATAAACTTTTAACTTCAACATAATTTGCCATATTCTATCCTTATCAAATAATTTATTAATATACCTTTTAGACTTGATGTAACAAGTAATTCTTAAACCATTCTAGCATCATTAAATTATCCATCATAATAAATGACACCATAATTACATTTAGCAAATTTAAAATGTTATTAGATTTCATCTTTGCCAACAATTCTTGGAGGTTTAAAAGTATGTCCACCTGTTTAATAATATAAGTAAACACAATGATATATCAAAGACCCAAAATAATAATATCCCAAATCAAATAAATTTGTACAAGGTATTAAAGTAGGGAAATCTTATGTTAAATAAGAACACATTGATAAAAAATTAGATCTCTCTTTTAATGCTTCTGCCACCAATTACCATTTTTCCATTCTATTTTTTTCTGACAGTTGAAATACTTATTACATATACCTTACACCTCCATGAACTAATTTTGTGGATTTACTAGATGCACCACTTGCATAATCTTATGACTCTAAAACTATAGATTTTAATCCTCTATTTGCACAAGCGAGTGAAACACCTGCTCCAGTAGCTCCTCCACCAACTATAATGACGTCGTATTCCTTTGATAGTGCGTCAGCTAAATGTTATTCTCTACTCTTCAATTGATAATGAATATGTCTTGAATCTCCTGCACTTTATAATTAAACTTTTCTTTAGGTTAAAATTGAAGCTACTGCAACAAAGGCCACTCTATTCATAAATAATATTTTAATAAATAGATTTTTAAACTTTAAAAATAACTAAAAATAGTTCCATTCATTCTAATTGCTTAAATTAATTATTTTAATTTCCTAATAATTATTATTTCAATATAATATTCTATTTTTCTCATCAATTTATATTAATTCTAGATTCTTAATGAAATCTAAATATATCAATTTTTTAGAATACATAATATTATTAAAAATAATTAACAAGTTTTTAAATAATATATTATATTATTTTTTTTAAGAATATCATATAAATTGATTACATTCAGTATATATATTTTTTATAGTTAATTTAATAATGTTGCATTTTAAGATATTTAAAGGAATTAATGATTTTTGTAAAATATAAACAAAATTGAATTAATTGTGTTTTAATTAATATTTAATGGAAAAAACAATTACCATTATATTCTTTGCTCTTCTAGCCTTTGAGTTTTTTAAACCTCAATAGAAGGAAGAATAATGGTAGGAGAGTAAAGAATAAATTCTAAATTCTCATCCAAGGAATCATGTTGATAATGGAAAAATTGAAGTTCTCATTTAATATTGCACAAGTTGATCTTATAAAGGAGCATTTTAATAAATACAATAGGCAATATTTAATTAATTTGATGAGAGAGTAGATGTAATGGGAATGCCATATCCATTGGGAGAAGGCAAAGAGAAATTAATACAACTTCTAACAATAATCTAATATGGATTTATTGCTGGTTTGATTTTCTTTGACAAATAAATTAGTGAGATGAGTAATTTTTGGAGAAATAATATAAGTCAAAGCAAATTAAAATATGGGTTTTTAGGTTATATTGCTTTTAATTTTATTATTACTTAACTTTCATCATCAGGAGCATTTGAAATATTTATTAATGATTAATTAATACATTCTAAAATCAACAGTGGTTAGATGCCTTCTATGGATATAATATTCAAAATTATTAGAGAAAGATTATAATGAAAATAGATAGAAAGATCAATTATATATGAGAATGAGAAATTTTAAGTAAAGAGTTTAAACTTAAGATTTTGAAAAATTATAGTTATATAATTGAGTCTTTTATTATTTATTTATTTAATTCACTAGTGATATTGTTATAATAATATTATAAATTATAAATAATTATATTCATTTCTTAGTCCAGGCATGATAGAATGCTGAGGATGATGATAGGGTAAAAAAAACACAATAAAAAATAGTTAGTAATTTGGCTATGGACTTTGATATGATATAATGGTTTCTGACTGCCATTATTAATGTAAATAATAAATTAAGAAAGGCTGCTAGAATAACCATCAATTTGAAAGCATTTTATTCAATGTCAATTATACTAAACAAATTGAATTTGATTGGACCATTATTTACAAAGTTTTGTTTCAGGAATGCTACACTAAATCCAATCAAGTTTGTAAACATTTGACCAACTACAAATAGTTTAATCATTTTTTACAATATATTCCATTTAAAGCCATAATTGCTATAAATAGGGTTATATCTTACCATAACCTTCTTCAGCTAAGGAAACTAAGGTGATGCAATCTGGAAGTACATTTCCCATGGCAATTAAACTAAAACCTAAATATGTTTTATTTAATTCTGTTATTATCCCCCAAAATTGAAGAAAATCAATTAATAAACCAGATAAAAAGAATATCCAAACTAATGAACCTAATATACAGTATAATTAAAGATAGAAAAAATATTTTGGAGGTGTTTTTTAAGATGGAATAGTAGTATTTAAAAATATAGAAATTCCAAATCCAAATAATAATGCTAAAAAGTAAACCCACCAATGAGGGAAACTAAAAACAACAGAAACAAAAAATATTGATCCTGGAATTGGAAATACTATAGTAATAATTATCTTAAATTTACTTATTGCTTAATTTTTATCAAATTAATCTTCTTTTGGTCCAGGTAATGTATATTTAAATATTTGTATTAAAGGATAAATAATTATTGCCCTTATTTTTTCATATAATGATAATCTTTCCCATTTTTATCTTTATGTTTCAATATTAGCCATTGTTAATTAAACAGCAAATCTAAACTTTTTAGCTAACATCTTCACTCTTGCATCTCCTGTTACATAATTTAATCTAATAAGTGGAGTAGCCCATTTAACTGGTTTAGCAGCTAATTCTTATTCAGATTTCTTATCCCAAAGATAAAGTAATTTCATATCATCAAATTTTTAAGCAATTTCTAAATCATATTTTGCTTCATGAACAGTCTACAATCTTTCACCCAAACTATCTTTTCTACTTTTCAATATTTTATCTCTTTCTTAATAATATACTAGTGAAACTAATATCAAATATAAGACAGTTAATGATATACTAGAGAAATAAGAGATTTAACCAATAACTCCAAATACCATAATTACAAAAATAGAGATTATTTGAAATCCAACATTTCTCCAAAAATGCACAGGATCCATTTTAATTTGAGATTTCGATGTTTTCGTTATTAAATACACACCTATACTGCATAAAAACTAAAAATAAATTGAACAATCTATTTTTTACAAATCCTGCTCCCATCGTTGCTCCAATATTATAATCAATCCCTCCTGGATAAGATGATGCTACTAATGCAGTTAATACATCACCAGCTCCATTTCCAAATGCAAGTAGAGTCACTCCTGCCATAATTTCTGAGACATCAAATTTAACTTTGACTGCTTCTAAAGATGGTATTAGAAATTCTTTTATAATCTCACTAATTCCATTATACACCAAATAACCAACAAATCCAGACACCATTAAAGTTGTCTAAAAATGTTAATGTTCTATTTTACCATAATTGATCCATTTAGCCAACAATAACTTAAAATACTATAATTGAAGTATAGAAAATCATGTTAGCAATATTGTTAGGCAATGTAACATTGTTAACTATGTTCTGTTGCTGAAAGGAAATCAGATTTTTAACATGAAAGAATTTTAGGCTCATAAGGGGCTGTAGATAAATGTTCTAACATTAAAATTAATGGGCAATAATTGTACCTGTTGGAAACATGATTTACAAAATCAAATAGAACAAGATAAAAAATCTAAACCTAGATGGCAAAGTTTAGAGTTCTTGAAATCATAGGAGCATAAAATAGTTAAAATGCAGTCTTGGATTCGTGGATGGTAAGCTCGTTAAAGAGTTTGGAAGATTCAATTGCAGAAATATAATGACAGTGTCAATGAATAGTTAAGAACGTAGCCTCACTTTTAACAGTAGATATTCCGTCAGCGTGATTAATGTAGGATCTAGACAGCTACCTCCATTTGATTTTGGAATTGACGATATTAATGATTCTCTTGTTCATTAAAAAGTACTTAAAGCACCAATGAAATTAGAAAATGGATCCACTTATTTTGGAGAATGGATTAATGATTTAAGACATGGCAAAGGAATTTTGATTTGTGATGTAATTCCATTTAATTATAAAAGGATGGTTCAAAATATGAAGGTTATTTTTATTAAGGAAATGCTCATGGCAGAGGAAGATTAATACATTCAAATGGAGAAATCTATGAAGGATAATGGGAAAATGATGAAGCACATGGTTAAGGAACATATATTCATGAAGATGGAGCAACTTATATAGGATAATGGGAACATGATTTATAACAAGGAAAGGGAAGTGAGAAATGGCCAGATGGAAGGTTAGATTCATATTTAATTTTAGTTATTTTGAAGGAACCTATAAATAAGGTAAAAAAGAAGGATTGGGAAAATTTGTATGGGCAGATGGAGCAATATATGATGGAGAATTTAGAAGCAATAATATAGATGGATATGGAAAATATACATGGCCAGATGGTAAATAATATATAGGTTATTGGTAAAATAACAAAAAGTATTTTTAAATAATAAATTATTAGAAATGGTAAAGGTAAGTACATATGGCCTGATGGAAAAGTGTATGAAGGAGATTTCGTATTTGATCAAAAACATGGTTAAGGAATATTGAGATTCCCTGATGGTAGAGTATATGAAGGGGAATGGTAGTAAGATAAACAACATGGTAGAGCCATATTAAAATTACCTAATGGCAAAACATCTTATGGAGAATGGAAAAATGGAATTCGTATCAATTGAATTACTATTAATCATTGGTTAAAAATTATTATTCCAAGATTTTTTAGATATTCTTTATAATATTGTTAATATTTAATGAATTCTCTTAAGATTATTAAAAAGATATATTACTTTAATATTAATTCATTTAAATTAATCTCTTTTCAATAAATAATTTTGAACTTTTATCTTTGTTAAACCAGATTCATCATATATACATAATATAATTATATAAAATAGTAAAAATTAGTTAATTTTTAATGTACAAATGATATATATATATATATATATATATCAAATAGATTTAATTGGTATTTGATGTCTTTAAATAATTTAAAAATGAATAGAACATTAAAATTTATTATTTATTTCAAATAATATATTGTATGAATAAGAATATTTAAAAAATATACAGTTATCAATAATGAAAACGGATTAATAAAAATATAATAATGAGAAAGCTTAGTCTTTTATTATTAGCAATCATTTATGTCAATGCAATTGATCCAAGCATGGTTTAATTAGGAACAGCAAAGCTTGATGAATTGAATTAAAGCAATTTAGGTAAAATGATCTTAGAATTGGCATAAACTCATGCAGAAATGAGAGGACCATTAGGTAAAATAAATAAAATTTAACAGGAACCTAGATGATTTAGTGACTGCAATAGGGGATTTAGAAAATGAATTAACTGCAGAATTACAATAATTAGATGATGATTATACAAGATCAACTAATTAACATGCTGCTACTCAAGAGAATTTAGATATTCAAATAGGATAAACAGAAATTAATATATTCAATTAAAAAGACTTTATTGATGCTATTCTTTTACCAAGCATTGATTAAACAAATTCAAAAATTGATAGATTGAATGGATACATAAATGATAATAGAGATAATTTATCAAAAGAAACATTAAATAGATAAAAATAACATCAATAATTTTTAGATAGAGGTAACAATATAATATATAATTTAAAAGTAAGTGAACATTAAAGTGCTATAAGTGCAGTTGATGAAGCAATTTAATTAATTAATGCTCTAATTAATGGAAATATTTCATTTGCTGAAAAAGGAACAATAAATTAAGCAATATAAAGAATCAATACTAAAACACAAAAGACTAATACAGTTCATCCAATTGTTGAAGCTCTTATGTCATTAACTTAAAATTTTTCAGATTAAGAATAAGCTAAGAAAATTAGAGATTTATTGTCAGATACAAGAAATTAATTAGTAGCAAGTTTAAATTAAGAAACAGCAGATGAAAATTAGATTGAGTAAACTTGGGTTGAAAGATAAAAAACTTTAAATACAGAATATTAAGAATTTAAGAGATCTGTATTAGAAGCTACTTATGTGTTAGCTACTTATTAGAGTAAAAAATATTAATTAATTTATTTATTTAGGCAAATTAAAATCAACAAGAGAAGCCTTAGCTGAGAATGAAAATGATCTCTAAAGTTATAAAGATTCTTTATGTAAATAATATTGAGATAATTTAATTTAGAATAAGATAAAGATGCTTAAGCTTAAGAAACTTAAATTTATAATGAATTAAAGAGCCAATACTTAATATAATTGTAAACAACTAGAAATGCTAAGGAATTTGTAAACTCTGCTGAGTTCAGTAATGTTATAAGATAAAAATTAAACTAAGGTGGATTAATCTGATAAATTTAATATCATTATCTAATATTAAGAACAGATTTATATCTAACGATTTTTTCACTTATTTATAATTTATCATCTATTTATTAAAGAATGATAATTAATTGAATTTGATAATAATATGTTCAATAATTAAGAAAAATGAACGTATATAAAGTACTTTCAATCAAATTTTAACTAATAATAATTGTTGTTTGAGTTCTGATATAAGAACATCTATATCAAATTCATGTTGATTAATTTCGAAAATAGCCATAGATATTGATGTATGCAATTTTTACAATTATTTAAAATTGGAATTTAATACTTAGATTTGTGTTCTAATTCTTTTTTCTTACTAAATACTTTCTAATTTTTATTTTTATTTTTTGCGTTCTTCTAATTTTTCATATTTAATTTCTTCATAAATTTATTAATGATATTTTCCATAAAATAGATCAATCTTATTTTTATCAACTTTTTCTTTCTTTTATTGTTTTGCAATGTTTCTAATAATATGAACTAATTTCTTTCTCATAATTCTATCAATGGATTCTTATTTACTTTTTAAAATGAAAGATTTAATCATTTCTTCATCATCACAAGCTTTAATAAAATTACTTAAGAGTTTTTAACCAAATTTCTTTGATTTTTATTTGCTCCATACACTATTAGTAACTCTATTATTTATTAAACTTTGAATAATTCTATAATCAGGATCATCAACAGAAATATTCTTTAATTTTTATGATTTTTAAACATAATATTTAACTTTAGAAATGGCCTAATCAAAAATATTGATAGACAATTACATTCACAAATCTTTCTCTAATAATTTTAAATCTAGCTTATTTTTAGCCAACAATTTGTAACATTAAATCTTATTAAACACTTTAATATGGACGATTATCAAACATTTATTTCATATTGTCTAATTGTTAAGCAATTGTATTTTTTCTGTTTAATTATTAACTCTCATTAATTGCATGTCCTCTTCTAATTTTATTTAATTTTTCTATTAAAATTAATACAATTTTATTTACATCTTTTCAATTTGGCTTATTAAAATAGTATTATTTTTCTTCTCTTATACATCTATTGTAATTCAAAAAATTAAGGTGATTCATTTTATAGATATTGTGAAAAGAAATGAGCAGAACACATCAAAACAATACTTTCCTGTAATGCCAAAGCACTCCAACATCTTTGAGTATATTCAATTGATTCAATCTCACCAAAGCATGTTCCTTCCATTACTCTTATAATAGATTCTCCATGGGCATCACATAATCTCACATCTCCTTTAATAAGAAAATAGAAATCATTGGCACTCTATCCTATATGATATATAGTTTCATATTATTAATAACAGAATAAGGAACAATTAGGTAAAATAGCTGCTGAAAAGTTAATGTCATTAGACATAAATGGAATAGTTCTAAAGATTTCTTTATGGACTGCTGCCATCATATACAAAATTAATTGATGTGGTAATTCAAAAAGTATTCTTTTAGCATCATCAGCCCAGAAAGGATTATATTGAATATTATATTTTGTAAATCTAAATAAATCTTCTTACATCCATTCAGGCATATTTACACTAATATCTTCTAAATTAAAAAGTTAATCATCAAATTCTTGATTAGGATTAGATTGAATTAAAATAAATGTTATATTTCCAATTGTAAATGAATAATATCCAACTCCTATTAACATCCATATGATTACAAGTAAATATTCATCTGAATTATGAGCTTCTATATCCCCATAACCAATTACTGTTATGGTTTAATAAGCCCAAAAGAATGCTTAAATTAATTGAGTTAATTAATCCTTTTCATTTAAGTTATAATATGATAACCAATTTGTTTCTTCATTAAATCTACAAATCCATAACCATAAACAAGCAAATAAATGATTAAGTACTATCATTTCCATAAAGATCTTTATTAATTTCTTTAATCTCAAATCCAAATTATATTCATTTCTTACTACTAATTCATCTTTAATTGCCTTCTACTACTTCAATAAATCAAGAGATTAATTGTATGCCACTCTTCTTTCAAACAGGAAAAATCGAATTAATCTTATAAGTTTTAATAATTTGAGTCCAGTTAAATTAAAATCAGGAAGTACTGAAATTAAATCAAATATAAACCAACTACTTAAATAATGATAAGCAATATCCTTAAAGTTGTAAATCAAATCTAATTATTTATTCACATGACAAATAAAAAAATTCATGATTAGATCCAACCAAAATATTATTTAAATTATCAAAGTTAGTTGACTGCCTACTCCCTCTATTATATTTTATAAAATATACTTCAAAATCAAATGCTACTTATAAAGGGAATAAAATTGCTGCAAAATCAGTGCATAAATTTATAATTAATCCCCATAATATATAAGGTATATCATCTGGAAATAGAGGTAACCAATTTCTTCTTTTGTAAGCATAACGTAAATTTTGGCTCCTTAATTATTCAGCATAATTCCTTAGTTCATCTATAAAGTGTTAAGCATTTATAATCTTTCTTATTAGCCTTTAAAATTATAATTTTTTATCTGTCCTTTGAGAATGAGTAGGAGATATAGTAGCTGTTGAGGAAAATTGTATGCTTACAAATAAAACTTATAATCTTACAAATTTTTTACTGTTTTAGCTCTTTTTTTTCTATTGCTATTGTTTAATGGTTGTAGAAATCCACTATGAGTTTGTATCAAACCAACTTAAGATCCCATTTCTGTAAATTACCTTTGACTACTCCAGGTATGCAATGTCTCAGTATCCTCTTTATGTTTAAAGGGATGAATTTTCATTAATTTATGTTTTTAGAAAAATACTTTTTAATATAAATTAACTGCGTATTAATTAAAAATAGGGAATTTCTTAGATTATTAACTATTATTTCAAAGTGAAATGGAAGAGTCGGAAACATTTTTACAAATTGATAAAATCAAATTAATTTAGTTTGGGAATTATAAATATATATCAATCAGATAAAGGTGTATATTAACTTGGTTTTATTTTTGATTTTCTAATAATACTTTGTATATGTTCAGATCTAATTGTTCTTCTGGGTTTTTGAAGTTTTTATAGGATTTTATCTAAATTGTAATTAGTAAAATAGTAGGTTGTAATAAAATATCTATCTAATTCAAAATCTACTCTCTAAATTTAATTAGGAGATTCACTAGGTTTTAATGAAATTACTTCATCCAATTAATTAACCATATTACTACCAGTGACTTCAGATTTAGATTGAGATTTTGTTGGCATTTCAAGATCCATATTTGAATATGAACTTGAATTATTTTTTCTTAGTTTTTAAACACTACATTAAACTTATTATTATTATTATTATTATTATTATTATTATTATTATTATGGAATTTAATCTTATGAAATACAACTAATATTAGTAAATCGATTATTTGATATTTATGTTAATCTTTAAAGAGTTTTATGTCTATTATCTGCTTTCCTTCTAAATGAATTCTATGCCCTAAGAACTTTAGGTTCTGGCTCTGGAGTAGGATGAAACTTAACCTTCTTTAATTCCATACTTTACAAATGGGAATATTTCGATGATTTAGGGGTTTTACTTTTATTAAATTATGAACTGGAGTCATCACTGTCAGAGGAATCACTACTAAATTATTCAAATCCTGTAAATCCTCTTAGAATAGATTTATTAGACTTTTGACTTTTTAAAGTCTTGATCAATCTTCCATTTTAATCATCTTCCATATTAAAACCTAATATATCTAAATATTGATCTGTTAAATCATCAATAGAAATGATATTATCATTTACAATAATAGCTAAAGCATGTTCTCTAATAATATTCCTCTAAAACAATCTCTTAATTTAGACTCTATTATGTGAGGTACGTAACATATCTTCTGACATCATAAACTTCTTTCTGATTCTATCTTAGTTAAAATGCACGAAAACTAAAGGACAACTAATTGAATTTAGAAGTATACTTTTTAAATTGATGAGTCCATTTACATATACAGCAAACTTCACCATAATTTTATTTCTCTTCAGTAAACAACATTTGATCTCTAAGCATGCAATAATTCTCTTCTTCTAATGCATCTTCTCTAACAATCCTAAGAAAATCCTCATAACTATTTTAAAAATTAAATTAACTTGATGAATGCAATTTAACAGAATTTAGTTGATCTAATTGAATAATCATAACGTGCTTAAGTAATGAATTCTTTTTCACCTACGAATCTGCCTTCCTCAATTGTTGCGACTATAGTTTCTCTTAATTTTTAATCACCTTAAATAATAAATAAAATAATAAATTACAAATCAAATTCAATTATCCACTTTAAATAAATATTAACTTATTAGCTTAATCATTTTATGCTGCTATAATTTCTTCTGGAGGCACTTTAAGCTCATGTACAAATGAACATAATTTTTGAACACTTTTTAATGATAATGTCTATTTGATTAGTCTAGATTTCTTTAGCATTTCACAATACATATCTATTGCAACCTATTCTTTTAACTTCTTATCTAGATTGATCATCATTTTTTCACCTAACTCATTATAATCTTATTCCATCCTTAAAAAATATTCAAAGTATTTTCGAACTTATAACATTAATTATTTATTAATGTTTTTCTTTTTAAGGAAGTTGTTTATATGCATCATTTATTATTTGAATTGTTGTTCTTTTTCAGTCATTTGTCTTAAAATATTTCCTATACTAGAAATTGTATATCCAAATAGACCACATATTACCATAGCCATTAAAATTACATAGATTCTTTCTAAATCTGTTTAAGGTACTATATCACCATAACCAATTGTTAAAGTAGTGATAGTACTAAAATAGAATGCATGTATATATTTTGTAAGCCAACTTGCATCAGTTATATTCTTAGCTATCAACCATGAATTCTTTCCATTTTCTAATTAATTTTCTCCTATCAGATTCCATAAACATGCACAAAAATGAGACACAAATAATACTAAAAACATTGATTTGAATAGTTCCAATAATGTTTATACATTAATTGATGGATTTGTGACTTCTTCAATTGCTTCAATCATTGATTTTACTTTTGTCACTCTTAATAATAAAATATATTCTGTGTAAGGAACTGAATAAGAAGATAAAATAAATGGAATTACAATCATCAAATCCCACCATAATTAAAGACTTGCATAATGTTTTAGAATTTCCTACTTATCTCTATGTATTTAACCTTAACTATAAAAAGCAGTAAAGAATGTTAATATTATATCTATAACAAAGGTCCAAGAAGGTAAGGTTTCTAAAAATATACTACTTAAAAAGTCTTCTCTATCAAAACCAAATCCCAACTTCATTGGAATGTAGAATATGTTGATAATAATTTAGGTTAATACAAAAATGTCCCAAATTATTTTAACATTTGAATCAGGATCTAATACAGGTAGCTAATTCAAAACCCATTTCAAATTCTGCATTACTTATTCAACCTTATTCAATCTATGCAATAAATTATCTGCATCGCTTGCTTAATCTTATATTAAACCAACTATCTCATTTGTTAATGATTTGAACTTTACTTCAGTAGAATGAGTTTTCATTTACTTTATAAATTTAGTGATATAAAACATTATTCTTAATCCTCCATGGACCCATAAATTAGTTTTTTCTTTAATCTCTATTTGAAGTATGCTCTTACTTTCTTCCTCAAAATCAGGGTCTGGATCTGGACTCAAACAATCTCCTTTAAAAGTGTTTTAGACTGGTTATTGTAATTCAATTTTTCTATTTGAACATACATTTGGCTCGAATGATGCATCTTCACTATTGTTATCACAATGGGGCATGGTGAACCCTTAACGATACTTCAAAATTCCTTTGATTGTTTGACTCTTAATTATTAAATACCTTACCTTCTTTATTTCGAAGTTCCCAAATCAGATTCAAGGAGTAATGACATTATTTTATTTTTACTTTAATTATAATGTTTTTCATATTTGTATGAAAAATAATATTTTGTTTGTAATATTAATACAATATGTATATAAAACACTTACACAAACTAACTATTTCTCAATTAATTTATTATAATTACAGGATTTATCAATTTATTATTAAAAAAATCTAAGAAATTAAAAAAAAAACATAAATACAATTTAGAAATGAGTTCAAAAGAATGATTATGTTGTAAAAGAATATAGATAAATGAATACTATATTAAGATTAATTTATAATAAATAACTTAATTAATCATAAATAGATCCTTTGTGTTCTGTGATGTATAAGTTATTTTAATTTATATATATTTAGATTTTGTTTAGATTTTCAAACTGAATGAATACAGATAATTTTGAATAAATTTATTTTTAAAAAAGATAATTCTAAATAGATATAATAATTGAATACAAAGATCTAATAATTATTGTAAATATCAAATTCTCTTTTATTTTCAATTTTATATTGAATCAAATCTAAATTTGTAATTTATGTTATTGATTTAATTGAAAGTGATTAGAGAATCACTTAAAAAAAGTATATTTTGATATTATATCTTGAGAAAATTAATTCTGTAAAATAATATGAGATTAATTAATTTATATTTTAAGTATTAACAAATTAAAGATTTGAAAAGTAAAATGAGTTTAGATGAGGATGAAGAAAAATATGAAAAAGAAGGGAATGATTTTGTTTTATTATTTATTTAATTATTCAAATTCAATAATTTAATTAAATGGATAATTATTTCACAATCATTAGTTTACTTGGACTTAGAAATTAGAATCTACCTCCATTTAGGTGAGTATTAATTTTATATATAATAGAGAAGCTCGTTTGAAGAGATATAGATCAATTAAGAAGATGGTTGAATTGATTGAGACAGCTGGTTGGACTTAGCCAAAAATACCATTCAATGCCTTTTGCTTAAGTTCACAAGATCGTAAAAATACGCATTTGAATATTTATTTTAGCCGAATGGGAAGATGATATGACCTATCCTGTTATAGAATATAATAAATTTGGGTATTAGGCTGTTGCTTTTGGAATAAATTTAGTAAATAATATTTTTAATATTTTTCATAGTTCCTTTATGCATATAACTATAATGTAATAACACAAAACATTAGATTCAGAACTTTTAGATATTTATTCCCTGTTGTTTAATGTGTTATTTTTGGTAAAATATATTTTGAATACAAATCTGAATTAACAAAAGTTAATTTGTTTGATGAGTATGTTCAATTAAGAGCATAAGAATTAGTAAAAGAGAATGAATTTCTTTTGGAACATGAAGGTAAGTATGCATTTATGATTTTAATATAGATATCAAGAGATTTGTTTGGTGGTATGAAGATTACAAAGAGACTTTATGCAGAGTTCATAGATAAGCTAATGATCATGCTGCAACTGACTTCAAAGACTCTGAATTGATATTACAAGACTTTATTCGCAGATATACAAATCCAAATTCAGCAAGACCACTCAATATTTAAGAGAAAGGAGTTTTATTCTGAAATTATTATTCCAAAATAAATAAATATTTTACAAACAATAACATTGTATATGTTGGCAATTTAAATTTTCATTTTAATAGTCTCAACACTCTTTGGATTATCATTTTAATCATAAATATGTCCAGACATAATATATGATTGTGTTAAATTGTTTATATTTAGCACCCTTTTAATAGAACACTATTGGATACTCATAGGTTTATTTCTATTTATTTGGTTAAGAGAATTAATAAAAAAGTTTGATCCTGAAAAAAAATTAGAACTACCTAATATGTAATAGCAATTATAATAAAACACGATACAGAGTTCAAAAGCAAAGTTATCATCTTTATCTGTAGAAGTTATAGAATCTGCAGTTGAGGCAGTCTAAATATACGATTATGTAACAGGAGAAAGTTAGTATGCAATCTTATAGAAGGCTGATAAGAGTTAATTGGCATAGTTAGGAATTACTTTAAAGAATACAGTATTATTAGAGAAAGGAAGGATAATGGATTCAAATTAAACATCTAAATTAATATCTCAAATAGATAATCAGAAAAAAGGGAATGATGCTCAATAAATTTCAATTAAATATGAAGATAATAGTGAATATTTAAGAAATTAAAACAGAATTCAGAAATCAATACCATTTAAAATTGGTGATTTTGATCAATAGATGGGTGAAATAATTTAAGTAGAGATCTTGTCTAATGAATAATTAGATAATTAATAGAGTGGATTTTAAGATTAAGATTAAAATCGTGTTTAATAATAAATAGTTTTTGAGTATATTCTTTTAGTAATGTTATATGGTATAAATAAAGTATTATTTATTAGCTGGTGGAATATCTTAAGTGAAAAACATATATCTATAAATATTTGATTCATTATTATTTGGATTTGTAATACATAGTGGAGTTTAAAGATAGCAACTTTTTACTTTAACTCATTTCTTTATTAATTTTAGCATCATTTTGGGATGCTGCATTATATATACTTTAGGGATTTACTTAAAGTTTCAAATATTCATTATTGGGGGGCTAGTTTTATCATTTTAGAAAGTAAATGCCAATTTGTAAATGATAATAATTCCATTGACTACTTTGCTGAAAATATTTATAATCTGATATAAATAATTCACCAAATATTAAATAATGTTGACATACCTGTGATTAATTCTTTTAATTTTGTTTTAGAATGAAGACATTATTAAATTTAATCTTGAACTAAATATATATATATATAGGAAAATGTTATCAAATTCAATCTAGACCATCTGAAGTACTACTGTTAAAAATATATTATGAAAATACCCATTTGCATTTGATTACTCTTTGTCAATCTTTAAAATGAGTTATTTAATCCTTTCTTCGTTTTCCTATTTATAATTTAATCTTACTTTTTAACTCCTTAATAAATCTTAACGATTTTTTTAAGTTTCTTATAATAAAAACATATTAACTGTATGTAATTCATCTTATTGTATTTTCATTTATTCAATTTCATGTTCTAAGTATTATATAGTCTATTGTAAACTTTAACTATTTTAGGCATGCATTAAAATAGGTGATTAAATGCCTTAATTACGTAATTTAAGACTAGGATATTCAGCTGAATGAGTTGCTTTTTTGATAAAAATAGTATATTTTACAACTACACTCTGAAATTTAACTTAAATTCAAATCAACTTTTTCTTTGGATTATTATTTACCAAAATTGAATAAGTTATTATACATTCCTTATGTATTTACATCAAGTTTTTCTACAATTTATTGAGTTTAAGTAGCCATTTATTATATTTTCTATATAATGAATTTAGTTTCATTATATTCAAAATCATCATCTTTAACTAAAAATTCATGATTAATTTAGAAATAATTTCCACTTGATTTGGTTCTTCTATGTTTAGACATATAATAAAAAATTTAATAATTAAAATTTAATCACTTTTCTAATACTTTTTTTATTATGGAGATTATGATAAATATACATTAATATACTTTGTTTTATATGTTGTACAGATAAAATATTCTCATAATCCTTTAATTTTATCTTCAATGAATTGCTTTTCAGCTTCGCTTACTTCAATTGCGAAATCTTTAACTGCCAAAGATGAACACTTTCTTGATTTAATTTTCTTTGTCTTTGTCAAAAACTTTGAAATTCCAATCCATTCTCCTAATAAAGCACCTTTCTCTACTCTCCAAACTGGAATTTAGAATTGTTTTGCCAAAGCAACAACCAATTTTTTATATGTCTCTTCTGAACAATCATCAGCCAATACAACAAACTTAGCCTATTCCAATATATATCAATAATCAACTTATTTGCTTTCAATTGCTTTGCAAACTTCATGTACACCCTTTGATAATTATCCTCTATGTAAAGAAGTTTAGACAACTCTTTTTAAAGTAGTGAGCTCCTCTGATAATTATTCAACCTCTGCCATAATGAAAATTATTTTAAATCTTTATTTTAAATTAAAAAACAAAAAGAAATATAAGTAATATATTCCATTATATAAAAGCACAAAAATTATATAAAAAGCTTTCATTTTTTGTTTGAAAATCTCATTATAAAATGATTTAACAATTCTCCTATTTCAATTAAATAGAAGTTTAATCATATTTAACCAATAAGAATTTCAAATCATCAGAATGTTTAATTTTTACAGCCTTAACTATTTTTGGTTCTTCTACATAATTTACTTTCAATCTAATTTTAAGTAATTTCCTTTATTCTTCTCTTTTTTATTACATTTTCAACATCAAATCCTTTTTATTTTATTCTTATTTCAATTTCTATATTTCTTTTCTTTATTATTCCATTTATACTTCAATTTTATTCAATTATCTCTAATAATGAGAATAGAAATGTTCATAATCAGCTCTGACCCCATCAAAAACAGAAGCTCTATTTCTATCTACTAACATCAATTTAACTTTCTTTTTGTTTTTTTTGGTTCTATCTTAAATGAAAAGAGTTCTATTAAAGGTAGAATAAACTAATTGTTAATTATATTAATAAACTCCAATTTTCGTATAATTGTCGAGATTCCAATCTGAAAGTATAGTTGGATATTTAGGCCAGAGTACTTGTTTTTCCTTAATAGATTAATATTAATCATCCATAAATTCAATTAATGTTTATGAAATTAAAGGAGAATTGAATTAATAAGCACATTCTGAATCTTAACAAGAATCAAAAATTTTAGATCTATGATCCTTATTTTCTTAAGGTTCTTCTTCTTTAAGTGCTACTCTTAAATCTTTGAGTGTATTGAATATTTCTGAGCAATTGTTAAATGTACTTGTAAATTCTTCTTCATCTTATTTAATTAGTTTTAATTTTAATAGTTCACGCTACTTAATTTAAGAAATCAGATGAAGAGCAACCAGATTCTCATTGTAGATGATTTGTCTACCAACTTCAAATTCAGGAAGTTAAATATTGAGTCGTTTTAACCTTTTTTATTTGTAGGCTCTACTTGGACGAAAAGCCATATTCATTCGGTAACTAGTGATGAATATAAAAATGATTTTTTTACTCATTCTCTTGAGCTCTCATGAACACTCTTAATAGAGGTCGTTGAAGACGTTCAACCTTAGCATTATAATATTCTGGAGGGTAATTAATGGAATTCAGCAATTCATATTGGCGAACGTAGTTCCGAGTATTAGATAGGTTATTCCTAATGTCTAGTTATTAGATAGCAAGTGGATCCACTCCAATTGCTTAATCTTCTTCATCACATGAATATTCATTTTCATCTGGATATACAATATTTGTATGAATATATGTAGGAGGAATTATATGGGTTAGTTGAGGTAAACCTTCCACAATGACAAATTTAGGTATTTCTATCTATTTACATTGTTTATCCTAACAAAAATTCTTTCATTTCTTACCTTCTGACTTTCTATTTCCCAAACTTCACTTTTTTAAAGTGGCATATTTGGATCGACCTGCCTCATTAAAATAAAGATTTAATATATGGAAATATTTTAACCAAAACTTTAAAAAATCAATTCACCTATTAACAGATGTTCACAACTCCACTCAAAAACATAATATATTTAAAGGAATTCACAACTTCAATTGATAAATTTTTTTATTTTATTTATTTTATTAATAATCCCATCATCATTATTTTATTCAAAACTATCATCATCAATCTATAAACCTTAAATCATTTTAAATACCTTAATCCATTAATCTAATTAAATATCATTCTCCATATATCATTATTCTCTACTTTCTATCATCATAATTTATCACAATCATATCTAAGAATTTTTCATTGTTTCTCCTCTCAACTACCTTACAAAAAATAGCAAAGCAAAGAAATATCATAAATATTATCTATATAACAATATCCTCACTCAAACAATAAAATAAAAAACAAAATCAACTCATTTAATACAATAATATTTCTTTTTATATAATTTTTCATATTTTTATATTTTGATAATTAACAATTATAATAACATTTTCATTATATTCTTTTTCTATTTTCACTAATATCTAAAATCATTTCAATTAACATAATAAAGAATCATATTATAAATAGCTCTTTTGAATTAAATTATTTAATCAATATTTATACTTATTTATCTATATATATAGATTATTTACTATAATAGATTTATTTATCCTTCTCATAAAAAAGAATTATTTGTATGTTAAAATAATATCTATATGATAATAATTACAAAAATATCATATCATTATAAGATTTTGAGTTTGTGATTTATGGTATTAACTTGAAAATTTGGATTTTATTTGATAAATTAATGTCCCAATAGAAAAGAAGAGAATAGTTAGAAAAAATATCCAATTCTTAGAAGGAAGAACAGGATAAAAATAGAAGAGATGAATTAGAAAAGGAATTTTTGAAATGCTAAAAGAGAGGTTAAATGCATACCAATTCAATGATGAATTGGATAAACAAACATCAAAATAAAGCAGATCCAAAGGCCAAAGAAATGTATCGCTATCTTCCTGAAGAAAGAGTATATTAATATAAATGAACCATCAGCGTAAACACATTGAGCTAACCCTACTGTTTGAGAAGTTTGACAATGATGGTTCCAAAGCACTAGATTTTATTGAAGTATTTAGAATGTTCACTAAGTAATTGTGAATGATCATTATAGATATGGAATATTCATTACTAAAAAGGAATTACTTGACTTTTTTAAAGTAGTTGACCAAAATAAGGATTTCTCTTTAAACCTCTAAGAATTCAAAGCATGTTATTTAGACTCTGCTGCAAGAGATATATTTGCCAAAATAATGAAATAATTAATAGAGAGAACCTAATTGACTGAAGAGGAAATCAATGCAGCCTTAAATTAAATGAATGAATTGAACAATTAGAATAACAACAATTAAAATTAGAATCCTATTCCTGCACTTCCTAAATCTTTTTAAGGAGTCATTAGTTTGTTGACATATTTGAATACTAGAGATGAGATTAAAGATAAGTTGACATCAAAATCAGTAAATATATATGAATAAATCAATAATCTAAAATAATTAATTGAATTGAGTAATAAAATTGATGTTGTTTAGAAGGTGGAGATTGAGAGAAAGATTAAGATAAAGAAATCTTCTGAGGATAGATTAAATAAATTTAAGAATTAATTAAAGTAAATTAAAGATAGAGCCATTCAAACTGGATAGATGATGGCTGAAGAGGAATTGAGATAAAAAAATTCTGCATTTTTGATAACTGTTTTACCTTAACGTAAATACAAATACAATTACAAAAGTGAAAATAAATTTAAAAAAATTATACCAAATAAATAAGAAGAATTACACTTACCTCGCTATTCAGATTAAAAAGTAAATCAATTTTATGAATATATGAATATTAATATTCCTGATTAATTAAAGAATATTAATAATAGAATATGGACAAAGCTATTTGAAAATAATTAATAATTGGATATAATACTATAAAAAAATAGGAAAAATCAATTAGAATCTTAAAGAACTGATAGATTAAAATAAAAGATTAAATAAACCTTAGACAATCTTTAAGCTAATTTTGAAACAGATTTTGATAGTGAAGCAAATAGAAAGCCCACTTTAGAATCTCCATAAGAAAAATAATCTACTCAATTTCCTAATTTCTTTACTTCAAGAAATTTAATGTCATAAACATCAGAAGATTTTAGAACTGCTAAGACACAGAGAATGCCTCCAGGATCCTCAAAGCTATCTTTTCATTGATAAAAAAATGAGTAAAATTTAAAATTTCGTTTTATATTAAAATTGCCATCATCCATAATGGAATATTAGCTTACCCATAATAGTAGATATAGCTATATAATAAATTTGATTTACTTTAGAAATAATTATTGGAATTATCAAAATGTGAATTCAAAAGAAATTCATATTACTGCAGGTAATTATAATGTATATGTATATATATATATAATCTGATCAGAGTCCTGCCATTCTGCTTTACTCTCCTACTTTCTTCATGTAATGCTCCTTATATTTGTGTTTTCCTATCAACTTAAAAAAAGAAGTATATACTATTGAAACTGCCCATATGCATAGTACGAGGGTCATCTGGATGACTGTAACCAGACATACATCTATGTCTATTATAATGAAAATCATGAGGAGCCCAACCGAATTCTGCAAATTAATTACCGAATAATTCTTCCTAGACTGTTGAGGCTATAGCATCTTTCATTCTCAATCTCACGAATTCCTCATTCTTGACTGGGAAGAGGTTTCTATATGTTAATAATAATCTCTTACGTCCAATAATAGGGAATCATATATGAATATGTGAAATGTGCAATGTATACACCACAAATTAAATAAACCCACATGGCAAAGGCACCCTATAATATTAGTAATCAATTATACATCTGAATTTAATGTGTGTTCTTGCCAATCTCTATATGCTTCATAAGTTGCCCAATGAAGGAATCCATGTGATGTGTCAACCTTAACATCTCATATCAATCATTACTTTTGGGTAAATACCAATCATATTTGCCAAAGCAGGCCAATCATAAAAGACATCAAATAACACTTGTTGTCTTCCATAGTAAAATTTGTTTCCGTATACTCTTCTTACCATTCTCAAGGCATCCCATCTTTCCTCTCCAACCACTCTTGCGGCCATTTTTGTAAACCACCAGATGCCATTCTTATAATAACTTGTTTTAGCACTGAATATACTTAAACTCATTTAAAAGATTTAATTTCAGCTCTAATTATGTATTATAAAATGATCATTATTAAGAGTTGAGTAAAAAATAAGATATTTTTCAATAAAAGTTTCCTTTATAAAAAGATACTGATATCACAGAGATTTATCAAGAATCATCTATACTTTCAAATATAGTATGTTAAATTCAAGTAATAAGTGTTTCTATCAAACTAAACAGTTAGATTCACAAAATATTGTGTAATTAATAAAATCAATTTCCAAATAAAATTGTATTTTAAGAGTTAACAATTTTACAACAATTTTTGTTTTCAAACATATTCTTTTCCATTTGATTATTTCTTTATATAATTGAATGAATTCTTATTTAGAATCATTAAGACAACAAATCTATAATGAATCATAGAAGTATCAATATTGAATAGATTCTTACATAAAATTAATACCATCCAGCTTTAAATTGATTGAATAACTTATGTGTTGAGTTTTTAAGGTGATTAAAGGTATTTAGACAATATCAATTGAACACCAGGTGTTTTTATTATAATATAAAAATATAAAAGATTTTAAAATTGTTAGATGACTTCTCAAAAACAGGACTAGGACTAACTTCTTTCAAAGAATTTTATAAAAAAATTATTGATGATGCATATATATGATGAAATATTATTATTTCATAGGACAGTTGTCATACGACTTGAATCTCCTATTCTATTCAAATAATGCTCCTTGTATTTGTGTTTTCCTAAAAATATTGTTAAATTATGGTACTATTGAAGGAAGCCATGTGCATGGTTCTAGGATCATCGGGATGGCCATATCCAGACATACATCGTTATCTATTATAATGGAAATCATGAGGAGCCCATGCAAATTCTGCATAGTTGTTAGCGAATAATTCTTCCATAACTGTTGAGGCAATGGCGTCTTTCATTCTTAACCTAACAAACTCCTCGTTCTTAGCTGGGAACATATTTCTAGAACTATGATAAATCAGAATACGTCCAATAATATGGAATCATATATGAGTAGAAACAGTGAGCTATATATATACCACATAACATATAGATCCAAATAGCGAAAGATCCCTAAGAGTTAGTATGAATATATACATCTGAATTTAATGTGTGTTCTTGCCAATCTCTATAAGCTTCATAGGTTGCCCAATGAAGGAATCCATGTGAAGTATCAACCTTTATAATTCTATGATCATAGTACTTTAGGATAGATACCAATTAAGTTAGCCATAGCTGGCCAATCGTAAAAGATATCAAACAAAATTTATTATCTTCCATAATAGAACTTATTTCCATAAACTCTTCTTGCCAATCTCATGGCATCCCATCGTTCTTCACCTATTATACGAGCAGGAATCTTAGTAAACCACCAAAGTCCATTTTTATAATAACTCGTCTTAACACTAAATATACTAAGACTCATAAATTTAGATATTTTATTAATTAATTGAACCCCCTCCAAAAATACAATTTTTAAATCTATTTATAATATATTATAAATAGATTCCATTAAAGAAATCCACTACACATGATATATAATATTCTATAATTATATTATAACATATCTCAAATATCAAGTTCTTCTTCATTTTCAAGGACTGCAAAATATTTGTCAACTTCTGATTGAGGAATTGTCAATGCATCCTTAAATGACCAAGTTGGAACATGATTTTTGTCTACTAACACTTACTTCACTCCCTCAAAGAAGTCAGTACCTTACATAATTCTATTGATTAAAAAATCTAATATACCTTCTCACAATTCTATAATCCATCTTTAAATTCTCTCTAAGATCAAGTTTTTAACCTCTTTTAATTTATTCAAATATTATTCTCAAAGATAATGGACATTAATCTTTTAAAATCTTTAAATTATCTTATCCAAATTTTTAATTTTGATGATTCTATAGATTATTAAATATCTATTCTAAACTCTCTCCTGAATATCCTGGTTCAATATTTTATAATTATTGTTTAATAGTAAATTCAGGTATCTAAATAAATTGATAAAACTCTGATATACTTAATTTGGTTAAAATTGTTTGACAATATTCTTAACTTCATTAAGATTTTAACTTTAAACTGTTCCAATCTTTAAAATTAAATTTTACAATTCAGATGATTATACATAAAAATCAGCCAAACCTGCATGAACTAAATCAGCACCCTTCAATCTGAATCCACTTAAACCTAAATAATAACCTAATCTATATGGTAATCTTGATAGAAAGTATCCTCCTCCTACATCTGTAAATAATCCTAATTTTGCTTCTGGCATTGCAAATACACTTTTTTCAGTTGCTATTCTAATAGGTGCATGAATTGACATTCCTACTCCTCCTCCCATTACTATTCCATCCATTAAAGCTACTAATACTGGTTTGAGTGTTGCTAATCTATAATCTAATTTGTATTCATCAAAAAAGAACTATTTTAATGCACTTGGTGGATTTTATTCAGAAGGCTATGTCTTTGCAAAATATAATGTTTTGATGTCACCACCAGCACAAAATGCTTTACCTCCTTCTCCACTCAAAATTATACAAGATGCTGAATTAGCTTAATCTAAAATTGAATTAAGTTCAGCAATCATTGGTAAATTAAGAGCATTCAATTGACTTGGTCTATTTAATTTTATATTAAGTGCTGATCCAACTCTATTTGTTAATACTTATGAAGTGGATGAAGAAAACATAGCACTTATTAGACGTAATCTCATTATAATAATTTATGAAATACGATATATATATATAAAATAAAGTTAATTTGAACTTCTAGAATATAATTAAATTAAATCCTATAGTGAATGAACTCACCAAAAAAGAATGCTTTTCCAACTCTAAACAACTTGAAAATTATACAGTCCTCTTATGGTTAAAGAATCAATAAATGTGTAAATATTTTAATTAATAATTGTTAGACTCATCTTGTAATAAAAAAGGACACAAAAAAGATTATTGATACTAGATTACTATCTCAAACATCTATTGAATAAGCTAAACAAAAATTTATTGCTAATTAAGAGAGGTAAAGGTAAATGTAGAAAAGTCTACCTCCAATTATGAAAAGAAAGGAATTTCATTAAAGAAGTGTTTCAGTTTCAGCTTAAAAAACGCCATATTCAAAATACTTTTATTTTGTTGGAGAAGGCAATAATCATCAACTAATTAAGAAATTATTAGATGAAAGGTCTAACTGGGTATAGGTAAAGGATCCAAAATCTAAGAAAATTAATTTTAAATGGCAAGAAACAGAGAAAGGATATGAATATTAGACTATTAATCAAAAAGAACAACCTATTTAGATGCTTAATCATTTTGAGTTTCATTCTGAAATTTCTGATAAGTTTAAGTTAGCTATGAATTTTAAAGCTTATTGCGATGTATCTAAAATATATAATAAAGAAAAATAGATTAAATATATATGATTATATTCCTACTACTTTTGCCATAGAATGTACTAATGATAATCTCAAATCTGAATTGTTTTAATTTATTTCCTTTTATCGATAAAATTGTCCTTAACATAAATTATCTGAATTGGATAAAACAATTAAATAGTATTTCTTCTCATATACAACCCTATATGATACAAAAGTTAATCATTATCCAACATTATTTGGCAATGAAAATTTATGGATATTTAAACCTTCTAATATGAATCAAGGAAGAGGAATTCATGTAGTAAGAAGTTTATAAGATGTATTGGATATATAAAGTAAATATTAAGGGGGATATAAAGAGAAATTGTTAGAAGTGAAAAGAAATGAATAGAATGAAATAATTAATAAGGTGGTTTATTTAAATACATTAGTAACAGAATAATTTGTAATCTAAAAATATATAGAGAAACCATTTTTAATAGATGGTAGAAAATTTGATATTAGAGCTTATGTTTTAATGACATCAAATTTATAAATGTATTTTTATAGAGAAGGTCAATTGAGATTGGCAACTGAAAAATTTGATGCAAAAGTTTAATCTAATTATGTTCATCTTACAAATAATGCAATTTAATATACTCATCCTGAATATGGGAAATCTGAAGAAGGAAATCAATACAATTTTGAATAAGCTCAAAATTTATTTAAAAAAGATTTTAGAAAAGAAGTAATAATAATTTAATTTTAGATTTTAGTAAAAATTAAAAATATATCTTATACAACATTTTAAACTGTTAAACATAAAATAAATAAACATAAAAGAAAAAATTGTTTTGAAATATTTGGAATGGATTTTATTATTGATGAATAATATACTCCATGGTTAATAGAAGTTAATACAAATCCAAGTTTAGAAGTAACAAGCAAATTATTGGATTAACTATTTCCAAGAATGGTTAATGATGCATTTAAAATTACAATTGATTTAGTATTTCCATAAGAAGAACCAAATTGCAATTATCCTTTAATGAATTATAAAGATGATGAAAATCTATGGGACAGTATGGGATATTTGCAATCATGAATAACATTATTTATTATTCAAAATTAATCAAATTATTAAACTTTTTAAAATTTATTTTTATATTACATACATCATTTATAATTTTGGAGAAAATCTCTTAATTCATCGCAATCACAAAGATTTCTAATGATTAAAGTTGCCCATTCCCTTTATTAATGTATATTATGAACATTAGTAAAATGAATAATTGGTTTTAAGGAATTTACTAAAAAATATTAATATATCAAAATACAATTATTTTTAAGTTCTTCCCAAACAGTTTTATTAATATGAACCATATTAGCAATAAATCTTAGGAAAATAGAAATGAGCTCATCTTCTTACTATTTACTAAGTTAATATAAGGCTTCTCTAAATTCCTTAGGATAAAACAAAGCTTGGATTTCTGAATTGTAACCACCCATAAAAGTTATAAGTGAATAAAACTTAAATTTTTGTATTAGAGGGAAATCAGATTCCATAATGAATTGTAGATCTGGAACACTAAGTTATATGCCTATTCTATTAAAATAGTATTTAAAATTATTACTTATTTTGATTAGAATATAATTCTTTAATATCATAACTTTTAGGGACATAATTATGTATAAGAGATGGATAGACTTTATCATCAATAGTTTTTTATAGTAATTGAAAGATGAAATCTAATAGTTCTATATTATTGTCGTAAAGTAATTGCAAATAGGATTGTTGATATGTTTCATGAAATATATTAACAAAGGAATAAGTTACCCATTCTAAACATTCTTAGGTTTGAGTAGTTAGTGATTTTCTAATGATTTAAATGTTGAGATCTGTAAAAAAGGATTGAAATAAGAAATATTATTTATCAATTTAGTTTTTGGTCATGTTGTGTATGAATATTAGGTAAGCTTTATGGATTTTAAGATCTTGAGAATTTAAAAGGGTTAATTTATAAGGTTGGATTTGAAAATGGAGGAGGATGAATTAGGCATTAACTTGATTGGCAGTGATGAAATTAGTAAGCCATTATTAAAAGTATAGGAAATTGATTTGTTCAAATTAGATGTTGAGAAACCAATTAGGGTTGGATTGAATGAATTGATACATGTAATTTTATTTGGATGGATATTACATTAGGAGTCTGAGTTGATGGAAATTATAATCATATATATGTTTGTCAATTTCTTCCATTATTAATAATATTTATATTATATATATGAGTAAATATTTGGATAAATATGTTGAATATGAGACAATAGGGAGAGGCAGTTATGGTAAAGTAATAATCATATTCAGGGTCTGCACATTTGGTACGTTCAAAATCAGATTAGTAAGTATATGTGGCTAAGAAAATTCAATTATTCAATCTAAAATCAAAAGAACAAGATGATTCAAAACGAGAAGTTCATGAGTTAATTTAATTATTAGGTGATGCTTTTGTAGAAATTGAAACATCCTCACATTGTACAATATATAGAGAGTTTTAATGAGAATGACACACTTATCATAATTATGGAATATTGTGAAGGTACTCTATTACAATAATCTATTAGAGGGTGACCTATCATTTCACATTAACAGAATGAGTCAAAGAAAGGAGTATTTTCCAGAACAAATAATATTGAACTGGTTTCTTTAATGCTCATTGGCTTTGAAATATATCCATGAATAGAAAATCTTACATCGAGATATCAAAAGCTAGAATATTTTCTTATCATCCAATGGCTTTGTTAAAATTGGTGATTTTGGTATCTCTAGAGTTTTGGAACACACTCAAGATCAAGCAAATACTGTTGTTGGAACTCCCTATTATATGAGGTAATGAATTATTTTTATCATTAGTCCAGAAGTCTGTGAGAATAAACCCTATACTTATAAGAGTGATGTTTGGTCTCTTGGTTGTGTTCTCTATGAATTATGTAATTTGTCTCATGCCTTCAAATCCAATAATCTATTAGGTTTAGTTAATAGGATTGTAAAAGAATAAGCATCTGCTATTCCTTCACATTACTCAAAAGAATTAACAGATCTAATTAATAAACTTTTAATCAAAAATGCTGATCAAAGACCTCACACTTCTGAAATTTTCAACTTCCCTCTTATCAGAAATACTATGCAATAATTTGTTGCAATGTAAGGTAAAGTTCAATATCAAGCCCCCATTAAACGAACAAATACACATAATTAAATTGGAAAAATGATTAAATAAGAAGAAACTACTTAATAAAACACTACAAATCCATATGACAATACTATTGATACTGTATAATCAATAGACTTTAGTTAATTAACACCATAATAAAGATTGTAAATGAAAAAAGAAGAAAAAATACAAAAAGAATAAAGAGAATTAGCTTAAGCAAGCAAATAAAGTTTTGCATAATAATAAGCAAGTCAATAAAGAAAAATTCAAGATCTTTAAGGTGGATAATCTCTAGATTACAATTAAAAGAGAAAATAATAGTAATAATATCATGAAGAACTACAAAGACAATAATAATGTAAGTTATAAGATTCTTAATAAAATAACAAAAAACCATAATAATAATTCTAACCAACTAATAAATCAAACATGTACAATTATGATGAAACCTTAGTTAGTCAATATGAGAAAACTTCATTAATGGTATTATATAGATATACTTTAGTTATAAAATGAATCAAAAAAATATAATGAAACAATATAAAATGAATCAAAAAAATAAAATGAAACTTTTAAAAAAGAATTAGAGTAATTTGATAAAACAGTTGATTCTGAAATGTGTTAATCTACTTATGATAATACTACCAGTTAATAACAAAAAATAGTTACTCAATCTTAATTAGATAGATTTACTACTAATTATTAAAAATAAGAACTTTCTGTTACTTAATAATATTAAGATGAAGAATTTGAAGAATATAATAGTGATGATGATGAAGTTAATCATAGACTTACTGTTAAATAAGGAGACAGTGAGATTGAAGAAGTTCTCAAATTATATCAAATATAAATGGATTAAACAGTTAAAAAATAATCTAGTAATAAACTTGAAGGTATTAATTATACAACTTTTTTAGATATTTAAGAAACTAGTTAAGAAAGTTGGAACTCATCTTCAGCTTCTCCATAAAAAGTTCCTATCAATAATGATGATAGAATCCAAATCTTAAGAAAAAAAGCAATAGCCACTATGGGTTCAGATCTTTTTAATAAAGCTTACCAATTTATGAGTCATCATTTATCCAAAGGAACCGGTAGTATAGAAGTAAAATATTTATTATAAATTAGATTCGAAAAAGTTTAGAAGAAATAGTAGGTAAAAGCAGGATGGGAGATTGCATGTTGATAGATGAAATATTATATTATGAGAATTATTCTAAATGACAATAAATATATATTATCATTTTTATTCAATTGTATTTTAAGTATCATTCTCTAATTAGAAATAATATTATGATATTAATTTGCATTATTAATTATTCAATAATCATTTTAAAGAGAGATTAAGGATTTAAAAAATATTATGATATCTACTATATTTGTTTTGTATAATTCATAGAAGAATGTCCTGATTTAAGTGATTAGATTATATACTAATCAGCTTAGGTCGTATGGTGTAGTGGTTAGCACCTTGGACTTTGAATCCAGTGACCCAGGTTCGAGTCCTGGTATGACCTAAACTTTTTAATTTTATTATTTTTATAACTTGAATATTATTCTATTATTATGAATAATTTAAATATTGAATAAAAGATCAATAATACATTTATTGAAATCATAGTTCTGGAGCCACTTATCCTAAATTCTTAATTGGCTTAATTAGAACTGATTATTTTTTTTTTAATTTAAGACTATTTTTTAAGGTATTTAAACGACTATTTAATCGTTTCGAAGGATCCCTCTTAATTTTTTCTGTATTTTTTGAATTTCTTTTTTTGCTCATATATTTTTAAATAAAAAGAAATGGATAAAGCATATATTTTTATAATTTATTGATGAATTGTGATTACCATGCAAAAGTATTTTTTTAAGCTAATTTGATAATCTCATTATAATTATAACTCTTAAAGAAATAATCATAAGTTGTCATAATTTCAAATTCAGATACATTTTATTAATGAAATGACCAATAAATAGGTTCTATTTAAAGATAAGCTTTTTAAATAGTTTAATCATTTTCATTTAATTCTAATTCTCTTTATAATTAATGATATAAATTAATTACATTTTCCATCATATTTTCATTAAAATCAGTAACACTAAGTTAATTTTTTATTTCATTATTTTGATTACTACTACTATTACTATCATCACTATCACTACTTTCCTCATTTTCTTCATTTTCTTTAATAATATCCACTTTAGGTATTAGAAGATTCTTTGGACTTTTACCAATATTTGAAGGGATATTTAAATTAAGAATAGATTATTTTCTGTTTTACATTGCCTAATGAAGACTTTATTTTGTATCCTACAACTTAGAATTAATAGATTAATGATTTGGAGGATCATTGATAAGTCTTTTTGATTTTAGAACAGCAGCTTGAAATCCTCCACCATCATATTGAATTTTATTGCAAGGACTAGGATCTCCAGAAGAACTAATAGAGTCCTATTCATAAATTAATTAAACTTTTTATTATTCTTATATTAATTAGTGATTTTCAGATTAAAATACTTAAGCAAATTATTATACTAAATCTTTTTCTAATCTTGATCTACTTATAATTTAATCACTATTAAATCTTTTTGTAAAATCCCTTTAATAATATTTTCTATCTTGAATTTATGGTAATAAATATTTCTTTAAAATTGCCTCTCTATCAGGAATATATTATATTTAAGGACATTTTGTCATAGAATGTTTGAAACATAGACAAGCTGGACAAAATACACCATTTTCTAATTATGGAGGATTAAGACTTAAAGTCATAAGTTCTCTCATTTCACAAAATTTTTAGAAATCTTCAGGATAATTTTTAATGGTTGTCATAAAATCTAATTTAGATAATATCAATAAACTGACATATCCATTTGATTTAAAATAATCTTTTTAAGGACTCTAAATTATAAAGTCTTAAACACAGAAAAACTGTCCTTATTTTATTGGAGCATTCATTTTTGATCGTTATTTTCTATCAAGATGTTGATAAAGTAATACTCCTTATTCTACAAAACATAAATGTTAATAATCATCAAAGTCAATTGAGAATGTGTTTTAAGGAGGAATAATTTTCCTTTTAATTGATTTAGATAAAGCATCCTTTAATTCATCACTGAAATGTTAAAGAAGAGCTGATTTTTTTATAAAGATTTTATGAGCTTCTTTATCTAATTCTTCTTTTAATTCATCAGATAATTATTCTAGCAAATTTTATTCTATTTCTAAATCTACTTCATCATCTTCTTTCCATCTAAAAGTTAAGTATTCTTTTACTCTATTATGTTATTATTTCATTTTCTTACTTGTGTTTCAAATTAAATGGTATTTTTCTTTGGTCCATGTACTTGTTAATGACTCTCATCTTTCTATTTCTTTCAACCTGATTTTAAGTGATATCATTGATAATACCTCCTATAAAATTTACACTATAAGAGAACCATAAACCTATTAATCATATTATTATAATACATGCTCCCAATATAAAAATGATAGTTATTATCTTCTCTATTGAATTCTTAGGTACATTATCACCATATCCTATTGTAAGCATTGTCACAACAGCAAAATATAATGCTTCTAAATATTATAATTCCCAAGATTTCAGATCTAATCCATTAAATTTAATCCACGAATCTTCAAGACTTATCTTACTAAACCAAAACCAAATACAACTAAATAAATGAAGTATAAACAATAGTGTAAGTATAAACTTCACTAAACCTATTATTCCTCTTAAAGGTCTTGTTAAATATGATATTTAATCACTTTTTGCAAATGTTTCATGAATATATTTATACTATGCCAAAGTCAATAATAAAAATAAATTTAAATTGTTATCCATTTCTGGTATTATTATAAAGATTATTAATAAAAATGATGTTGAAAAATCTGTAAAAAATTCCTTTTTAAATTAATATATTAATAACTCCCATCTATTTTATATTGCTGCTCCATTTCTATAAGATAGTGTATTTATTCTAATCAAGAAGTCTATTTATAAAATTAATAAAATCATAGCAGTAAGAACAATAAAGTCTGTAAATAAAATACAAGGTTAAAATGCTATTTCTAAGGGTATTAGAATAACTAATATGATTCTAAAAAATGAAGCAAAGAAATCCCATATCATTTTTAAACGAGATTCAGGTTGAATGATCGGAATTTTATTAACTATTACAGTAATCAAATTCAAAAATTATTTCTTAATTTTTCTGATTTATTCTTTGATTTCCTCCTAAGTACTCAAATTATTAATGACAGTTTCTTTTCTCAATAATGTTTTCATCTTACCAAGAGTAAAACCTTATCTTTTGCATTCACTTTAATGATTGAATAAATTTTGCCTACCATAGAATATAAAATACATATCAGCTGCCTTATCTTCAATAAGATTAAAATGAATCTCATTCATACTCAATAGTTTTTTCCTACTTTAAGAAATCTTTTCTATAAATCTCCTAATATAAAAACTACACATTAGACTAGTACCAGCATTAGGTATACTACTTCTTCTTTCATGTTGATTCAGATACTTACGACCAAAAATATCAGAACTTTGTGCTTAAGTAAGAATAAAGTTTTCATCAAAAGGAGTCTCTGATATTTTATGAAGACATTCTGCTTCAATCGTTTTCTAACTTAAGGTTCTACTAATTTGTGGTATTGTTAAAGCAGGCTCTTTTCTATATTCTCTCAGACAATGCTCAAGGTATTATTATTCAAAATCTTCATTTTGCATTGCTCTTAATTCAACATCTTGATCAAATTCGATGTTAAACATATTTTAAATATATTCACCAATATAATTAATAACTTAATGAATTTAATCATTGGTGATAAAAAACTCTTATATAAAAGAATTATTGTTATAAAACCATCTTTTCATAATATTTATTATTATGTGAATAGATACATTCTAATTTATATATATATATATATAATTTACTTCTAATAATAATAATTATTAAATAAATTTCTAATAGAAAAGTTATAATTCTCTTTTCATAATACTAAACAATTCCTTAATCTTTACAATTACTAATTAATTTTAAAATTATTTAAAATTAAATAATCAAGAAAGAATAAATTTAATAATCTAATTAGAGATAATTCAGTTAAATTGTATGATGTAAATAATGAATTTTTCTTATTAGAAAAATGTTAATAATACTAATTGATAATTGTTAATATTTGATTTTAATATTCTACAATTATGGAACTCAAAAACTATTAATTATGATGAAAATGTAAATAATTGATATGATAATTAAAATATTTTAATTAAAAACTTTTAACATTATGAAATATAATTATGAATATCTGCAAATGTAAACAGACATTAATTATATGAAGTAACTAAAATAAATATTTAACTTATTTTATATTCTTAAATTAAAAATACTGTCTTTTTGTTTTCAGTTGTAATTATATTATGAATAATTGAAAAATAATTATATTAAATATTATGAAACTCTCATTGTCAACTGAGTGGTTATTCTTTCATCTTTGGAAAAAGAATCCTGATACAAATTCTAGCTGTCCTGGTGTATTTGTGGCTGATACAATCATCTACAGATGGGCATAACCTTATTTCTGGTATTTTACAGCTAAAGATGGTTAAATATTAAGAAAAACAAAAGAACGAATATTTGTGGAACAGATAGAAGAAATCTTCCAAAAAAGTGGAGATATTTCAGCTTTATATTTATAAAGCTAACAAAATAAAATAATATTTGAATACTTTGAGAAAAGTGAATTTGTACAATTTCTTCATTAAAGGGAAAAAGCTTTAAATGCATTATTACAAAAGTTTGTTGAACCAAAATCATCTAGAAATTCAATGATAAAGGTTTCTTGGAGTCCTTAATTTTGTTTATTATCTAGAAAAACAAATAATAATGATCTTAAAAATAATAAAATACCTATTGAAGATAGATTAGTTACATTTGAAGGTCCAGAACATTTATCAACTACTGATTCTATAGCATCACCAATATTATCATCTGATATTGAATAAATTTGTCTAAATATTGTTAAACATATTTAAGATGTATCTGGAGGAAATATTTAGATATCAAGAATGGTTTTATTTTTTAAAATAGATGAAAAAAATAGATTATGGTTACTCTTTAGTAGTGGAGTTAAAGTTAGATAAAAAGTATAGATACAAGAATATATAATAGTTTATCAATGAAGAAACTGTATCTGATTTTCCTAAATAAAAAGAGAGAATCTAATCTCCAATTATGATATTATAAACTTAATTGAAAATTGGATAGACTTCCAAATTTTCAGTTGATACTTAAGGATTTGTTAAACAAACTGGTAGCAGTTGCAATAATTGTTCACTACAAGGAGAAATGTATGAACTAACAGTCTAATAATACATAGCATCTTATGATTAGGGAATATTTGATGAAGAAACACTAATTATAAGATAAAAAGTAGCAAAAAATCCTGTGAAGAAATCAGACAATGAAGAAGATTATTATGTGGAAGGATCATTAAATATTCCAGGTCTTCTTTTAAAAATATGGGGTAAAATGGATATAGAAAAATATAAGAATTTAAAAAACAATATGAGTTTTATGAATTTAAAATTATAATTGTGTTTAGATTGCTACCTAAAATTTACAAGAATGTAATTTATTTTTAAAATAATTAGTCATGTTGAATCAAAAAGTGAAAGAGAAGCTAAATAAACTGTTGTAACCATACCTCCATTATGGTAGCCTTCTAAAACGAAGATCTAAAATAATTAAGAAACTTTAACGTTGGTATCATCTACAAAATAAAATAAAATGTATCATACCCCTTCAAAATAAGTATAATTGCCTTCATATTAATAACAAAAATAATAATCTTAGTATTAATCATAATAATAATAATAATAATCATAAATCACTATATAATAATAACCTCAATCTTCTATTGTAATCCCAAAATTGAGTTTACCCTCAAAGGATATAAGTGAACGAATAATAGCTACAACCCATCATACAGATAGATAAAGTAATTTCCCATCTAAAAGGGTTGCAAAGATATATAATAATTTATAAGGTGTCAGCCTTCCACATTCTTAATCATCTTTAAATACAACAAGATCTACCATGTAAATTTTAATTTTTTTAAATTTAGTACTCATTCATAACGCATTGTTAGTATTTAATAATTGAAAGAAATTTTGCAAACAGAATAACTTTGATTATCATTATGTTAATGATATTTTAAGTGTAAAACTTAATGAATAAAATTATACATCATATCTCTGAAAATAATATGTTAAATGTCTTTTTGTCCCAAGGATTCTATTTTTAATCAAAATATTCTCCAGGTCCTGGAAGATTATTTTTTTTTTGTTCATATTAAAATCTTTTCTCCTTTTTAAAATAATTTTATCTATATTTACTTAACAATTAAATGCTGGATGATCTTTCTTCTTTTTTTAAAATAAATCTGAAGCATTATGTTTCAATTAAATTTCTTCTTCTTCATCTTCCTCATCTCTATCTTTTTTAGGTTTTTCTTAAAATCTTGGTAAGGAAGATCCAAAACCTGGTTTATTTATTTAAAGATCTTTATCTTCTTCTTTTTCTACTTTAGTAGCTTTTTCTATTGTATAATTTTTCACATCATAAGCTCCAGGAGCAGGAATATTATCTTTACCACCAATAATACTTCGTTTTGTTTAAGATTTGAAAACACAAGCAGCATTCTTAGCAGGATCTTAAAAATTAGGTTCATAAGTTCCAGGTCCAGGTTATTCATTTTCTGGATCATCAAACCTTGGTTAATTTGATCCAAACTTTCCAACTGGTGCTCTTTCTAATTTCTTTATTAATTTATCTTCTAACTTTTATAGAATATTTTTATTACTGTAATTTTAGGATTATAACTTTAAGGTCCTGGTTTTTTTTCTAATGCTCTACTTTCAAATCTTGTATTTGAAGATAAAAATGGAGTATTTTTCATAGCCATATTATTCTTAATCAAATTTGTTTCTATTCTATAATCACCTGGTCCCATTTAAATCTATCTCTATTATTCATTAAATCTTTTTTATTTTGAACCAAATCCACTTTAAGCCTTTGGCATTGATTAAGAGTATGTAGAAGCAGTAGAAAATGTAGTTTAATTTCCTAAATAATAACCTGGTCCTGGAGTAGCATTCTAAATCTAAATATTATTTATACATCATAAAATTCAACATCTTCATCTTCAATATCAGCAAATACAGGATTTTGCATTAATTTTTTCTTCTAATTTTCAAACTAAGCTCTCATAAATTCTCTTGTTTTTTGACCTTTTTATTGATCAAACATTCTTTGAGATTTTGAGAGAAAATTGCCTGAAGGATTTAATTTGTAAAGAGGAATAATAGAATTTTCATGATCATAAGCTCCAGGTCCAACAATCTATTCCCTTGAAGGAGGTGCTAATTTTGGAACCCTAGATTTATGCCAAGAAGGTCCTTTATTCTTATTATTATCAAAAGTGTCTTTTAACTAATATTATCCTGGCCCTACAGTATCTGATTTCAACCCTGTATATATAGGAACAGGACTCTTATTTAGTTCTAGATCATGTGCTACAAGTTATATTTCATAGATTACGTCCTTTATCTGTATAACCATAAACTTAACTTGCAGTTGGAATTGATGGTATGGATTAATATTTATTTAGTTTCATTAGATTGTCAATGTAATTTTAGGATGTGTATTATTGTTATATAACTTTCTTTTATGATTCAGATTCATAAGCTCCAGGACTAATATAAATGGATATAATACCCTGGAGTTTCCATCACTTTTTGTTCCTGAAATCTTTTGGTCTGTGACATAAATACAGATTGCTGTTTCTATTGTTCTACAATTTTCACTTCAGACTATGCAGATTACAAAACAACTCGTTAACTTAAAATTATTTATAATCATTACCCTTCTGTTACAAATTCAGTATTATAACTGCCAGGACCAGGCGAGTTGCTTTTTTTTAATGGCTTGCTTCTTACAACTTGTGTATTAAAAGGAGCAGCATGAGGTCTAGGTTCATATTTTCTATGTTCTATATAACTTCCAGGACCTACATTTGGTGGCAGAGCTCCAGATGCATTATTGATATCTCTTTCCGCTTGAAATACAAATGCCATTTATAATTAAATAATAATATTGTAAACTATTAAAATTATTTCATTCTCTCCAGTTTTTTTTGCATTATTTTCTTTTTGTAATTGTAATTTCATAAACATTAGGACTTTATGAGGAAATATGTATATTAAATTAAAATAACAATCTTTATGTTAGTTTATTTCAATCTCAATTTTTAAAGAAAATGAAATTTAAATTTATTTATTTCAAAAAAGCTAAAAATAAAGAAATATTTGACATATAACTTATTTTCCTTTTTAATGAATTTATCTATGATCTAATTTTAGATTTAATTAAGGTTAATTTTTAAAAATTAGAATGTTTATTAAAATTATAAATACATCAATATCTATTCATTTTTTAGTATTTTTGATTAAATAAATATCTTTAATGTAATTAATATTAAACTTTATTTATTTATTTTCTAAGATTTGTCAATAAATATAGAGAATATAAAAATAATCTAAGAGAAATTTTAGTAAAACTTTTAAATTTGAAGAATAAAAAGGCACCTAAAATATTTATGAAATTAATAATTGAATTCTAGGACTAGGCAGTATTTTTTGAATTAAAAATAAGGTTTTGAGAATGAGGTTTAATGTTTAATATTTATCTGACTTAAAATTCAAATAAAAAATAAAATAAATAATATAATATAATAGGATGAGCATATGTCCTTGGTATGGATAGTAAAGGGTGTTAAAATGAGAAGTTTTATAAATACTTAAAGATTTTTAAATTTATATATATTATTTATTGTCATAATTAAAATTAAAATAAATACATTAAAAAAGAAATGAAACTTAGCTAACTTTTAAGATGGACAACAACTGATGGCAAACATCTTTTAATGAGATTATTTTATTACACATACATACCAATTATTTTGATTTTAGGTATGTTATAAATATCATATAATTTATTAGGATATAAATCAATGAACATTTAGGCATTATTCCCTCAATTAGCATCTAAATAATGATAGAATATTTGATATTTATGATCTATATGCAAATTAAACACATCTACATCATCATTATTCAAATCATTTAAAACTTTGTAAAATAATTATGATTATATAATCTAGAAAATATTATTAGTATAAATTCTTTCTTTTTTTATATAATTAAAACAATAATTATTTCAACAAATTTTAATAAAAAATGGGTGAAGAATATGGATTTGACAAAGATAGATTCTTAAATTACAATCAAGACATCTTTGATTGTCCAATATGTTCATGTGTTGCTAGACTTCCAAAAGATTGTAGTTCATGTGGCACAGTATATTGTGGACCTTGTGTTGACTCATGGCTAAAAAAATAATCGTAATTTATTTTATTAATTAATCTAGTGAATGTATTAATAGATGTCCTAAAACATCTTGTATATCGAATATTTAAAAATCACTTAAAAAAATATATGATGATCTTGAACTTAAATGTATATTATTAATCAGAAAGTAGGTTCTTATTGTCCTAAGTCATTTAAAATAGGAGATATTGATAAGCATGAATTTAATTGTAAATTACCAAAATGTATTAATTATGAGATCTGTGGAAATACAATTGGAACATCTAATGAATTTGAAAATTAAAAAGTAAAATCTATTTATAATATGAGGTTTGTGATCAAACATGTCTTGTATTGAGTAAAATTAAATAAATGAAGAGCAAACATGATCTCTATTTATACTTAAAATAGTATTTAAATGAAAAATAAACTGTGTTAAGTAAAATAATAATTCACATTAGATATGTCTACTAACTTGAGTCTAGATTATACAAATTCAAATAATCTTATTTTTAAATGGGATAAATAGAGAATGGGTACAGGCATAACAATATCTGATGGAGATACAAGAATATTTTTAAAAGAATAAGCCTATATGTTTAGAACTGCAATAGCAACTTTTGGTTTTGAAAAAGGTATTGGATATTGGGAAATCGAAGCAGATGAAAGAACTGAAAATGAATTAAAGATTGGAGTATCTACATCCAGAGACTTTAATTATAATACTGCATTTTGTGACTTTGAATTTGGTTGGGCTTATTATGGATTGGCATAGGTATTAAATCAAATTTACAAATTAATAGTTGCGTCATAATAGCAATGCTACTGGACCTTCTTTTGGAAAGAGATTTAAGAAAGAGGGAGTATTAGGAGTTTGCTTAAATATGAATAATGGAACTTTAAAATTTAGTTTAAATGGAGAACTTATGGGAACAGCATATACTGATGAAAAGTTGAAACAAGGACCCATTTATCCAGCAGTTTCATTACTTCACTGTGCAGGATGTAAATTAACAACTGGTAAGCCTCTTCCAAATATATTCTTGAATTGATTTATTAAATTATGTTAAACTTCATTCTATAAATATAAGTACTATATTCCTCTTTCAAATATTTATTGTGAGAGTTATATTAAAGTTTATTTTTTAGAGTTGTAATTAAACAAAAGGATCTTTGTATACAATAGAAGTTCCTTTAAATTTCTAATTTTTTTATTTTTAAAAAAGACTTAATAAAAATTCAAAAAACTAAAATAATATCATTAATTTTATATTTCAAAAATATACACCATTATAATAGAGTACATATTAATAATCTTTATTTTGATTTGAATTAAATTTAATAATATATGATATCTAGAGTAAAATCACATTGTTAATTTTTTAACAAGAATGATTTTAAACTATTAACATGATACGTTTTCTAACTTATTAATATTATTAGCAAATAAATATGATCATAATATTAATTAATTCTTCTAAAAAGTTGAGTTATTAAAAATTCAAATAATTTATCACCTAATTTTGAAAATAAAGTAATTACTATTACAATAACCCAATATTTTTTATGATAGAAATATCATTTAAAAAAATTTGAATAAATTAAAAAATTATTATATAGTCCATAGAGTCAATTGAAATCGTTTTTGTCTAACCCTCATAGGAAGTGAATAATTAAAAATACTATACCCTGTTTTAGTTTAAGATTTAATTATATTTTAAATAAAAGATCAATCATTTACTTAACATCTCATCTGGTACATTTAATGTATTTCTACAGAATATATCATTATTCGAGTTTGCTCGAAGCCTTCTTAATCCATCAAAATCAAGTAGTTTTGATAATTTAAAGATTGCTTATATTTCGTCACCAAGCTTTTTGATTAATTTTCTATTGACATCATGCTATTAGTTTTATTCTAAACTTTATTAAAGGATAGTATCATATGCCTAAAATTAAGATAATTATATACTCTATATATCCTATTATAAATCCTCATATCTTTATCCAAACTTACAGTTCGATGGAATTGTTTAAAAATAGGTTTACGTTTTGTTTAATTTTTTTTTTTTTTTTCATCACAAATAGTTTCATTCCTAATTATTAATTAACAATACATTGTATTTCTTGCTCTTTCTTCTAGAATAGTTCTATTGAATGGCATTTCTTTATCTTCTTCTAAAGAGATTATTGGTTTTGATGTAAAATTGAATAAAAGTTGTTATGAATTACTAAGTAATATTTCTTTCATTTTATCAATTTCATTTAACTTAGTAATAATGTTGAATACATCTAATTGCTCATTTATTTTATCACTTAAATAATATTATAATAGTATACAGTGCAGAATTAAAAAATTAAACAGATTGAGAATTTGAAAAGACTTTTCGAAAACAAATCTGATTAAGAAATATTTATAAGTTAAATCGTAATATTTACGATCTATTTAAAATTAGATTGATCTATTTTTTAAAATAATCTAATCCACTTACACATTTCAATTTTTGTGCCAATAATCCATGATCTTTTATGGCTTACTACGTAAATTAATTACTCTTTTCATCATTTTCATAAGAGAGTTAATTATTACATTCATTATTCTCAGTTGTTGGTCTATCAGTCAAAATAATATGTTATTCAGGTTATTGACCTTTGCCAAAAAGCCTAAATATCTTACTCTTATGTTTGATTTAACTATTTGGAATAATTTATTATTGTCCTTCTTTATTAACATAATATTCATGCCGAAATTGTCTATCCTCATATACATTATTAATTAAATCAAGATTTAATTAATGTTATCTATTTTATTCATCTACATCCGAACTAAATTCATATATTTTATTTGACAATTCCACCATCACTAAATGTTTAATTTAATCATTACTAGTTTGTTTGTTATATGCTGCTATGATGAATCCCATTACTATAAGGGATATTTATAATAATCCTCCCAATTTGGATAATAAATCTGTCACACTTTGATTGTTTCTTTCTACAGATATTATAATGGGACTTTTCCTAAAATAAAAGGCAGCAAATGATTTATCTGTATCCCTTCCTAAATCAATTACTTCTTTAGTTTCTGTGTTATCAATTGAAATAAAGTTTAAATTTTAATTATCCCTAAGTTATAAAGGAAATTTACTTAAATGGAAAGAAATCTAAATTGTTTCTAAATTTATATTCTCGAAAGTAAATATTTGCATATTTATTTAATTTTTTTGGAACAAATGATAAATAACTTTAATCATCTAAAAATATTGAAATATAGTCTGATCCAATTTTATTTGGATTGATTACCTAAATAGTTTGGATATATGTCATACTTTATTAATCAAATAGACTTATACTTTAAATGCTCCTTATTAATTTAAATGATCCTACAAAGATTCATTAGAAGCACATGTACTATTTTCTAAAATTAAAGATGGATTGCAAGGAGAGACTTCAATTTTAAGAAAATTAAAATAGTTAGCTTATATAAGAAAATTTATTTACATGCAAATGTACCACCTATATTCATGCTGATATTATTTCTATAATATATTTCACAATAAAATACTTTGGACATAACAAATTCTCTAAATTCAAATGATTGAAGTCCTCTGAAAAGTTTTTACCATATTTTAGAAATACAGTTTAGAATCTTTCCAGTGTGCAAGGTTCAAGTGGAAGTTAAGTGATATTTTTAGAAAACGATCCATTATCCAATCTTTCGTATTCTCTGATTTAGAAATTTGAATAAATTACCTTTGTTGTAGAGTAACTGAAAAGAAGGGGTTTCTTAAAAAGTTCTATTATTCTATACCAAGTGCTATTATGAAATCTTGATCATCAAGTTAAAGGTTCGAAAGATCATTATCATAGACTTAAGTTTACTTTGTTATAATGTTCTTTCCCTATATATAGTCTAGAAAATTGCTTGAGAAAAAGAGAAACACCAAAAAAATTGTAGCTATTGATGTAAATCCACCAAATGTTGATTGATAAGTTGATTATTAATTCATTCCTAAAGAAGGTGATTGAGCAAATATATCGCAAGCTTTTAGATCTAATCTAATAATGTAATAAAATTACATGAATATATTTTTTCCATCGGAAATGTTTATTTTTTAATAATATTTTAATATGATCATACAAAAAGATTAATTAATTTAATAGATCTGAAAATTTGTTTTATCGGTTATCAGTTCTAATCTTTGATACCCCTTAATTCTTAAACATAAATATAAATATAGCTTTGATGGATGAGTTTAATATTATTAACTTTTTTGGCAAATTATTATTTTAATCAAATATATGAGTCTTAAATTTAATTGTATTCAATCTAAAAAAAATGATGCCATAACTTTCTAATATTTCCAAAATAATTCCCATTTATTAAAATTACCTAATACTACATATGGTTCTATATTTATCTATATATTCATTCATTATCATAACAGTATTTTCTAACTATTTATACCAATCTATATATTTTCTTGTTACTAAGTAATTCTAAAAAGGATAATACTATATTTGAAATGTTAGGATAATGATATATAAATTAAAATATAATTAAAGAATGAATAACTTATAATATTTTAGAAAAAATTAGAGCCTCCAAAAATAGATGGCTCTATCAAATGTACTAATCAATAAGAAAATTGAAAATACATAAAGTATTCCTTTAACTTTGAAGATTCTAATGAATTGAGACACAAATTTATGTTTTCAAAAAGAGCATATTTAAGATTTATTTAAGATTATTTCTTGCTATAATAAACGAGTAATTCCATTTAAGGAACCGATTATGATATAATTTTTGGATTATTTTTCGTTTTGAATATAGGAGTTTATTAATTTATTGTAAGTGTCATTGAAATAAAAAAAATTTGAATGTGTATATCTGAGATTTTAGAATGGCTTCTTCATAATGCCTATGATGATCATTATTTCTTAAAGTTGTAATTAAATACAGATTAGGATGAGAGAGAAATGAATATGGGGATATATCAGGAATTCTTTAATTTATGTTGTTTAGATGTGAGAATTTGATTTATATATTTTGATTAATTCATTTATGTAATAAAAAAGTAATAGTGTATTGAAAAATTTGGAATAATTACAGTATTATGTGAAAAACGATGAGTTTTTGGAAGTGATTAAGTCATTCCTAAAATTTAAAGCAACAGCTTTATAAATTTTAGATTAGATTGAATAATCAATTGTAAATGCTACAGTGAAATGCACTCCAAAAGAAATGATTGGATTGTATGATGATTATGGAACTTTAGATATTATCAATTGGTTACAAAGTGTATCCATAAATGAATAGAGTTAAGCTTTGAAGGAAATTAAACTAGAGAAATAAAGCATTTAAAAGTTAAGACATTCTTATGAGATAACATTTAAGAAAAATTTAAAAGATTTATAAGACATTTTGGAAAAAACTTTAGATGCTATAAATAATTAAGTGGAATATCAAACTAATCTAACTATTACAAGGTTGAAAAAAAGAGATGAAAGTATTGTTTTAGAGAATAATGGAATTTTATTTGATGCAGGTGTTGTGTCTGTTTGTGTATTTGAACCTAAGTCAAATGGATTATTTTTAAAAGGATTACATTAACCAATATTCTTTGATGGAATATATTTTGAATAACCAATAAATTTTAAAGAGAATCCACATAAAATAAAGTTTAGTTTACATAAAGGTTTCAATCTAAAGGATAGTTTATATGAGGAAGAATTCTCTATTTATGATCCAGAATTTAAGAAGGTAGATGGGAATAATTATGTAATTGAGTTTAAGCAGTAGGTTAAATTAGAGAAAGGCTGTAAATATTGTGTATGTGCATATGCTGGTTAAGATGAATTCTTTGCAACAACTTAATATATGGAAATTGAATAAGATAACCCTTATATTAAATTTCAAGAAAAGTCTTATGATCATGGTGAGTTTATTGCACCAGATCATGTCAATTAGATAATTTCTGAACATAATAAGGGGATATTTTCAGCATTTATAGTAATTGAAGAATGATAATGTGAATGAATTACATTATAGTTTGATATATATATATTTTAATTAAAAAAAATAAAAAATGAAGAAATAAGATTGGAAATTCATGTAAGTATTTGGTGATAAAGCTTCATCTGATAATGTCAGTGATGAAGACATTATATCAGCTGTATAATTTGAAAGGACAGGAAGATTTTTAGGATTAGGAGACAAAGCAGGACGCTTAATAGTATTTGAAGTTCCATAAACTAAGAAGAAAGATAAAGCAGAATATTAGTATAAATTTATAGCAATGTTATAGGTATCTGACTGAACTTCAATCTCATACTAGAGAGTTTGATTTCTTAAAGAGTACTGATATAGAGGAGAAGATCAATTAACTTTAATGGTTGAGAGGATAAGGTAAAAACATGTATATTTTGACTACTAATGATAAAACAGTGAAGTTATGGAAGATTAGCGAAAAAAATGTCACTAAAGTTATTAAACCAAGTGGAAAAGATTTAGCTATGCCAAAATTATAGGTTGTTGAAAGTGGACTCATTCCAAGGTATTTTATAATATTCTATAAATTTAAGTGTGAGAAAAGTATTTCCAAATCTCCATAATTATCATATTAATTCATTGACTGCATCTAATAATGAAGAATTTGTTTTGACTTCAGATGATTTAAAGGTTTATTTATGGAGTATTGAATAACCAGCCAAGGCATTTGTTGCTGTAGACTTAAAACCAGAGAATTTAGATGAGTTAAGTGAAGTAATTACATCTTCTACTTTTCATCCAACTTTAGATAATTAATTTTTATATACTACCAGTAAAGGAATCGTAAAACTATGTGATATGAGAAAATCAGGTATTTGTGATAATACTGCTATAACAATGGCTGAACCTGAAGATCCAGCCAAGAAGAATTTCTTTACAGAAATAGTTACATCTATTTCTGATGCATGTTTTAGTAGGAATGGAAAATATATTTTTTCAAGAGATTTTCTTACTGTTAAAGTATGGGATATTGCTATGACTAATAAACCAGTTGCTACAGTCTAAGTATTTGAACCACTTAAATCTAAATTATGTGATCTCTATGAAAATGAAAGCATATTTGATAAATTTTCAATTGCATCTACTCTTGACTCTAATAGTTTTGTTACTGGAAACTTTAATAGCACTTTTCATATTGTGGATAGAATGGGTAGTTTTTATTATTATTTCTAGGTGAATGTAATTCATAATATGAACTTAATTTCAATAAGAAAACTGTTGTAAGATAAATCCCACCTAAATACTTCGAGAATTTGGGATCATCCTATGATTTTAATCGTAAAGTTTAGAAATTGAGTATGTGTCAAACCTAGAATCTTGTTGCTGTAGCTTGCCTCAATTGTCTCTATTTCTACACAGCATGACAATTACATATTTATCCAATTATTAATATATTATTATATAAATGATAATCATCCAATATGTGGAGCTTGTTTTACAATTCCATTTTCATCATGAAACACTCTTACTCTATTAGTTCTATAATCCATAGTCACCATAGAATCTTAAGGAAGTAATTAAACATTTAATTCAGCATTGTCAGCAAGTATTATTTATTTTGCTTCATCAGCTGTCTTTCCAACACATTCTGGCCAAGATTTTTTACCTTAAGGAAGATGAATATCCATTTAATACTTTAATTTAATTTATTATCATCAGAATAATAGTTATTATGATTCATATTTTATTACTAAATGATTAACATATTATATTGTTTATATCAAAGACTCTAGTCAATCAATTATAATAGTTTAACTAGATTTCATTACAACCACAACATAATTATGTTAAGATTGATTATAATATACTTATTTACAATAGATGAAAATTGTAAATGAAAAGAAAGCAGTTCCAAATTAACTGCTTTTAATTTATTGAACATGTGGCTATGTATGTTTATTTATTATACTATCATATACTATCATTTTTTTGTTTTGTATTTTGCACCAAGAACGAGTTATAACTTTCCTCCTGTTGATCTTCCCAATTGACTTGAGCATTTACTAACACTATAAAAGGCAATCATTACATGCAGGTGATAATGCCTCTGGCATGGGAGAATACAGTGTTATTAGCTTGGCACTATGGGCATTTGACATCCATGAAGTATGAGTTTGGAGCTTAAATCAATCTCTTTAATTTATGCTTTCTCTTTTCACTTTCATATTAAGGTCTCAATAAATCTTGGTCCATTATTTAAATTTATTTTTAAATTAATTTATTTATTTCAAATACTCTAATGAACCACAAGAGATACTCTTTAACATGTACAATATTAATCTTCCTCATATAATTAAAAGCAAATCAACAAATTATTCAATATATTTACTTAAAAATATAATAAATTTCATTTTAATCAACCCATAGATAAGTCATTTTTTTATTGTTCTATTAAATCATTATTTTTCTCTTTCATTTTTAAATATATCTATAAAGAAATTATTGCATCTAATGCAGCGTAATGAGTTTAAGCCTTTCTTAATGGCCTATATTCCCAATTACTACAAGTTTCATATTTACTCAATTTTTTCAAAAAATAGAATTCAGTTATATAGGCTAAGGATTTTTTTTTGTTTTCTTCCTCTAACAATTTGAAACACGATGACAATTCTATAACTGATCTAATTTTTATATTCTTTAATTTCAAGTAATTTACAGTATGCTTAAGATCATCTTCCACACCCAAGCCAATTTTCATGATTTAAGCATTCTCCATCAACTATCTCACATCTTTTTTAAATTCTAAAGCTTCTTTTAGTTTTTAATAGTCAAAGATAAAAACATGGTTTTTAGTAGCAATTTAAACTAAACAAACTCTAAATCCATAATAATCCAACTTTGTCCAAGGGGTTACATGCTCACAATCATAACCTTTTTAATTAATATAAAAAAATACCAACAGCATTACTTGAATGAATATATTTCCATGCATCAAAATAATTCTCATCAACTTTATCAATTAATATTATTTGATTTTCAGTATAACCAAAATCTTTGCAATGCAAATAAACACCAATTTCATTATTAACAAACTCCTCTGTAGGTTTAAATTCATCCTTCTCAAACAATATATTTGGGATCTCTTAGAATCCTTTATGATAATTTATTTATAATTTTTCCTCCTAAACTCTTGTCTTTATTAAGTCTATTAGATTATTTCTTTTAATAATTGATAGTGCTTCTGTTGGCAAACCATTATAATATGCATTTTCACATAATAGGGCTAATAACTATGGCTAATACAATAGCATTTCTTCACTTTTATACCAAGGATGTTCTTTGGACATATATTTTATACAATTTTTTTATAACACCTCAACTACTTTAGGATAATCAGCTGGATTATAATTTGAATTCTTAATAAATTCTGCTGCTTTATTGGTTTCCCTTTTGTTTTGCATTTGCTAAATTAAATGATCAAAACAATCCTTTGGTAATTTTATATTTTTATATAATAAGTAGGCATCCTCAAATTTCTATTTATAAAGTAAATTCTTAAAATATTTTTCAAATCTAAAATAGATTATAAATTGTACTCTTTTTCAGGAATTTGTTCTTTTAATGAAAAAAGATTAAGAAATTCAAGCATATCTTAAACTTTTAAATCCTTCCATATTTTAACAATTCCTTTATCCTAATACTATTTTAAATTCATTTAGTCTTTGTTTTTTTATAAAAATAAAAAAAGCACTTTTAATAATTACCTTGGCACATTAAACACAACGAATTCTTCAATTATCTTTTATAAATTTTATTCTAATTTCTCTTTAATATTATCTTGATTCACAACTTATAAAAATAAGTTTTGAATAAGCTATATAGAAATGATTTAAATACATTGAAAGATAGATTATTGATTGTTAGGTATTAACTTAATTCATAAAATCCATCACATTCAATTATGACTTTTTATAAGATTTAAATGAATTCATTATCATTTCTAACTTCTTCTTCTTACTCTAGTTTTTATTACATTTATAATAATTCTTTTTTAAATAAATAATAAATTATGTTATTTTTTTTCAATGATATAATTAATACCCTTAATTTTATACATTTAGTTAAGATTGAAAGTATTTAATTAATAAAGTGAATACAACTATATTCATTTTTATTTAGAGAATGTTGTATTAATGGTAGAAAATAATAATCTACTGAGATTGGATATATTATTTTAGATTGTACCGACAATATTGTATATTAATTCAACAGTTGTTATCAAACTCTGATAGATATTTGTTATTACTGCTATTAAAATGGCTATAGCATACATATACAATTGCATTAATAGAATTATCCTGTAACACTTATTCTCATATGACCATGCATATTTTACATATAAACTATTGTAAGTATAAATCCTTAAAAATAAATCTGAAATTAAAATAAAGGGCAACAACATAAAACTGATTAAGATAGCTATGAATAATCCAAATATTAATTTTAATACAGAAATGCCTATCTTTTTAACTTAATTCTCAGATTAATGAAGTTTTAAATTATCATTTTCTTGGCTTAGAGTTTTTGCTTAATGTTTACCATGATATTTTTAATTTACTGTTTTCTATATTCTTACAACAAATAAAATGATATTAAGATTGATTTTCCATTTTTTCATTGTGCTTGATTTCCAATTTAATATCTTCTTTTATCTCACCTTAAATTCATAAGTATGATTTCTGAATTTAATCCTTCTTTTTTAATATTAAACAGTCTCTAAACCCAACATGCCCTTCAATGTCTTTACAGGTTCTTCCTTGTCAAAATGATCAGTAGTAGTTATTTCAATGAGTTTTTCAGAGTCTATTGCATTCTATATTATAAGTTTAGGAGCTTTGGTATCTTATTAAGTATCCATTTTAAACTCTTTTCTTTCACTATTACAATTAGAAGGTGAGAAAACAATTGGTTCCTAGTATTTGTTGTATTGATTTATTGTTTGTTTAATAGAGTTTTCAATTTGATCATGATTGTTTTGATCATTGATTTGGATCAACTTGGTATTGTTAGGATCTCCATCATCCCCTTTTAAGTTTGAATACTCACGATAGATGGGCTTATTCATTTTTAATATTTTTTGAAATAATTAGAATACAGTAAAACCAATAACTCATTATTTTTTTGGATTGCTTTATTTTCTTTAAGTTTTAGATTTGCTTCCAATTTTTCTATGATCCTTATTCATTTATGTAATTTAATCATCTTTTTATTTTATAACATTTTAAAGTTCCTAAATTTTAGTGTCTTTTTCACCAATTTTATTTTACAACTCTTAAACCCTGTAATTTAACTCCTAATTAATCACCTATAGAGTTTAAAGTGCTTTCTCTTTTTGTTAACATTATGTCTTCTCCTATTCTAATAGATCATTTATGGCTTCGACTTCATCTTACAATTCTGCATTTTTTGCTTCAAGTTCTGATACTCTTTATCTTAACTATAATATTGATAAATAAGACCTGATCGTTCTCTTGATATGAAATTTCTTAGATATATTTGCATTGTTAATGAGGATCCATAGAGTAAAAATTAAAATTAAATAAAAAATAGTCTCTGTTGAATTGAATAATATGTTATTTTTATTGTTTGTAATAAAAAGTATTTAAATGTTTATCACGAATAAATAATGTCTTTAAAAAAAGTTCATAAATACAACTACATAATTCTTTTAAGATCTTGTAATTAAATAGGTTTTGTTATGTAATCCTTCATTCCTGCATTGAGACATTCTAGTTTTTATTCAGAACTTTCATATGCAGAACATCCGATTATTCTAACATCAATACCATACTATTAAGATAATTCTAAAATCTTTTTAGTAGTTTAAATTCCATTAATTGTTGGCATCTCTAAATCCATAAATATCAATTTGTAGTAATCCTAATTTGCTTGCCATTTTTTTTGACATTTTTCAATTGCCAAATATCCATTAGTAACTGAATCAACTTGATCTTATCCTCTATTTATAATAATGATATAATTACAGTTATGCTAGTCTTCTTTTTAACATATCAATATTCATACAAACATCATCCACTATCATAATCTAAGTAGTCATTATTGCTTTTGTAGATCTTTTAAAAATTGAAGCTTAATTATTCACATAAACTTTATGAATTGACTCCTCCTATTATTATTATATAATAATGGACTCTTCACTATCTTAATTTCGTTCTTCCAAACTATTTAATGACTTAATTTCATTTATATCTTGATATTGAATTAAAAAATAAAATGTAGACCCTAATTTTTAAATATATTAACAATATTACCTTTTTTATATTAGGATTTGAATTTTAATCCATTCTGTAAGTCTTAATTTAAATTTTATAAAATTTAATTACTAATTAATAATCCTAATCCAACACCTGATTTATTCATTTTTTTATGTTCTTCACTATTACCTTTTCCAAATGCTTAGAATATTCTTAATTAATCTTCTTCAGTCATTCCAATTCCAGTATCTACAACAGATACTTCCAATCTTAAATTAATCTGAGATACTTTTATTGTTACTGAACCTTCATCAGTAAATTTAAAAGCATTTCCCAATAAGTTGATCATTATTTATTTTAATCGACTAGAATCAGAATATATATATCTAGGAGCTTTTTTTTCATAATTAATATATAACATGATCTGTTTCCTTTCTGCTATTACTTGAAATAAATCTACACAAGTTTCTAACAATTAATTAAAATTGAATTTGGCTTTATTAATCTTAAATTTACCAACTTTAATTTATGCTAAATCTAATAGATCATCACTTAAATTTTATAAATATTTTGCATGATCTAAAGCAATTTTAATTTATTTAGCCATTTTAATGGGAATATTAGTCTTTGTAGATCTACGTACTTCTTTTTCCATAATCATAGTATAAGATGAATATTTTTAATTTTCATCAACTCCTTATTCTAACATATCAATAATACAATTTAAAGGTGTTCTATATTCATGACTTACAAAAGATAAAGTCTTAGATTTCTATTTACTATAATCACGCAATTATTATATGTAATCTCTATGAGTAATATCTCTAATGAGCATTAAAATATAAGGAACATCAATGATTAAAGCATTATACAATTTAACTTCAATAGTTCTATTCTTTTTTCCATCTGAACCTTTTTAATATCCTAAAATTACTACATGTTCTTAAATTAATTCATTTTAATTTTTCATTTAATTTTAGAAATCTATTTTTCTCATTTAAGAGGATATTAATTTTAGTTCCTATTCCAAAATCTAATATTATAAACATATATATTACTGATTCTTCTATAGTATCACATTTCTTCAAGATAACTCCCTTATATTCAATATTACTTAGAACAGAATTTTATCTATATAATTCTAATTTTTTAGAACTCTATAATTTATTAGTTTAAGATCTCTTATCATTTCGAGATGCTTTATTTATTAAATTACAAGGGATAGGAGTTTATTAAAAAGTAGAAAATGAACTTATGGAATTCTTATAGTCAAGTTGTTATTTCTCTTAATCCATTTAAACAGATTATTGTTCTAAACAAAATAAAGAGGATAGAATTTAATCTGATTATTTTGCCATTGATAATTTTAATAAATTTTCATTATGATACTCTAATTCTATCTTCTAATCTGTTATTTTTATTAATCCTATTCCTTATGGAAATATACTTAAGATTTCCATTTTATTATCTCTTTCATGTCTTGGACTTTCATGATGACTTGGTCTCTCTTATAATTTTAAACGTGAATGATTTTAAGTGTTACCTGCACTATCAATCATAATTTTATCATGTATTTCTTATTAAGTAGAACTGTCTATATTTCTTCTAATTATTTTAGATTTAGAATTATGAAATAAAATTAACCAATGAACAACAATAGCTGTAATTGATAAGTAAAATGAATTATAATCTTCCAATAAGATCATTGTAAATAAAATGATATCAGATACTATTTAATGAGTTATTTGTATTTTATTCAGGGAAGGCAAGTAACCATTTATTTTAATAAAAAAGAACTCTTTTAAACTGCATAATGACAATATTGTCATTGCATTGAATTTTGAGCTTAAATATAAAGCAACTAGTAATGTCCATTGTTACAGTATTTCAAAATGAATTAAGTACTTCTCAGTTTAAGAAATGAAACCCAATATTATTCTCAATATCTAAATACCTACTATAGTAATTGTTATAATTAAGGATCCATTTCCAAATATACTTTAAAACATTATTAAAAGTGTAATCATTATCATTACCCAAGAATCTTTTAATACTCTTTCGTATTGATTCATACAAAATAATAAATAATATATATTCAATTAATATTCACTGTAGTTCTCAATCATTATCGAAATTCACTTCTATTCAATGTCCCTTCATTTTCTATAATAAATTTATACCCTATCATCTTATACTCATATATAAATAATATAATTTTCATTCTTTTGAATGTCTTTCATTATTAGAAACAGAATGCTTTATTACCATCCCTTGAAAATTGATGATAATATACTGTCATCTTGAATCATCAAAATTAATCAACTAAATCAAAAGTAGCCATAACAAAATGTTTCTCTTATTTATTGATAAGATGTCAAATAAATATTAATTGCTAAATTTATTGAATAAAAAATTGTTTGACCCTTTAATTAATATAAATTATTTATCCCTTATTAAAAATTAAGTGTATTGATATATATATATTTTATGAGAATATTATTTACATTACTTATTGTTCATTCATTTATTTTCAAAACTTGATAGAAATTAATTATTCATACATACTACGAGCTTTTTAAAGAATTAAGAATTATCTAAAATTTTACAAATTAAATTATTAGAATAACAAAATTAATCGATTAAATTTGCGATGGATAAAAGATTCAAACATACACTTGTGGCATTTAAAATATGTCCTTATTGCATGAAAGTGCTTACAATAATGTGTCATAAAAATGTTAAATTTGAAATCAAATTTATAGAAATGCATAATAAACCTGATTGGTTTCTTAAGTTAAGTCCTCTTGAAAGAGTACCTATATTAATCATTGGTGAAGAAGGTATTATTTTATTTTTATTTTTTAGTTGTTTTATTTGAGTCAGCAGCAATAATGGAATATATTGATGAAATTACACCACCTAAATTAATGCCAGATGACCCTATTTAAAAAGCAATAGACAGAGCTAAGTTTGAGTATTCAAATGAGATAATTAAAAATCTCTATTAATTTGTCTTTTGTTTAGAACAAGAAGTAAGTTCTTATTTAAAAGCAATAGAAATTTATAAACCTCAAGTAATGGCTAATAAAACATTTTAAACAAATGGAGGAATGGTTAAAAGATAAATAATATATAAATGGAACTGAAATTTCTTTAGTCGATTTTAATTTTGTACCAGTTTTTGTAGTATTAAATATGCTGAAACCCATTTTGCCATGTGATATGTTAAAGGATTACAAAAGAGTATAAATCAGGAATAGAAATAGTTATAAAATTATGGTGATTCTTTAACATCTATGTAATGTACAAAAACAGGTAGAGTTCCAGATTATGAATTTTTGATGATTGATGGAATTAAAAATAAAAATACTGTGCTATTTAGATCTAACCCATGTTATTTCAATGGTCCTAAGGCTTCACGATGTTGTTTCTTTGGTAAATGATCAATATATTTTGTATTTTTTTCTTTTTTAATTTTTGTTGAGTTTTATAGATTAATTGATTATAAATTCTTTTTTTAATTATAGATTTAATAAGTCTTATTTGTTAACAATATTATTATTAAATAAAATAGTATTTGAATCAATAATATTAATAAAGAAAAATTGAATGATTTATTTAATTTCATTAATTTATGCAAATAAAAGATAAAAAATATTTGAATTGCTTTTTTTACAAATAATCTAAGACAATAAATGAATTTTTTATTTTTTTAGATAAATTATAATACAATCATCATAAATTAATTAGGATATTTCCTATATTATCCTTAAATTTAATATAATATAATCAATAAAAATGATGTATAAAAACATTTTTGTTTGAATCTAAATTATAATTTATAAAACATAAATATATTTAACATTTAAAAAGATGAGAAATTATATTTCAGAACAAATTTTATTCAATTATATTTTATTCTATAAAGATTATCAGAATGTAGTTCATTCTTTAAAAACTTTTTAATTCAATAATATATATGTAAAAGTAATTACAAATAAAAATACCAAATTAAAATGTTTTATTAAAGAAATTTGAATCAGCTTTATTCAACTCTAAAACTAAATGGATTTCTTAAATGACAATTTTTTGGACTATTTATCTATTAATCATAATAATTATCATAAATTTTGTCTTCCTTCAGAATTTTTAGAATGTCCAAAGAATTATGAATACCTTTTCGAGGATATTTAAATTACTGAAGTATTTGGCATTAAGGATTAATTGTCATTCTTTATGCAAGAAGTCTGTCAAATAGTGTGTTGAATTAAAATTTAAATTACATCAGTGCGTTATCTATAATTATAATTACTAATTTATACTGTTAACTTGGGAATCGTTAGTAATACTTTAGTTAATAATTATTTCTTGAAAATGATTTATTTTTTATAATAGACTTTATTGTTCAAACTACTTCGATTTTTCTGATTTTTTTAGAAAGAAATAAGATTGTCTAATGATTTAGTACATTGGTAAAAATATGATATAAATTAAAATTACTTACAATAAAATCAGTCCAAATGAGCCTAATACAGTCACAAATATTATTTAATTCAAATTCTTTTTTACTATTTTAAGAAGAAGATTGATATTATCATCAATTTCTTATTCAATTTAAATATCATAAAAAAGGATAAGGAAATAATCGATATTCTATAATTTGATGATTTAAATCACAACATCTTTATTATAAATGCTATTGTATCTACACAAGATATGAAGATTTTCATAATTACAAGTTGAATTTAACTATTTATTATAATAATAATTTAGTATTGAATTCCAATCTTGAGTTTTAAATCCAGTGATTTCTTCATTATCAAACTTTATCAAAGCTGATGAATTTGAAACAATATCATTTTTATAATTAGACAAAATTAAAGTTCCTTCTGTATTTACTATCATTATATTGATATTTAATTGTGGTATTAGGTTATTCTTAAAAACGAGATCTGAACAGAATAACCCTTCTACTTCTTTATTCAAATTTAACATTGATTGAGTCATTGTCATTGAATATATTGGTTAAGTATCAAAATATCTATAGATATTAGTTAATTAAGTATGATTGGTTTTGTCTTTTTCTAAATTTTTAAAATGTGATTTGTACCATTCCCTTTCTTTTGGATTAAAATTAGGATAAATAGTGAATTAAGGATATAAAAAACCATATTAGTTTGAATTAATAGAAGAGACAAAATACATTTAATTTGGTAAATACTCATCATTTAACCTCATTAAACTTAAAATAAATGAGTTAACTAGATTAGTGATACTTTCTAATGATTGGTTAATATTGCTATTAGTTGAACTATTCTATTCCTATCCAAATCTTGAAAAACATAGTATGGAATAATAATGTTCTTAAGGCATAGTCGGTTGATAATAATCACACATTCTAGGTTGTTAAGAAGTTGCTATGATATCACTTTTTAATTATATCCAATAAAGTTAATTAAGGTTTGTCAATGTAATCTCAGCTAAAAAATAAGATAATATTATACTTTTTTCAAAGACTGAATTAAGTTAATAATTCAACAGATGTGAAGTAATATTTAGATGTTTGGATATTTCTTAAATTGTATTTCTCTTTAAAGAATGTTAAAGAATTTGTTCTACATATTGCATATTTACAGTCTGTAAAATTAAGATGGTAGGAATTAAAAGGGACAAAATTATACCATTAATAATTAAAATCTGAGTTCTCATTTTAAATTTTCCTAGTTTTGCTCTCAAACATCTACTTATGAAATAATTTGAAGATTATTTGTTCATTTTTAATGAAAACTTAATAATAAATTTAATATTCTAAGTTTCAAACTTTTAGTTAGTTTAATTTTAATTAAAATTGGATGATCATATTATTAAATAAAAAATGTAGTAAAAATTGTTTTCATCTTTATCAGATTATAATTTATTACATAAATATTAAAAAATTTACTACTTATAATTCATTATTTAAATTATTTAAAAAATTACAGATAATATATATGATTTATCTTATAATCATATTTTTATTATCGTTTAATTGTTAAAAAATAGAATCAAAAGATCAAACATGTAACCATTATTATAAGTTAAAGAATTTTATAAGCGATTAAATGAAAACGTCAACTTTTATTGTGAGACTGGTTACATTAATGTTGATGATGTTACTAAATCAGAAAATAAATTATTTTATCATTTATTTTTAAAGTAAGGTATATAGACTTTAGAACAGATAAAAAAAGATGATAACTTTTTATTATGGATTCCTGGAGGTCCTGGTTCTGCAGCTATGAAATATGCATTTAAATATACAGGACCTTTCAAAGTTAAAGAAGGAAAATTAATTTTATGGGTAAGATTACTTTTTATTAATTTTACAGGATTATTTAATTAATGAATTCTCTCATGTTTTGTATATTGATATGCCATTTGGATCAGGATTCAGTTATTCTACAAAGAAAGATGTAGTAAATAATACAGAAGAAGCAGCTAATTATATTTTATAATTTATGGAAATATTTTTGGATTCTCACAAAATGTTTTAAAAGATTAATTTTCATGTGGTTGGAATCAGTTATGCAGGACATTTTGTTCCAAGAATTGCCATAAAAATAGTTAATTCTAATTTAGATTTGAATTATAGAGGAGTGTTTATTGGAGGTTCTTGGACTGAAGCATTATCACAATATCGAAATTAAGCAACAACATTAATTTCCTATGGTCTTATTGATTAATATAGATTTGATTTTATTAGAAATATAGAAGCAATTTAATAAAATCTAATGATGGAAGAGAAATATTATGAGGCTGCTACTAGCACTATTGATATAACTTTTGATTTAGATTTCTTAGAATATTTTGATCCTGATAATGTTTATAAACATACAAATGATCCAAATGACAATTCTTATATTTAATTTTTAATTGGAAATAAGTAATAATATGGTATTCCTTCAAACATTGCTTTTAATCCATCTAATTTTACAATATTATAAGCTTTTTATGCTGATACATATATGAGTTATTTAAGTGATATTGAATTATTATTACATAAAGGTAAAGTGATGCTATATAATGGATAATTCGATTATAATATAAGTCCAGCTGGAGTATAAGTTATGATAAATAATATTAAAAATGAAATAGTATAATTATGGAAGAGAGAGAAAAAAAATTAATTTTATTATAAGGATAAATCTACTTAAGAATTAATGATAGGTGGGACTATCAAATAATATAAAAATTTTGCATTTGCAATTGTATATTAAGCTGGCCATTTAACTTAACTTGATTAACCTGGATCAGCTTATTAATTGTTAAAATAATATATAGATTTTTGATTTGATTATTAATATGAATTTAATCTTAGTTATTATTAATGAAATAAAATGTTTATTCTTTTTTAGATTCAATTTTATTATGATAATTTTAGAAATAGAAATATATGAAATAAAAAAATAGATTGGTTTTGTATTAGATATCAAAACTATTTTAAATATATTTTATTTTGATATAACTTAAAATTTGATATAAAGATAATAATTATTATTAGTATTCATAATGAATCAATAATTCTTTGGAAATTCAAGATTAGCCATATAAAGAGCTTAATAATTACACTTATTCTTCACTTAATCAGTGATTTATGATCAATTCAAATATACAGCTAAAATGCCCTAATATCCAAAAATTGTATTTTTGTAATCAAACTAATTTATCAGAAATCTTGTTGAAAAGTAATATTATATATGAAATATAGATAATTCCTTTAATATTCAATAATTGATGCTCAAAAAACAAATGGAGGAGTAATATTGTTATTTATCAATAGGATGGTGTAGCTAGATTAGCAGAATAAGTATAATTATAATCTACATAAACTAATGGCGCTTTATTATTTGGATTCCCAAATACAGCAGTTGAAGCAGAAAAGTACTTAAAAAAAGATTAAAATATTATAGTCTTGATAGATTATTGGATGGAATCAATTTAGCTGTTAGATTCAAGTTATCAGACTCATTAGCTTAGAAAATAGCAGGATCATTTCTATCATGTTAATCATGTGGTAAGATCTTCAATACTAGTTTACCATTTATAACACCTACACATCCAGGATATTAAAATAATGTATAAATTAGCCATAGATTTATAGTGTTAATAACCTAGTAAATGTGCTTTAGAATCAAGTTCAGCTCCAACTGATTAAGTAAATGCTGAAGTTGTTAATTACTATCAAAAGAATGTATAGATTAGTTTAATAATTTATTAGGGTGTTTATCTTGAATATGAAATAAATGAAGAACATTTGTTATATGATTCATAAGAATTCTTTGAAAAGTTAGATAATGCAGTAGCAACACATATCAAAGTGTGATATTTTTAAGAAATAAAAATATTAAAATATGATCACATATATCCTTATTCTAAATGTTCAATACTTATATTTAAAGTTTGATTTTGTTATGGAGGATTTTGATTTATTGATATCCAATTTATTTTTTTTAGTAAATCCTTATAAGGTTAAATCTCCTTATTTAGTTATTAAATCTAACTTTTTAGGATTTGAATCTTTTCTTTTAAGTATCTTAGAATCTAACTTAATAACCTTTTCATATTGTTCCACTTGAATTTTAAATTGGCTTTTATTTCATTTCCTCATTCATCATTTTTCTTCTTTATTTTATAATAAATGGAGAATCATTCAAATTCTATCCCTAATAAATTACATTTTATCATCTTAGTTCAGTCTAGTCTTTCTAAGATTTATTAGTATAATATTTTTGTATCTTTTTGCTATCGTTTTATTCAATTGAATCTTAAATTTATTTGAGTTCTTCATAGAATGTTTGATTATAACTAATTTTAATAGAGGAAAGTATAGATTTGTTTATCTTAAGAATTTTCAAAATAATCATCTTTTGATATGATTATCCAAAAAACTATTTATATTTCACCTATAGCAAATAGTCCATATATTTATTGTATACATTTGTAATTTCTTTAAATTCTTATTATTTTTAAGCAAGATTCACATAAGGATGATATAGCCAATTTAATGTAAGTTAATTTAATAGAATCAATAGAATCATTAGTGTTTATACTCTTAATTTTTAATAAATAGGTTAGATTATAATATTAATTAATTTTTAATTTCTTCTATAATTAAATTAATTATAATTGAATCAATCTTTATATATATTTATAAGATATATTTAATTATATAGATGTAATTGTAATATAAAGAAATTAAAAATAATTTTAGTTTTTATAGAAATCTTTAATTATTTTAATTATTAATTCATAATTAAGAGATAAATGAATTAAAGACCAAAATTTCAATTAGAGAATACTTTCATTACTCATCCTCTTCCTCTCTCTTGTTGTATCCTAAATAAATTTGAAACTTAGTATTAAATTTGATAATTACAATTTAGAATCATTACTGCAGGTTATGATTAAACATGCAAAATATTCAATATAGAAAGTGGAGCAAAATTAAACGAAATGTAGGGACATAGTAATGTAATTTAATGTATAGAAATTGATTAGAATAGAGAGTATTGAATTTTAATTATTATAGTGATCTAATGGCTACAGGTTCATTTGATCATACTATCAAATTATGGAGACCAAAATCAGGAATATGTGTTGAAACACTTAAAGGACATGATGCTGAAGTTATGTGTTTATCATTTGGTCATAATACTAAATTGGCATCTGGTTCAATGGATTCAACATGTAATATTTATGATATAGAAAAATTAAAAATATTACATACAATAAAAGATCACAAAATCTCTATAGTTGGTGTTAAATTTAATGATTCTAATGTATACACTGCATCATTTGATGGATAAATATCAGTATGATACAACAATAATAATAGGTAAATGATACCAAAACATTTAAGTAAATTATTAAATTGTAAGATGATACTAAAGAGATATTCTAAATGACTATAGATCCTTCTGAAAGATATCTTGGAACTATAAGTGGTAATAAGTAATGTAAAATATGGGATCTTAAAAATCTTAATAAACCTTTACATACATTAACTGGACATACATAAGATTTAACAACATTTACTTTTGATTAATTGGGCACTAGAGTTCTTACTGGATCATAAGATTCAACAGTAATTTTGTATGAGGCTTCTACTGGTAAGATGACTTAGAGATTTTATGGACACACAGATGAGATTGTTAAAATTGTTTATACTTAAAAACATGAGATTCTTACAGCAAGTACTGATAAGACTGCTAGATTATAGTATTACTTTAAACTAATTAATAATAGTACAATAGATGGGGTTTGCCAATAGATTTTAGATGGATAAGAGGATGGATTGATGACTCTCTTAGTAGATTAAAAAGGAAGGATGGTAATAACAGTAGGAAAAGATTCAACATGTCAAGTGTGGAGATTGTGATATATTTTTTATATAAATGCTAATTTACAAGAGTTCAATATATCTGTAATTTTCAATAAAAAATGCAATTTTTCTGGTGGAAATGGGAATGAAGTAATAAACCTAATTATAGTACATCATAATAAATTCATTTTCATTGATAATAGCTATTTTATTATTTGGAATGGAATTACTTAAGAAATAACATATTTATATTAATAGAGTAAGTGCCTTAATATTATGTTTATTAAACATAGAATTAGTGTAATAAGAGATTTCATCAATAAATACAATTCAGTTAGTAATATTTATTGTAATACTAATTACCCAATTTGAAGATGAATTGAAATGGCATCAAATTGCAAAACATTCAATAATATTTTACTTATTTTTAAGGACACTTTTACAATATAAAGACTTGTTTAACATAACTTAATTACTTACATGTGTATTATGGCAACCTATAAATCATTGGATGTTATACAAAAAGAAATAATTGGTAATAAATCAATTAAAGAAATAATCGATAGATTTGAGTAAATGTCAATTTGAATTGACTCCACAATTATGTAAAGACTCTTCAGAATAAGAAGAATAATGCAGTAGTAATCTTTAAGGTAGTTCTAGAATATCACAAAATTTAAAATAATTGAAATAACTTTATATGAATAATCCATTTTCTTAAATAGGTGATTTTGATTAGAAAACCATTTCTTAATTTTAAAAATAAACTTCTACTTTAGATGTACCCTAAATTTGGAATCTATTACCTTTTGGTATTGCACTTATCAATAATCAGTATGAAATCTTGAACTACAATTAAAAATTATTATATTTCTTAAAAGCATCAGATAATGATGGAAGAAATATAATATTAAATTTAGATTTATTGTTAGAGAGGTATATCAATTAACATAATAAGTCCTGAATCATGGGAGAGTAAATCCGTAAATTAAATTAGTTCACATTGTAGTAATCGTTAAAGTAGAAGATTTCAAACCAAAAGATAATTGTCTCTAATATCTAAAAGTAATCATGAATAGAGTTCAATTAATCCAGATGGTGGGACACATTCTCATCTTAATGGAAATTTTGCCTTCATTTCAAGTAATAACAATTAGATTAGAGATGAGATTATGACCATTAAATCAAGATATCGTAATTTAGATAAATTGCTTAAGTAATTTGCCATGAAATCTTATTCATTAAATAATAATGGAGATTGTTCATTTCAATCTATTGGTCAAAATATTTAAATTATTAAGAAAGTCCAAGATATAGGTTCCAAAAAATATTACTTTAGAATCAAAGTATATGAATTAGACATTATTGAAAATAAAATCAATTATTTATTTGTTATTGAGAACATTACAAATAAAGAGGAATTGCGCTTATTAAGTGTAAGATACAAATTTTAATAAGTTTTACTAAATTCTTTATGTCATGAATTAAGAACACCGATGAATAGTACATTATCATAATTGAATGCATTAACATCCTTAATTTCACCTTAAATTAGAGATAAGAATCTAATACCTGCCATAATATCTGCCAAAAAGCTAATGTTTCAATTAAATGATATTTTGGATTATGCATAAATAGATTGTAAGAATTTTCATTTAGTGAATTCACAATTTGAACTTAATGAAATATTTAATATAATACAAGAACTTTTTCAATAAGAATGTAATGAAAAAAATTTACAACTTAGTTTGAAATTTCAAAATATCAATGATACTTAAATTATATATAGTGATAAAGAACGTATTATTAGAATCTTAATAAATTTGATAGATAATTCTATTAAATTTACTAATGAAGGAGGTACAATCTCTGTTAGTGTTTAATAGGATAATTAATATATTCTATTTTGTGTTTTAGATGATGGAGTTGGTATTTCTGATAAAATTCTAGCAAGTATTAAAAATAATAAAGATTTTTATATGTAAGATTAATATCATAAAAATGAAACAAAACTTGGTTTAGGATTGAAAATATCTTAATAAATTGCCAAATATCTTTGTATAGATAAAGAACTTAAAATTGAAAGTAAAGAAAGACAATTTACTAAAATTTCATTCAGAATAGAATCTAATTATAAATAATTAAATAATCTTAAATTCCCCTCCTTTTAAGGATGTAATTTTAATATTAATTGTGATTGTATATAAATCTTAAATGTTGATGATGTTAGATTTAATCATAGTGCAATTGAAGCTCTTTTAAATTAACATAATATTAAAATGGAAAGTGCCTATAATGGATAATAAGCTGTTTAAATGGTTAAGAAAAGATTAGATAAAAATTGTTGCAAAACATATAAATTAATATTCATGGATATTGAAATGCCTATATCAAATGGATATTAAGCTTCAAAAGAAGTAATTAATATTTTAATAATTTAGATAACTGCCATTTTAGATAAAAATAACTTAACAGATTAAACAGTTATTGTAATGTGTTCTGCTTATAATGGAAATGAAAATAGTAATTAAGCTAAGGCTTGTGGTATTAAAGAAGTATTACCAAAGCCTATTGAATAAAAATAACTCAAACAATTACTTGACAAATATTTATTATGATTATATATTATAATAATTAATGGAAATACTCATTAAATTATTGATATGCTAATTAATAATTTAAGACATCATTCAAATCAGTTTTATTTGGATAAATACAAATTGGTATTATATTCTACTTAATACCTTATCCCTTTCAATATGCTTATTACTAATAATGATTGACTATTACAAAATATCAATAATTTATATTAAGGTAGGTCTCTATTTATTATGTGTAATAACTTATGAAACTTTGTTCTAATAATCTCTTAATATTGCTAATACTGCATAACTATTCTATATATTACTTATATTATTTAAGATATATGATAGTACCATAAGAACAAAGATAATAATACATCTTGTATTAGTATATATGATAATAAGAGCAATAATAACTGAATCATAGTATAGAATACATTATTTGATATTGATGATCTTCTTATAACCTTTAAATCATTATATGTTTTATACATTATAGAAATTAGAATGTACATAATAAACTTAAACCTAATTTAAATAAGAATCAATAATATAATAAAATGAATAACTTATATGTTTGTCTAATGATAGTAAGATAGATAATTTGAAATGTGATCTAAATGAGAGTGTAATTGTTAATTAGATAAATTATGATTTAGAATCTCCTAAAATATAATAAGAACATAAATCAATAGTTGTTAACAGAGAAACTATTTAATAAAGAATTATCATTAAAAAATAACCAATAAATATGTAGAAAACAACAACAAATTCTTCGCATTCATTTTAACATGATCCGTTAAAATTGGAAAGTCATATAGATTCTAAATATTCTGATTTAGTTGCAATAATGAGTAATCTTCCTTTTGGTATAATTTTTGTTGATTAACAATTAAAAATATTAGACTATAACCAAAAAGTTATCTAATTGTTAGGTATCACTAATCCTGATAATATTATTCCATTTTTAGATGAAGCCATTTAAAAGTATATAATTTAATTAATTATAACAGAAGTGGAGAAATTTAAGAAGTCCGTTCTGCTAAAAAAATTAAAAAATCAATGAATAAATCACCAAAAAAAATGACATACTTTAAATAACCATCAATTAGTTTATAAAAAAGATAATTTGATGATTAAATACCAGATGTAGTTTCTCAATATTATAATTGTGGATCCTAACCAAGGATGGACAATGAAAGTCAATAAGAAGGAAATTTAAAGTCAGTATTCTAAAAATTCTAGAAAATTCACTAAAGTTAATAAACATCTACTTCAAGGGAAACCTATTAATTTATTATTAGATTAGATTCCATGAATGCTTCATAATGTAAATCTAAATATAAAAGTTTAAAACTTAAGATTTTTTAAATTGAAGAAAATGGAAAGTGGAATTAAAATGTTTATTTAATTGTATTAGAAAACATTACAAAAAGAGAAGAATATAAATTACTTAATCATAAATATAAATTTTAATAAGCTCTTTTAAATTCGTTATGTCATGAATTAAGAACTCCAATCAATAGTGTCCTTTCCTAATTATATGCATTAAAAGATGAATTAACAATTGATTTATTAGAATCCCATCTTAATCCTGCAATTGTATCAACTAAAAGATTATAATATTAATTAAATGATATTTTAGATTATGCTTAAATTTAATGTAAAGCTTTGACTCTCAATAAATCATATTTTAAATTAGAAGAGATCTTTTAATAATTGTAAGAATTATTTTATTTTGAATGTATATAGAAATAGATTCAATTAATAATAGATAATGATCATTAAATTAGATTGTATACTGATAAAGAGAGATTACTAAGAGTTTTTATAAATTTATTAGATAATTCTGTTAAATTTACAGATAAAGGAGGAACAATTAAGATTTCAATAGAAATATTAAAAGATCAATATAAATTTATTATTTATGATGATGGATAAGGTATTAAAGATGAAATAATTGAAAAAATAGAAGAGGAAGCAGAAATCTTGTTTTAAGATTCTATTTAATATAATTCAAATAAATTAGGTTTAGGATTAAGAATATCTATGATACTATCAAAATACTTATATAAAGAATAGAAATTCAAAATAGATTCTAAATTTAATGAATATACTAGAATAAGTTTTGGATTGTCAAACTTAATTGAAAATTGTTCATTAGAATTTTAAATGGGTAGATAATTGTCTCGTCTTGAAAAATATTGTGAATGCAGTAAAATACTTATTGTTGATGACATAATTTGTAATCACTTTGCACTTTAAGTTTTATTAAAGAAATTTAAAGTAAAAACTGATAGTGCTTACAATGGGGATTCAGCTATAGAATTAGTTGAATAGAGATTAAAATAATAATGTTGTTAAACTTATCGAATAATTTTTATGGATATTGAAATGCCATAGAAGAATGGATTTTAAGCATCTTCGGAAGTATTTTAAAATATCATCCATTTAGATATCTTAAAAATTAAAACAAAATTCTCTTCATGATGAATGCATAATAACCATGTATTCTGCATATTCTGGAGACGATGATGTTCTAATAGCAACTTAATGTGGAATGAAAGAACGAATTTCAAAACCTACTGATATTTAAAAATTGGAGCACATTATTAATAAATATTTACTTTGATAATTATGTAATCTCAAATATTTCTAAATATACAAACCCTTTTTTATATTATTGTTAAATATTGAGACACCAATAAATTTAAATATTAAGCAATTATTATAACTTATTGATTTTAATAAATCAAACTTAAAAATACAATAAAATAAATAAATCACTATTTAAATTGTTGATTATAACTCATAATAGTACTCTCAATGATATAGTAATCCCTTTTAGATTAATATCGAAATTAAAACTATTTAATTGAGAAACCATTATATATAAATTAAAAGAAATGAAGATTTATCAAATATATTAAATATAAGCAAACTTTGATAAAAAAGAATATGAATTTCTTTTTTATATTATTCCTTAAAGATTATTACTTTATTGGTTGATATTTTGATAAAAATTTAGTCTTTTTTTCTATATATAGATTGGATTCTATTTTTAGTACTCTTTGTAAATTATTGAAGAAATTACTCTTCGAACATATTCAAGACTTTATTTAGGAAGAATCATATTTTAATAATTAGATAATTGTAAAAATAAATATTATATGAATGTATTCTTCCATTCAAATCAATTATTTGAAAGATCTATCAAATTAACTCTAATTATACTGTTTATATTCTATATTATTTATACATCATATTCCTTTTTCATTCTCTTATACATCCATTAATTTTAATTTTACAATATATATATATTAATTTAATCAAATTGTAATTATATAAATATGAAATTTGATATTTTATTTGTTATTATTAATTCATAATACAATCTTCTTAACTTCAAAATATCAGTTTTGTATATAATAAATTCATAGTAATGAGTATAATTATTTTATACTTTAAAATTTTATTCCATAAAATAAAATTTCGAAGAATTTGAATATCTAAATTTTTCATTATCATTTTCATTTCAATTTATATTTTCAATTGTAATTAATAAATCCAAATGATATATAAATTATTCTGAAAATAAAATTCTTAAATCTTTCGAAATATTTATGTTTAATTAAATTTACTTTTGCGTAATACTCAATTTTGTTAAAATAATCCAGAGTAATTGAAATCTATTCAATTTTATTGTTAAAAGACCACTTAATTATTAAGATATTCAATTTGATAATTTAATAAACAAGATACTTAATTTGTATAAATTGTAGATTTTGACTTATAATAATATCTTTACTATATGATTTTCTTATCTAATATGAATAGATATTAGAATTATTCTTTTCTGAAATTTCATTTACTTTTAGATATAAATAAAACATTATAATTAACTTATTGTTTTTTTCATATACAAGATAATAGTAATTCTACTATATCAGATAATCTATTATAATGTAAATTTTTTAATACTGATATTATTCTACTAATTAATTTATGTTATTAATTTTAATATTTGGTGCCTTCATTGACGCAAGCAAAGGTTTGATTTATTCTAAAGATTAAACAAGTATTTTCTGAATAAAATTAGATTTCTTTAAAAATCTTCTACCTTCAGTTAATTATTATATCGAAACAGGATATGTAAGTGTTGGCGATTTAACAATATCAGATAATAGATTATTTTATTCGCTTTACTTAAAAGAGAACATATTGAAAAAGACAGATATCAAAGCAGATGATGAATTTATCCTTTGGATCTATGGTGGTCCAGGTTGTTCATCATAGGATAGTAATTATAATGAAAATGGGCCTATCAGAGTAGATGACGATTAAAAGTTGCATGCAAGAGTATTAATTGTAAAATAGAAATAAGGAGACATCTTGGAATAAGTAGGCACATTTAATGTACATTGATTAACCATTTTATACAGGAATGAGTTATTCGACTAAAGAGGGATTAATAGATAACAGTTGGGATGCAGCAGATTATGTAATTGAATTATTGACTTAATATTTTGAATAAAATAAAGAATTAGCTAAAGCAAGATTACATATTTGGGGAGAAAGTTATGGTGGACATTATATACCTGTATTAGCAGAGAAAATAAAAAAATAAACTAATTTTAATTTAATTGGAATAGGAATTGGAGGAGCATGGTCTCATCCAAGAGTATAAGTAATACCAACAGTTAGATAATTAATAAATTATGGAGTCATTGATCAATATAGATATGATTTAATGATGAAATCTGGAATTGAATCATTAGATGACATAGATAATTAAGAATATGAGAAATTCTTAACTGTAAGTGATGAGGAAATATTTTTTAATGATGCTGTTGGACCCAATTTTAGATATAATATTCAAATATATAACTATGATGATGGAGATTAATATGAAGAATTTATAAACGATCATAAATTATAATTTGATCTTCCATTGAGTATTACCTTTTATGGATGCAATCAAGATATTTATTATGCTTTTGCAGAAGATTAAACTGTTTCAGTTCTTCCTTCAATTGATTATTTACTTTCATAAGAAATTAAAGTTTTCGTTTATAATGGTTAATTGGATACTGTAGTATCTCATACTGGAGTAGAATATTGGGTTAATTTATTAAAATGGTAGGATTTGCCAATTTGGAAAAAATAAAAAAAATCAATTTGGAAATTCATTAATCCAAAAACCAACAGAGAAGAGACTGCTGGCACTATCAAATCTTATAAATAACTACATTTTTGTATGGTTTACAATGCTGGACACTAGACACCCACTGATTAGCCAGAAGCATGTTTCTAAATGTTAAAGAACTATTTTGATATTTGATAGTTCAAGATTATTAATATTGTTGTTTTCATTTTTAGTAAATGAGAATCCAAAAAATATAAATTAATATATATATATTCATCATCACATTTTATTAAAGAATCCTAATTTATTTAATAAATTTGTATGATAAATCAGTGCAGTAAGAAATCTTTCTTCTCTTACTTTTAAATGAAATGGGAACCTTTAACTCATAGATCNCATTGATTAACCATTTTATACAGGAATGAGTTATTCGACTAAAGAGGGATTAATAGATAACAGTTGGGATGCAGCAGATTATGTAATTGAATTATTGACTTAATATTTTGAATAAAATAAAGAATTAGCTAAAGCAAGATTACATATTTGGGGAGAAAGTTATGGTGGACATTATATACCTGTATTAGCAGAGAAAATAAAAAAATAAACTAATTTTAATTTAATTGGAATAGGAATTGGAGGAGCATGGTCTCATCCAAGAGTATAAGTAATACCAACAGTTAGATAATTAATAAATTATGGAGTCATTGATCAATATAGATATGATTTAATGATGAAATCTGGAATTGAATCATTAGATGACATAGATAATTAAGAATATGAGAAATTCTTAACTGTAAGTGATGAGGAAATATTTTTTAATGATGCTGTTGGACCCAATTTTAGATATAATATTCAAATATATAACTATGATGATGGAGATTAATATGAAGAATTTATAAACGATCATAAATTATAATTTGATCTTCCATTGAGTATTACCTTTTATGGATGCAATCAAGATATTTATTATGCTTTTGCAGAAGATTAAACTGTTTCAGTTCTTCCTTCAATTGATTATTTACTTTCATAAGAAATTAAAGTTTTCGTTTATAATGGTTAATTGGATACTGTAGTATCTCATACTGGAGTAGAATATTGGGTTAATTTATTAAAATGGTAGGATTTGCCAATTTGGAAAAAATAAAAAAAATCAATTTGGAAATTCATTAATCCAAAAACCAACAGAGAAGAGACTGCTGGCACTATCAAATCTTATAAATAACTACATTTTTGTATGGTTTACAATGCTGGACACTAGACACCCACTGATTAGCCAGAAGCATGTTTCTAAATGTTAAAGAACTATTTTGATATTTGATAGTTCAAGATTATTAATATTGTTGTTTTCATTTTTAGTAAATGAGAATCCAAAAAATATAAATTAATATATATATATTCATCATCACATTTTATTAAAGAATCCTAATTTATTTAATAAATTTGTATGATAAATCAGTGCAGTAAGAAATCTTTCTTCTCTTACTTTTAAATGAAATGGGAACCTTTAACTCATAGATCCTTTGATCTTTAAGATGTATTCCAAATTAGTATGAATTCAAAAGGAAAATACCAAAAAGCACATCTTAAATTATCTAAATAATTTCTATGTTTAAATGATGTAAAATATACAGATTATAAAAAACTAGAAAGAACAACTGGATGTTTCAAACTACATGATTACAAAAATAGACAATAAAATTTTGGGATAAGGTATCAGGATATAATCTTTTGAATTTTCAATAGAGTTTTATGGTTCAATAGAGAAGTGGTTTGAACAATTGAGTCTCTATTGTATTTAAACTAATTTTACACAAAAATACTAAGTTCAAAAATTAGTAGGAGCTGGAACTTATGGCAAAGTATGTTTGACTGAATATTTTGTAGGTCTATCGTGTAAAAAATAAAGTTAATCAAAATATATATGCTGTAAAGACTTTTGAAAAACAACTATTAAATACTCTTGATGATTAAGAAGGCTTGATTAAAGAAATTGGAATTTTGAGAACCTTAGATCATAGAGGTGTCATAAAACTTCATGAAGTTTATGAAAGTGAATAATTCGTTTTTTTGGTTTTTGAATTCCTATAGAATAAAAATCTAAATGACACATTAGAAAGAGGAGTTACTATCCCAGAGTCTCAAGCTTTTAATATCATAAATGATCTACTTGAGACAGTATAATATATTCATGAGTAAGGTATTTTACATAGAGATTTAAAACCTGATAATATATTATTGAAAAATGAAACATAAAAATATGTTATTATAGATTTTGGATTAGCAGATATTTATAGAGAAGATGGTCAATACTTATTTAAAAAATGTGGAACTCCAGGATATTGTGCACCAGAAATCTTATGCAATTAAATTTATGATTAGAAGGTAGATGTCTTTAGTCTTGGAGTAATCCTGTATTAAATGTTGACAGGATTAAATCCCTTCTATTCAAAAAATTATGATGATAGATATAAACTTAATAAAGAGTCTAAACTTGATTACAGCAAAGTAAAAGTATCATATGATGCTCTTGATCTTCTTTAAGGGATGTTGAATCGAAATCCATAGAAGCGATTGAGTGCAAAGGAAGCATTAAATCATCGTTATTTCTAATAACAAAAGAAACATCATCATGTTCCTTCACTTTCACATCTCTCAGATACTCTTTTAAATACTGGAAGTTAGATTTCATCACCTCGACTTGATGGCAATTTCAATTTTTTTGAAATCGGTGAATCCTCTAGTCGTTATACAAGTCCTTTACTTTCTCCAAAATTAAGTCCAAGATTTGATGAATTAGATAAAGAAATTTTGAATCATTAAAACACTTACAGTTGTCATATATCTAATTTAAAATTGGGAGGATAAAAAATAAATTATGATGAAACTTTAGAGAAACTGATTTAGAAGTATTAAAAGACTTGATTTTAATTTAATTTACATCCATTTGGATATAAAGTCTTATGTTAACTTATAATTATATTATTATTAAGATTATCAATTTTTATGAAATAAGATTATGATCGTATTGATAAGGACACTTTAAGAAGAGATCATTAACTAAATGGGTTATTATCCAAGATTCGAGATAGTGTGATGAAAGGTTAGATTGTAGAAGTTAAAACAAGAGCGAACTCATAATATTAAGTAAAAATATTGATCAAATTAGTTAGAAAATAATTCAAAGTAGAGTTCTGGGGTTTCATCAATGAGTAATTCTTTAATTAAAAATCACAAATCAAATTAAAATGAGATTATAAGAGATTTAGATGAAATCATTATATCATCTGAACGTGATAATCAATAAATAATTCGATTGACTAATTCATTTTGTTAATCCCCTCCTAAAGTGAAATGTGAAATTGTAAAACCTGTTGTCTTAGATCATCATTTATCATCTGAAATAACATTTGAATCATTTCCAAGTAAACTAGATATAAATAATACTCTCTATACGGTTGATAAATAATTAGATGATATCGAAACTAATTAAGACACTGGAAATTGTGTTGAGTTCATTAAAATACTAAAAAAAATAACTGAAGATTTATAAGAATATATGAAAAAAAACATAGATTCAAAAAAATTATAAATAGCTAATGGAATTCAAATGGTAAGGACGTTATGCTTATTAACACGATTTTATAAATAAATAGCAGATTTTCCACATGCAATAAGATCATTAAAAAAAATAAAAAGAATGTTTAAAATTTCTGATCCTAATTTAATAGGAAAAATATAAATCGAATTAGGGAAATTATATTTTCTAAATTAATCCTATGTCATTGCTTAAAAGATTTTTTATGAAGCTCTCTTACATTATGAAAAGTTGCAATGGAAATCAGAAATTTCATATATTTTATTATGGATTGCTAAATTAAATTCATGGACAAGTATAAAATTAAATATAAATTAGAAAATTTTGAAATTGCTAAAAAGTTGATTTATGGGGCTATTTCAATTTTAAAGGAATATCTTGAAGATGATGAAGAATAAATAGCTGAAGCTTATGTTATTTTAGGAGAATGCGATTACATAGCCAAAAATTATGAATAAGCATTATAATTTCTAATGAAAGCAATTTAAATAAAGTTTAATAAGTATTAAACCTACAATCACATAAAATTTGTAGAGGTTTACAATTTAGTAGGATTGACTTATAGGTTGGTTCCTGATATTTAATAATCTCTTAAATATTTCTTATAAGCTTTATAATGTTTTTAGTACTACTATTTTTTAACCTAGATATAATTGTGTATAGAGAGCTTAAATTCTTAATAATATTGCTGTGATTTATTAATCATTAGGCAATATAGAAAGAGCTTAGAAATGCCATGTAAAAGCAAAAGAAATCTATAATACATTTTTACCAAATTAACATTATTAAATGGAGAGATTACTCTTAAATTAAACATGTCTTTCTCCTTAATAATGAATTAGTTAACTATATCTTCTATTTAATTTATTAAAAATCTTTAATACACATTTTAAATAATCTTAAATGAAATATTAAATTCAGAAGCATTTTCTGTGTACATAACCAGTACCATAATCTTGATACTCATTTTTAGTAATAAACATGGGTTGGAATTAACTTAAGGAAGCCAAAATACTTCCACCCATCCAAACTGAGTATTTTCTTTCAGGAGGTTCCTATACATAGATCTTCATTGTTGAAGGAGCTAATGCAATGACTTCTTTTTATAACCTATCCTTCATTCCTTTAAACATAGTGCTACCTCCAGCTAAAACTATATTACCATATAGATCCTTATAATAAAAGAAAATAAATTACTTTTTTAATATCAACATCACATTTCATGATAGATTAAAAGGTAAGTTCATGGATTCCTTAAAATTCTTTACTTAATTTAATTGGCTAAAATAATGCTTCAGGACATTTGAATAATTGACTTCCTAAAGTGATATCATTTCCATCTGGCATTCTATGGACTATTTCTTTTCCAGAATCCTAATAGATTTTCATTTCAGCCTCAAAATCTCCAACAATATAACACTTCAATATACATATTGTATTACTTTTTTTTCTTTAGTATCTTTAGCATTTTCTCTTTCAGTTTCCTTTTGATTTGAAAATTCCTTGCCTTATTCTGCCATCAACTTTATTAAGTAATCAGTTAAATCTCTACCAGCTAGATGAATTTTCATCACTGCATGTGATAATGCAAAGCCTTCATAAATTGGAACTGTTTATGTAACAGCATCTCCAGAATCCACAACTAATCCAGTTGTTTTACCAGATGCACATAATGCTAAAACCTACTGAATTGCCAAGTAAAATGATGGAACATTGAACTTTTCAAACATTATTTCTATCATTTTTTCTCTGTTAAAGGCTGGATTGAGAGGTGGTTCTGACATTAAAACAGGATGATCTTGAGGTGCAACTCTCAATTCTAAATTTAAATAAATTTAGAAACCATTATAATAAGCATGATGCCAAATCTTTTCCATATCATCCCAACGAGTAATAATTCCATGATCAATAGGGTAAGTTACATTCAATACTCTAAAGTATAGTAATATTTTAAATACTCTAATTTAGAATTAACCTCATCTCCAATATAGGTGTCCTTTTGATCCATACCAACCATTTGACCAGGTTGCTTAGGTCTGATAAAATATATTAGGATTCAAGCATTACTTTCCTAAAACAGTTTGAATAGTAGCTCTTGGAGCATCATCTCCTGAGATACCTGCCTTAATGTATCCAGATCCATTGTCTATAACCACAACTGGAATTACGTCGTCCATTTTAATTAATAATATTTATAGATGTGGATAATGGGGATTTGTTTATATAATTAAATTTAAATATGAAGCTAAAGAGGTTTCTCTTGAGATATTATCCTCCTGGCATAATTTTAGAGTACATTCGAAGCAATGGAGAATAGGAAACAAAGTCTATAGATTTGTTAAATCTAAGCAATGAGTAATAATTTCAATTTATCAATAGTACGGATGTAGATCAATTAGTTGATGAAATTGTGATGGAAGAACCAATCATTTCAGAAAATAGAAAGCCATAACTAGCAGCATTGATTCGCAGTATTAACACATTTAATTTAGAACTTATTGAAAAGATCGAATCAAAAAAGGAACAATCATTTGAGTTATTCAAGACCCTCAAGGCTCATATGTTGCCTCTAACAAATTGTGCATTCAATAAGAACGGGGACAAGTATTGATTCCACTATGTAGATTCATCACAGGTAGTTATGATAGAACTTGTAAAGTATGGGACACTTTCACAGGAGAATAAATAGTCTCCTTGGAAGGTCATAAGAACGTAGTATATTGCATTGCATTCAACAATCCTTTTGGGTATTCTAAAATCATTATTCCCTTAGAGATCGCGTAGTCACAGGCTCTTTTGATAAAACTGCTAAAATATGGGATGTCAATTCAGGAAAGTGTCTTTAAACACTTGTGGGTCATCAATATGAAATAGTTTGTATTTCTTTTGATCCACATTCCTTACTTGTGGCAACAGGATCAATGGATAAAACTGCAAGATTATGGGATGTTGAAACAGGAAAATAAATAGCTAGATTGGATGGACATGAAGGTGAAATAGTTAGTTTACATTTCAATTCAGATGGTGATAAATTACTGACAGGTTCATTTGATAAAACTGCTATGGTAAAATGTATTCTTTATATATTAGATTTGGGATGTGAGATCTGGAGAATGTATCCACATTTTAGATGAGCATACAGGTGAAATTTCTAGTACTTAGTTTGAATTTACAGGAGATTATTGTGCTACTGGTTCTATAGATAAGTAATTATAATAATAGAATTTTTTAGAACTTGTAAAATTTGGGATATTAAAACTGGAAAATGTATTGAAACACTTAGGGGACATAAAGATGAAGTTCAAGATATCTGCTTTAATTCTACAGGTTTCTTTTTTCATCTATCATCTCCAAGGAACTAGATTAGTCACAGTCTCAGCTGATGCAACTGGAAGACTTTATAATGTCCATTCTGGAGAATGCATAGCCCAACTCTTAGGACATAAAGGAGAAATCTCTAAAGTTGCTTTTAATCCATCAGGAAATAAAATTATTACAGCTAGTGCAGATAATACAGCAAGAATTTTGTAATTTTAACCTTTAACTTTTTCAGTTCAGAAACAGGAGAATGTCTATAAGTATTGGAAGGTCATACTGATGAAATATTTAGTTGTGCATTCAATTATGAAGGAGATATAATCATCACAGGATCTAAAGATAATACATGCAAAATTTGGAAAGAAGTTAATCTTTAGGTTAAAAAATGACTATTTCCATATATATATATCTATATATATTCATTAAACCATCTATGAATGCGATGATATAATTTAAATATCGCATTTTTCTTATTTATTATATTAAATAATAATTGATTTAGTTTAATATCTTAACTAAATTCTCTTTATCTAGAATTGAAGAATAAATATTAAATTTTTATTTTGATATTAAAATAACTATTATTTATAAACTAATTAAGATATTTATTGAATTCAATCACACAATAAAAAGAGTTTGTTAAAAAAATTACTATTCTAATCACTTGTTCATGAGAATAATATATTAGTTTTTATAATTTATCATAATATAAAAGTTCTAATAATAAATATATTAACTGTAATCCTAGTTATCTATTAGTTTATTGTAATACTTAAATAATATTTAGTAAAAAATTATGAAATGGTAATAAATATTCATCAGAATGATTAATAATATATAAATCTATATGTTTTCAACTTAATTAGAAAGATAAATATTGAGTCATTTTTAAATTGAAGTTTATAATTAATTAAATTACAAATGGATGACACTATAAAAGAGTCTGCTTACTTACTCAGCATTGCGTATTTACTATTGGGTTTAATTTTTATTTTGCTGGCATTATATAGTATACCATGTCTTTGGAAGGCTTGGAAATGTAGACAATTCTTTCCAAAAATTTTTTATTTATTTATATTAGCAATATGTTGTGACTAAGCAACATACTAGTTGCTATATTTATATGAAGTATTTTAGAACTTATTTCAAAGGTCATCACAGCCATAAAGCAAGAAAAAGATGAGAACTCATAAATAGAATCATTCCGCATAATTTTCTTTCAAACAATTTATGTTCCAGATGCCATCTTTTTTGTTATTTATTTTTCATTATTTTGGCAGTTCTTGATAATGATGCATCATGGTAGGATTAAAACTGGGAGTATTTTAGTTGGTATAACATAAATCAAATAAATCAGGTAAAAGGAACTGGAATCCAGAGTAAGCCAATTCAAAAGTTCGTTTAATATTATACCTCTATATAATAGGTCAAGCTATTGTAATTTGGTAATTCATGGCCTAGGGATTATCACCTAAAGCTATAATGATATGTGATATAGCTGTAAATGCTTCTGTACCAATAATTGTAATAATAATGGTTTTGTACTTAAATATTAAATTTTCTGGATCACCTTTTGTATCTAATCGATATGAAAAGAGTAACAATAAAATACAATAATTATTATGGATTTGGATATTGTTAAGAATTCCTTAATTGGCAGTTAATGTAGTAGTTGTTATTTATAATGATGATTTAATAGCTTTAATGGGTGGGAAATTAAAAGTAACATTTATTGAATAATTATTTTTGATTTTGTTTATAGTAGGAGATATTATAATAGTTTAAATTATTCCAGTAATGATGGCAATGTCTAATAGTTTTTTGAGTGCATTATTATTAGATCATAATAGAATTAATTAACTATTTAGTGTAGAAACATTTTCAGGTGAAATGAATATTTAAGAATAATAACCATAAGGTTAAATTTCTCTTAAAAATAACCCTAGAGATGATACATTATTTAAAGATTTAAAATTAAATGATTTGATAATTAATGAAAGATAATTCTTTAGAAAATATAATGGATTTGGAGAGATTAAAGTTACTACACTAAAAAGAGATACTAAAAAATATGCAGTCAGAATTATTTAATTTAAAGAATTAAGTTCTTTTTTAATAGATGAAACTAAATAAGAAATTGAATAAATAAATAAAATTAAAAAAGGATATAAGATTCTTTGGTTTGATTTTAATGAATAAAGTATGTATCTTTTATCAAAATATTATCCTAATTCAAATTTAAATGAATTTATTCATAAAAATACAGGTAATGATAGTGCATAAATCAAAGAGATAACAAATAGTTATACAAATAAATAATTATTAATTAGAGTTAATATTGCTACAGATCTCATTAAAGCAATATAGAATTTGCATGATTAAAATGTTATTCATGGACATCTAAATTCAAGTAATGTGTTGTTTAATGATAAATTCAAACTTAAAATTGTTGATTATGGATTAAGAGCAATTAAAAAATATGCTAGTTTAGTTAATGGATATAGTAATAAAAATGGATTTACAGCACCTGAATGTTTAAATGATAAGGGTAGTGTTGTTTCTCAATCAGCCATAAAAGAATCTGATATATATTCATTTGGAATGATACTTTATCAATTATTTACTGAAACTATACCCTTTTATGTATTTATCTCATCTTAATTAGAATATGCCATAAAAAGATTTAATTTAATTAATTAAAGAATAATAATCTAGACCAAAAATTCCAGTATCACTTAATACAAATATAGCAACTTTAATTAGATGTTGTTGGTAATAAGATCCTATTAAAAGACCAAATTATAATTAAATTTTAACAACTTTGAAATAAATATCAGATAATTTAGAATGATAAACCTATTTTTATTAATATTGTTATTATAAACTTTTAGATCAATTTTTATTATAATCATAAAAAGAGATTGAAAAAAGAACACAATTAAAGAAAATTCTGTAGAAAAACATCCTATATTCTATTTTCTATAATATATATAAATATATTCATTCTGATTAAAATTTTAAATTAAAACATAGACATAATTTAAATGAAATTACTTTCTGAATTTGCTTTATTGAATTTAGGAAATTTAATCTGTTGTCTTGGATTATCATTAATAGCTCCATTTTATCCTACATATGCTCAAAAATTTGATGTAACAGGATCCTTATTGGGACTTATTTTTGGAATTAATCCAATAGGAGGAATGTTGTCTTCATTAATTGTTGGAAAAATTCTAAATAATGTAATTAATTTATACATATATAAAGAACAATCAAACTAATCTTTTATCATTAGGAATGCTTATTTAATCCATTGGATTGTTTTGTTATCCACTTTTAACACTTACTACAGATAGAACAATATTTATTACCATTTCATTATTAGGCAGATTTATAAGTGGATTTGTAAATTATTATCTATATATTATAGGGATCTTAAACTTTTTTGACTCCACTTTATGCTGCAATCCCATAAAAATATCCAGAATCAGTTGATTAAAAAATGGCTATTGCAGAATTTTTTTCTTCTTTTGGATTTCTATGTGGACCAGTTATAGGATCTCTTTTATACACTCTTGGAGGATTCTCATTTCCTTTTATACTTTTTGCATCTTGTTCTGTAATCATAGCCATAATATTAAAATTAAACATTGGTAAAAGTGGATAGAAAACAATTGTTTAAAATTCTGAACCTATATTAAATGAGTAATACAATATAAATTATTAATCTGAATCAATACTTCAAAATGAATTAGTTGAAACATCAATTGGTTACACATAATTAATTAAATTATTTCCAGTAATCTCCTCATTACTTATTATGTTGGCTTTATGCATAACTTTTACATTTTATTCACCAATATCATCACTTTATTTTGAAGAGTAATTTAGTGTACCTCCAGAAAATGTAGGTTATTATATGGCAGCAACACCATTAGCATATAGTATAGGAGCTTTGATAATTTCAAGAATATCAATTAATAAACCAAGAGCTATATTTTCTGGGATGATTTTTGTAACAATTTCATAATTTTTCATGGGTCCTGATCCAATAATGAATATTGATCCAAGAGTTTATATTACTGTTAGTGCATAATTTAGTTATGGATTATTTTCAGCTCCTCCTTATATATTGGTTCTACCATATATTACTGAAAAATTGGAATAAAAATTTAAGAAGTCTGATCATGAAAAATGTATATCATTAGCATCTGGTTTATTTAATGCTGTAATTTCAGCAGGAGAATGTTTAGGTCCAATAATTTCAGGTGGAATGGCTGAGTTCTTTACATTTTAGAGAGCATGCAGTTTTTTGGGTTTATATTTAGTTCTCACAACTTTATTATTTTTCCCAAATTTATTAATATCAAAGAAAAAATATCAGAAAGCTTAAGTTAAATCTTATTAAGAAAATTTGTGATACAAGTTATTTTTGTTTATGATTTTTATTATTTCTAATTTTTTAGATAAAAATTTAGACATTATTTTAATTAATATTATTATTATTTTAATAGAATTAATAAATGTCAATTCTTATTAATAGCATTGAATATACAAATGTCTAATCAATTTAAAACGGTTAATTAGGAAATATTTATTTTGCTAAATTAAAAAACGAAGAAGTTGTTATAAAAGAATTATCTCTTAAAGAACAAGAAATAAATATTTTAGAAAATTTGATGTCTAAACCACTTAATAATTTTGTAAAAATTATAGATTGTGATAGAAAATCCTACATTGTTATGGAAAGAGGAGATGGCACCTTAACAGATTTATTATAAAGCTAAGATTTTAAATAATTAAACTTGTTATAAAAAATTAAGTTATTTTAATAAATTGTAAATGGAATTTATGAACTTCATTCTAGAAATATAATTCATAGAGATTTAAAACCTGATAACATCATATATTTTAAATAAAAATAGAAAATAATTTTAAAACTTATTGATACAGGTTAGATGAATTAATTAAATGATAAGGTGTAATTTTTAACAGATATTGTTGGAACAGAAAATTATAGAGCTCCAGAATATTACTTATAAAATATAAAATATAATGAGAAAGTAGATATTTGGGTTCTTGGTCTCATATTTTATCATTTGATTACAGATTAAATTTTAATATAAAAAAGAAGATAAATAAGAGATTAATAATATCTAATTTAAAAAATCGAATCAAATTAAATTTCTAATGAAAATATACAAGAATTACTTTTGAAAATGCTTGAATAATCTTATCATTTAAGATGGTCTGCTAAATAAATTAAATTAGAACTATAGAGGATTATTGAAAATATTGAATTAAAAGAAGAATTATAGAAATTAAGAAAACAATTTGAGGTATTTGAAAACAAATACATAACTATTATGGATACTAATTAATCATTATAAAATTAAATTTAAAATTTAAATCAGAAAATTAGTTAGTTAGATTAGTAATTGCAAGAATCAAATTAGAAATATAATAATCAAATTGAAACTATTAAAAAAAATCAAGCATAAATTTAAATAGGTTAAGAAATTAATACTAATTTTAAGTTTTAAATTAGTTAATTAGAATAGTAATGTGAATAATTAAAAATTGAATAAGATTAATATAAAAATCAAATACTTTTTCTATAAGAAGAAAAAATAAAATATTTAGAGTAAAATTAAATCAACTAAAATTTTAATAATAAAAATAAAATTGATTAATCAATTCAATCTGATTAAATCTCTTTAAAACATAAAAAATTGATATTATTTGGTCTTCCAGGTGCTGGTAAGACATGGATTTTTAGTAAATTATAAGGATCTAACTAAAAATATTAAAATAAAAGTACTAAAGATTTTTTAGAATAATTTATTAATGACCATAATATTACAATTGTTGATTCGCCTGTTTTTTTAGATTAATAAAGCTATGATGAAAGAGAAGTTACTTATAATAATTATAATTCATATTTTTAAAAGAATTAAATTGATGATATTGTCTTAGTAGTTTAATATTAAAGAACTGATTTGATGAAATCATAAATAAAACACTGTCTCAAATATTTTAAAAATATTACAGCTGTAATTGTAACTAAGTTTATTAATTCAGAGATTATTACTTAAGATCAAAAAGAATAACTGATAAATTAATTTTAATTTTGTAATTCAATTATCTATTTTACAAATAAGGATTCTAGTTAAACAGAATTATTAGATATCTTTTATTAAATAAGAATATCCCTAAACTAAAAACAAACAAATTTTAAAGAAATTTTTACAAAATATGTTAATTGATAATAAAAATACATTATATAATCAGTTAAATATAACTAATCTAATTAATATTATAGTATGATAAAGCATTGATTGATTATAGATTCTCAATATTTAAGGTTAAATTTAAATCTTATATACTAAAAAATGATTTAAAATTAATTTATTCGTCCATTTTTAAAAAAATCATTTATATCTAAGATATTTGTATCTGTTTTAAAAGAATTTCAATAATTTTATTAAAATGAAAAAAAAAATAGAATTTAAATTGTGAAACTGTTTTCAATTCTTTGAAAATTTATTAATTGTTTATTTTATAAAAATTATTAAAACGAACTTTATTTTTATTCCATTTAATATTAAACAATTGTCATGAAAGCAGAATTAGAATTTGCATTGTTGAATGCTGGCAACTTGTTTTGTTGTCTAGGTTTCTCACTTATAGCTCCGTTTTATCCAGCTTATGCTAAAGAATTCAATGTCTCTAATACAATTTTAGGCCTGATATTTGGAATGAATCCTATAGGAGGTATGTTGGCTTCGTTGATAGTTGGTAAACTATTAAATAATGTAAATTATTTATCCATATTTAGGGTAACCAAAAGACGTTTTTATATTTAGGTCTCATCATTCAAGCTATAGGCTAATTTTAATTTCCACTACTCTCTTTAGTGCATTAGTAAGAATACTTTCTAACACTATCTTTCTTAGGTAGATTTTTAAGTGGATTTGTATAAATATTGAATATTCTAGGGAGGATGTACATTTTTAACTCCGTTTTATGCTTCCATACCATAAAAATTCCCAGAAACAACAGCTCAAAAAATGGCTATAATTGAATTTTTCTCTTCATTTGGCTATCTAGCAGGAGCAGTTGCTGGCTCAATTCTTTATGAAATAGGTGGATTTTATTTTCCGTTTTTAATATTTGGTTCGGCATCGGTTTTAATTGCATTAATAATTAAATTCAGCTTTTAAGAAAATAATCAGATACTTACTTAAAAATAATAATAAAATGAGAAAGATAATTAGATTGGATACATAACAATTTTAAAAGATTTTTCAGTACTGACATCTTTTAATGTAATATTTTCGATGTGTCTTGCCTATTCATATTTTTAACCGATCTTTGCAATATTCTTTTAAGATTAATTTGATGTTCCACCTGTTGATTCAGGATACTATATGTCATTGGCTCCATTTTCATATTGTTTAGGGGCTTTCTTAATCTCAAGGATTAAGGTTCATAAATAAATAACTATCCTAATTGGTATTGGTGTAGTTGCCATCTCAGAATTTATGATGGGACCAGACCCTCTATTTGGAATTAGGCCATAATTACATTTGACTATGATAGCTTATTTAATATTTGGATTCTTTATTGCTTTACCATATGTGCTAACACTTCCATCTATAATTGAAACTTTAGAATTCCGCTTTGAGAAAAAAGACCATGAGAAATGTATTTGTTTAGCATCTGGATTATTCAATTCAATTCTTTCAATAGGTGAGTTCTTGGGACCTTTCCTTTCTGGATTAATTACAGAATATTTGGAATTTCCAAGATCTTGTAGTATTCTGGGAATATATTTAATCTTAAGTACTGTCTTATACATTCCAAATGTATTCCAAAATAAATATAAAATATAAAGGGTAAAAGTACAGACTTTTGATGAATAATTATGAATAATTTATTATATAATGATCTTTCAAGATTATTCAAAACTATTCTTTATTCAACTCTCCATAATCTAATTAGAACCCTTCTTAATGAAATTCAAATCTAATAAATTTCTCTATTTGTACATAATAAATTTATGATAAAGAAATTATTATTGTATACACAAATTAATAAATAATGAATAAGGGTTGGGAAGTTGATGAAGATTAGTCTTTAGATCACTTTCTATCTCTTACTGAATGTTTAGTTATTAAGAATTAGGTTGTTGATAAACCTACTGTCTCAGCAAAGATTTCTCCCAAATCTAAAATGCGATTTAGAACATCATCGATGCCAAAAGTTGAAGAGTTCATTGAACCTAAAAAAGAAATAGTGTAGCAAATATAGGATATCTAAATAAAACAATAGCCAATCAAAACACAGACAAGACAGCAAATCAAATAGTCAAGGCCTCTGGATTCTCGAATAACTATAAGATCTACATTATTTTAGAATCCAATAGAAAAGGAGCACCCAATCAAAATTGGAAGAACTTTATAACCTAAATTTTTCAATCCATTATTAAGAGAGTAATAACATAAACTTGGTCTATCTCGAAAACTTAAAAGTATGAACAACATCTTTAATGATGAACGTATAACCTACAAGCGTGATTTCAGTTATTTAAAATAATAGAGATCCAATATAGTATATGTAGCTCTCTCGAAATGATTAATATATAATGTACAAAGTTTGATAAATATTGACTCTAAGCTTTATTCATTATAATTAAACTCCATTTAATAATTATCAAAGTAATATATGAAAGTATTTTATGTAAGTAAATTCTATTTTCTATTCTTAGATTAAAATCACAATAATAATGATAAAACTTGTTCTTGAGTTATAATAATATAAATAAATTAGGTTCAATCTAATTTTTATAAATTAATATTAGTAAATAATATATTTAATCTATTTTCAATTGAGAATAAAAATTCATAGAGTAAGATAGTCTATGGTTTTAACATCACTATTCTATTTACCTTACAGATAAATGAAAAATATATGAATATATTTTGAAACAGATAAATTAATTTCAAGAAAATAGAATAATTCGAATAGATATGAAAAATCTATTTAGATTTTTTTAGATAATGAAAGTGGAACATGAATTTAATGTAGAAATATACAAAAAATTAAAAATTTCTCCATTTACTGAATTTGAATCATAAAGGGTAATCCCAGCTGATTTCAAGTTCGTCTCCTTAACCACTCGAATACATTAAGTGGTTATATTCACAAATCAATAAAATAATATACTTATATTAAGAATCAGTCAAAGGAGATAATACATTACCTTATTGAGATATTTAAAAAAAAAGAGCATAAATACATTAAATGATCTTAAAACTATATATATATGTTTGATCAATAATAATAGAGTATGATGAATATTAATTATATTTGTTTAAACTGTCTTATATTTAATGAAAAATTAATAGAACTTAATGTAAAATAAATTTCTTATTAATGGTAATCAATAAATTGAGGCTGATTTGATTATGAAATAATGTTTTTTAATATAAATTTAATAAATAAGTAAAATGCAAGTGCGATCAATAATTGAATTGATGATATATAGTTCATTAAAATATAAATAAAAATAATTATGCCTTAAAACATTTATGATTTACAACTAAAATAATAGGATAGGCTTTTAGCTAAATTCTAAGAATTATTTAGTAAACCTACTCATGTGAATTATATGAGTAAATGGGAGGCTATTTTGGTAGCATTATTTTTTCTTTTGGAAGGTCTTCTGTTTAATAATCTATTAATTCATATTACTTTAGTTACAATATATGTGATTAAGATATTAAAATGTTAGTCAAATCAATCATTATAAGTATTTACAATTAGATGGATGATTGTATGTAAGATTTTGACAAGCAGATCTTTATGGGCATTTAAATAAGAAATAACATAGGAAAATTTGAGAATTGATTTTCTTTTGATTTGTTTTTAAGTAATTGCAACTGTTACAAAATTTAGGATATCTAACAATAAAATAATAGTAATAACAATTATTTTACTTTTTTAAGTAGGTTTATCAATATTTCATAATTAAAAAATTGATGATGTTATTTTAGTTTGTTTAATAGGAGTATTGACAAATATAATATTTATATATCATAGACAATAATTACATCAATAAGAACATGAATAAAAATTAAAGGAATTTGATGGAGAAGCTATGAAATTAAAGAGAGAAACTGAAATGTCATATAAAACTATATTTATAGCTGATTAATAGTAATCACGTTAGGAGGAACTATTAAAAAAGTTAAGATTACTTAAATATGAGAAATTACTTAATAAATCAGAGTAAATCTATTATGAAGAATAAGTTTTATAAAAATAATTAAGTTCTCCATCCCGTATTTTAACATTACGTTAATTACCTGAAGAAGATGATAAAAATTCAATTGAGGAGATAGATGAAACTCCAAGTAAGAGATCACCAATTAGAAAAATATAAAGGATAAATTCAATTAATGATAATTTTTACTATGCTAAAACAGCAGGTCATAGTATAAAATAAGATGAAATTAAAGAGAATGAGAATTTTTTAACATTAGATGAAATAGATGATTTATTGAAGATAGTGAGTGGAAGAAAAGAACATTTATGGTTACCTTAATTTTTAAGAAGTAATAAAAATATTAATTCTGATTAAAAAGAATAATTTTCTCCTGAAGCTAAAAGGTAATTTATTTATTACATTTAAAAATTAGTTTTATTCTTAATCATTTTACAGAATGTGAATTTAATTTTTAATTGTCATCTAATCAAACACATATTTAAGAATAATATCATATACCAAATATGAATGATAATATGATGAAAGATTGTGATAAAAATTTTAATTTTGATTTTTTTGAATTAAATGATCAAAATAAATTTATCAATTATTGTTCTTTTATCTTTTAAAAATATAAGTAAAAATATAATAATAAATAAAAATAGTTTAAATTAAGTATTAAAAATAAAGGATAATTCAATATAAATAGAATTTTGTCATAGAATTGAATAATTTTATATGTAGAATCCATATCATAATTCATTACATGCAATGGATGTAACTAATTCAGCATTATTCTTTTTGGAAAATGGATTACATATAACACAATTTGAATAATGTTGTTTAATAATATCATCTTTATCTCATGATGTTGGTCATCCAGGTTTAAATAATGGATTTTTAGTTGCTTCTCAATCTAAATAAGCTTTAATATGTAAATATTTAAATTCATTATATTATTAGATAATGATTAAAGTGTATTAGAGAGTTATCATGCTTCATTATTATTTCATGTATTAAAAGATGATAAGACAAATATAATTAAAAATTTAAATGATGTAGATTATAAAGGATTTCGAAAATATTGTTTAAATTTAATTTTAGATACAGATCTTCAAAAACATTTTCCATTACTTAATAAATTTAAAAATTTTTTAGCTTTGGGATCTGATAGTCAATAAGATGAATAAAATAAATTATTAGTTTTATCAATAGCAATTAAATGTGCTGGTATTTATATAAAATTAATAAGATGTGGGACATGGAGCTAAATAATTAAATTTACATAAAATTTGGAGTAGAAGAATAATTGAAGAATTCTTTTTATAAGGAGATTTAGAATAATAAGTGGGTATAATAGTGACACCAATGTGTGATAGAAGTTAAAGTGTAACAAAATCTTAAGAAGGATTCCTTAAAGCTATAGTTTGGCCATTATTTGATGCATTCTCGGAATATTTGAAGAAGTAAATTAAAATTTATTTTATTAGTGATAATTTTAAAAAGACTTGTTTAGATTAAATTAATGTAAATATTACCTATTGGTAATAATAATAATAAGAAGAAGAATAATAAAGTGAAAAATAATAAAAATGTTCATTCTTCATTGATACAAATTATATTCATCTACCATAATAAAATACCAATACTATGATAAATTTGAATTGGTGATTTTATTTGTGTTTTTTTATCATATATATATTATTATTATATACAATTTTTAATTAAAGAGTCAAACAATTTAATAGATTAAATTTATACTTAATCATTCTTCATCGAAATCATTATCAACATCATCTGGTACATTTTCTGGAATTTTAGGCAAAGGATGTTCTTCATCATATTTAAGTTCCCATTCTTCTCTATTTGGTGGTTCTTAATCTTCTTATTATTAAATAGAATTCTTGTATTCTTCAAATTTTTATTCTTTTTCCTAAATAAATTGATACAATAAATTACTTCTTTGATTTTAGCTACTTATTCAGTAGTTTCTTATATTAATTTTCTAAGATTAGCAATCTTTTCTCTTCTTATTTCTATATCTAAAACTCTTAATTTTATAATATATTGCATCCATTTCAATATTTTAGCATAACAAACATTATATTCTTCAACTTATTCAACAATGTATTTACTAATTCTTTTTTAAATTCTATTCAATTTAGCATATTTTGGTACTTCTTCATTTTTAGCTCCTCTATATTCATAATCAATTATTTTTTATATTAAATCTTCACAAATATAATGTTTAACTCCAGTCCAATCTAATTGATTAGTTCCTTTCTCTAATAAATTCTCTTTATTATAATTTAAAAACAACATCAAAGCCAATAATAAACCAGGATATTTAAGAACTCTTACTTACTTTAAAGAAAATAATTCTTATTGCAATTATTAAATTTATTGAGCAACAGTACTTGCCCTTATTGAAATTAATGCAAATTAAAATTCTTTTTCTTTATCCTTTAAATCATCATACTAAGATTATTAAGAATCTACAGCTTATTCTTCTTAAATTGTTAATGCTTCTGATCTTTCTTTTACTCCTTATTCTTAATAAGCAATCATATGATCTATATCTTCTGATAATAATTTGCATTCCATTTAATTCCAACTTTATGCAAATAAATTCACATAATCTTCAAAATATTATCTATCTTTCTCATTAATTCCAACATCTTTACCCAAAGTATCAAAACATACAACAAATTATCGTTTTTATGATTAAAATGGTGCTTCACTTTCATCTTACCAATTTGCTAAATATTAATCTAATTCTTCTTAAATAGAAGTTGGATCTTATTCTGTCTCTGTTGCTTCTTTTATTCTAGCATTAAATTCATTAATTTTATTTTCTTTCTCTAATTTCTTTTCAACATCAGCTTTTTTGAATCTCAATCTCTCCTCTATTCCAGCATCTAATGAACCTGGAAACAAACATGATTAATATATAAGTGGAATTGCTAAAAATGCTCCCAACTTTTTCCATTTAAAATATAATAATTTCTATTCTTTAGTCACATCTGGTATATAAATTATAGGTGATTAAGGTTATTATCCTTCTTCAGGAGGTGGAATCTCTTTGAATACTTCTCCAGTTACTCCTACTTCATTTAATGGGAGTGTTTAACCAATCATAAAATTATGATCATCATTTGCTCCTATATATTTTATCAATTTTGGTTATTCTGTATCAAGATGAGCATTTTCATCATCATCATTTTCATTTATTTATTTACTTGGAAAATCAACATATCCTACATATACACCTGTAAGACCCTTCTTTTAAAGATGATTACAAAAATCTTTAACCAATAATTTTTAATGGAATTCATGAGTTTTAATTATATTTTGAAATTCCATTTCCTTAAGATTTTCCTCATCTTGTAACTGTTTCTCTTTACGATCTTTCTCTTCTTAAGCTTCCTATTCCTTCTTCTATTGCTCTCTGAATTATTTCTATTAATTACATTAAAGCCTCTTTATGACTCATATGATCTTGCATTGAACCTCTATTTGCTTCTGTCTTATTATGATTTAACAACCATTTTGCTAAATATTCAATAGGAAATTATGGTTTCACTCGATACAACTCAGCCAAACCTTTTGTAATAACTTTCCCTATCTTCTCTGACTTTAAATAAGCCATATCTATTTTATCTGTTTCAGGTATCAAGTTCATTAAATAATATAATAATAATTCAAACAAAACATCCATAAATCCATTTCCCTTGTAATATTACTTTCTCTTCTTAAGACAATATCCCAACACCATGAAATGCATCTTATGCAAATCCTCCAACAAACTTAAACTCTTCTCCCTCACAATTAAATATCATAACTCCTTAACCATGAAACTATCCATTTCTGAATTCTCCTTCATAAGAAGTAAATTAATGCTAAACTAATTTAAACTACTTAAAGTTTAATAATTTAAATTCATCTTCTTAATAATCTTAATTCACAAATCGTCCTCTCCCTTAAAATTGATCATTTTACCATTAACCTTAATAAACAATATTCTAATTAAAGTCTTTCAAAGTTCCATTGCCTTATCTCATTCCATTAATCCAATCACCTTCATAAACAAATCCATTCTCATATACTTTTCTACCTCTTCCATTCTAAACATCATCTCTAATAGTGATATTAGATTTCTTGAATTTCCCAACAGATGAAGTTTTAATAGATGATCTATGATGATCAACCATTTTATCTTACAATCTTGAACTATTAATTGGAGAATGAGTAGTATGAATTGTGTGTTTAACCGAATTTACATATGATTGTAAAGTATGTTAACTAATACAATTTGATTACTTATTTGATCTTGTTGGTCCACTCAAATAATATGAAAATGATTCTACTGAATCTGTTTCTGTCTTTTTAAGTTGAGATCTTAATTAATCATTCTTATCCATTATATGTGCAATCTTTTTTTCTAAAAAACTCAATTTACTTATAGTTTCATCAAGCATATCATCTTATTTGCTCTTCTTTCTCTTAAAATATGTTATTTATGAAGTTGGTGATTTAGGCATTGTAGATTGAGGTAAATAATTCACAACAGCTATTTTATTATTGATGCTTCTAAATGGACTTTATGATGTGCTTGGTGAATGAACTCGCAATAAACGAGTAGTCTATAACCTACTAGGTGTTTTACTATTGAAATCTAATTAATTTGGTCTTCTATTTTCTTTCTAAAAATGGTTCATCTATCAGTTAATTTTATATTATAAAATATTATTATATAATAAATGTAAATTATATATTCTGAATGTTAATCCTTTATTTTATCATTATATTTATATAGATAATAATCTATTTAAATATAGATTATCCATTTTTTAAACTTAATTGACTAATTCTTAGTTAAATTCTTTAATTAATCATTTATGCATTGATTTTTCATCTAAACAAATTAAATAAATATATTACATAAATGGTTTATATAGATACTATTAAGTAAATTATCAAAAATGTAAAGATCTATATAGTATCTTCAAATAAATTATTTAATTAGTACTTAATTTATGACATTATAGCATTTTTACTTGTATATTAGACAAATTAATCTACTTGAAATATGTTTATTATCACAATTATAAATCAATTTTAAAGATAAGCAAATATAATAAAAAATGATGATCAGTTTTGTATTTACATTATAGAAAATCTTTAAATATTAAGTTTAATCATCTACTTATAAAATATTAGATCATATTCTAAATCATTACTCTTTATTACAAATTCTAAATTCCACTAAATATTAATAGTAGGATTCTGCATAGAGTAGGATTTATAATTGGAAGTTAAATTATAAGTTTATGAACAGTATTTAAAATTATTAATAAGAATATAGATAATTAATAAGTATGTATATCTGAGATAGAGTATATGATTATTATGTAATTAAGTGAGAATAATGGATTTGTTGAAGTGATTGATAAAATTGATGCAGAGTAATTTAAATCATACATCCTAATTTTATATTATTATAATAAAAATATGGGGAACTGTCAAAATTGTTTGAATAATGAACAAGAGCAGATTGAGATAGTTGTTAACAATCCTACAGTGGAAGATATGTGTTCAATGCAAGAGCAATCTCCATTGTTAGTGTTAGATGTAAGGACATGNGATTTAGGCATTGTAGATTGAGGTAAATAATTCACAACAGCTATTTTATTATTGATGCTTCTAAATGGACTTTATGATGTGCTTGGTGAATGAACTCGCAATAAACGAGTAGTCTATAACCTACTAGGTGTTTTACTATTGAAATCTAATTAATTTGGTCTTCTATTTTCTTTCTAAAAATGGTTCATCTATCAGTTAATTTTATATTATAAAATATTATTATATAATAAATGTAAATTATATATTCTGAATGTTAATCCTTTATTTTATCATTATATTTATATAGATAATAATCTATTTAAATATAGATTATCCATTTTTTAAACTTAATTGACTAATTCTTAGTTAAATTCTTTAATTAATCATTTATGCATTGATTTTTCATCTAAACAAATTAAATAAATATATTACATAAATGGTTTATATAGATACTATTAAGTAAATTATCAAAAATGTAAAGATCTATATAGTATCTTCAAATAAATTATTTAATTAGTACTTAATTTATGACATTATAGCATTTTTACTTGTATATTAGACAAATTAATCTACTTGAAATATGTTTATTATCACAATTATAAATCAATTTTAAAGATAAGCAAATATAATAAAAAATGATGATCAGTTTTGTATTTACATTATAGAAAATCTTTAAATATTAAGTTTAATCATCTACTTATAAAATATTAGATCATATTCTAAATCATTACTCTTTATTACAAATTCTAAATTCCACTAAATATTAATAGTAGGATTCTGCATAGAGTAGGATTTATAATTGGAAGTTAAATTATAAGTTTATGAACAGTATTTAAAATTATTAATAAGAATATAGATAATTAATAAGTATGTATATCTGAGATAGAGTATATGATTATTATGTAATTAAGTGAGAATAATGGATTTGTTGAAGTGATTGATAAAATTGATGCAGAGTAATTTAAATCATACATCCTAATTTTATATTATTATAATAAAAATATGGGGAACTGTCAAAATTGTTTGAATAATGAACAAGAGCAGATTGAGATAGTTGTTAACAATCCTACAGTGGAAGATATGTGTTCAATGCAAGAGCAATCTCCATTGTTAGTGTTAGATGTAAGGACATGGCAAAAGGAGTCTTATAGTCTTTATGACTATGAAAATAGTTCGTTTATACATTGCCAATAAATATCTATAAATGGAAATAGCTATTTGACTTGTAAAGCAAACAAGGTTTTGTATAATGAAGGGTCTTATGCTAATAATAAGTATAAATGGGGATGATTATTATTATCATAGTGAGAACAATGATGAGGCCCTCTTGTTGCCTTTAGAATTTGATAATGAAAGGTTTTAATTACTGAATTTACGCTTCAATAGACGTATTTAAAGTAAGGAGTTGATTGATGAATACTAAAAGGAGGTAAATTATCAATTATTATTATTCTACAGGATGGCGATAAACTCTTATCAGAAAATTAGACTGTCCATGCTGATTTTTAAATGAGTTTTAATATCTAAAAATTACGTACTAATACAAATAGATAAATGGTATGTGAAATGAATAAAGGTTGTAAAATTTGGTTAGTCACCAGATCTATATAAAATAATAGTCCTAATGAAGGAATAATATTAAAAGTAGGAGATGTGATCAAATTAGGAAGAGTTAAATTAATAATTAAAGCTATTTAACTATAAAATGATTAAATATAAGATACTCCTGATGACATTTCTATGTGTTCAGTAGAAGATAAAAATGAGGATACTAAATAATGTCGTATATGTTTATCTACAGGTGAAACACTCACAAATCCACTTATTGATCCATGCAAATGTTGCGGAGGTACAAAGTATATTCATATAAAATGTTTATTAAAATGGTATTGTATTTTAAATTACTTTTAAGGATATAATAAAGTTCTCATTTCAATAGTAATGCATATTGTACTAGATTAATTTGGAAATCATTAGAATGTGAAATTTGTAAATATTAATTTCCTCCAATATTTGAAAGAGATGGTAGAACTTTCAATCTTATTGAATTAAGTAAACCAAAATAACCATATGTTATGATGGAATTTCAATAAAAGAAACAACATGATAATACTTAAAATAATGATAGAAATGGTGTTTATATAATTAATTTTGGTACTAAGAAAGAACTGAGAATTGGTAGAAATCATGAAGTTGAAATTAGTATTGCTGATATTAGTGTTAGTCGTGAACATGCACATCTAAGATTTGTTGGTGATAAGATTATTTTATCTGATAAGAAATCTAAATTTGGAACTCTAGTTTTATTATAAAAGAATATAACTCTATAACCTTAATTATCTGGTTTAGAGATACAAATTAAAAGAACATTAATAAAAATTAATAATAACTAAAATACTCATTCAATTTAATAATAGGCAGACTTTGAATAACTTTTAGGAAGAATCGATTGACTAAATATTATTATTTCATTTTATTAGAATATTCTTTTATTATATTAAATGATTTTAAATTTTTTATTTGTTATTTCAAATATTAAGAAATAATAATAAATAATAAGATTTCTTTAAAATTTATTATAATATTAATTATAAATAGTTACAAATAATCAAACATCGATTGATTTTTTAAATTAATCTTTATTTTTTAAAAAATATTCAATCCTAAAATTTAAATCAGTATATTACGTTTAATTGCAAATTGGACATCTTACTAATTTTGTATTTATTCTAATCCAATCTTCGAAACATTCTAAATGAAATGTATGTCCACAGAATATCTAAATGATTTCCTATTTTATTTCATATTTCTCAATACAAAAAGGACATTTATCTTCATCATAATTTAGAATCTGTTTAGAAAAGTATTACTTTATAAGTATCTTTTCTTTAATCATATTCTCCATCATATTGGAGAGACTGTCATTATCCAAACTTTGTTTACTATCCTATAGAGTAAGTGAGATCAAATAATTCATTCTCTTATTTGCTATATAAATAATTATTCCAAATAGAATTATGGCTCCCAATAATAAACATGTTAATTTTTATATTTTAAAATCTTGTCTATCCATATAAGGATCTTATTATTAAAATGTGACTGTCAGATCATTTACTACTATATCTTCCAATATAACAATTGTAATTCTAAAATAATAACCTTTAAATATAAAATCAGATTTGTAATCACTTATCATAATTTAATCACATAATTATTATGTATCATTCCCTAAACAAATGCTTTATTAAATGAAATTTTTATTTGTTAATTTATCTAATTATAAATTAAAAAGTAAACTAAATTATTAATATATGTTAGCATCATAAAACCATGTAAATATTGATCCTTTTGAAACATTTCCATAGTATGTTGAATTAAATTCAATTTCCTAACCACAATTCATTATTTTATTATTAAACCATTTTGAACTTTCTCTAATTTAATTAAAACTCAAACTATATTAATTCTATTATATTTAACATTCTTCTTCAATCCATTCACAACCAATTTATTTCATACAAACATAACAACTATTAAATTTATTGCAACCATTTATAAATTGATTATAAAAAGATTCAATAATACATTCAGATTTATATGGAATTAAAGAAATATTCAAAGATTCATATATTAAATCACAGGGCATTTAACAATCTTATTTTTATTGAACATAATTTATTTATTATTAAGATTCTATTTCATATCTTTATTAATATTGAATTGATTATAAATTCATCTTAGGTAATTCTTCAATATTAAATTAACATTATTAAAATTAATCCATCCTTAAATAATCAATCTTGACATTTATTGTTTCAAATTGATCATATATCAACATCAATTAAATTTAATCTATATGAAATGCTATATTAGAATATGGTAGATCATATTATTAAATCAATCTTACCGATTTTTAATAAAATTAGTATTTATTTTCTTCAATAATGAATAATTTAATTCCATTGATATTTTGTTACAATATATAATTTGAATCTATTCCATCAAAATTTGTTAACATTTATAGTGGTTGTGAATCAAATCGATATATTTCTTAAATTTCATATAAAATCTCCCCAATACTATATAGTACTTAGAATTGCTCATATGTAATAATGATATAACCTGATTTCCATATATTCCAATTTGAAGGCACATTATTTTCAGATAAAGAGTATATATAAACATCTCTAAATTGCTTATCAAATAAAGAGTATTCAATCAATTTGATTTGATTTTACTTCAACACGATTAGCAATATGGAATTCCTTATTTTATTGTAATATTGTGAAAAACCAATGATACTTGCATTATCGTTTGAATTGAATTTATATGAAATGCTGTAAAACTAATTCACATTCCCAGGATATATTGGAAGCATTTCTATTATGTAATTTTGCTTGTCTATTCTTTTCAATAGTGAAATCATCATATAAATAGAATCTATCTATGTAAGTTCATAAAACATTAGATTATGTTCCTATTTAATCTAATTAGAGTATTCAGGATATAAAATCCTTTTAATTGATAAGGTTTTATAATCACCATTAGTGATGAGGTCACAAATTAAGTAATTACTTAACTAAGTTTCTCCATTTCTTTCGAAAGAATATATTCCTATCTAATATGTAAAACACTTATATCTACTTAATTTTATGTGAGTTCTAATTTAGGAACCAATGCATTATGTTAAATACATTGAAATAGAACGTAATCAGAATTTGAACCAGAGTAAATGCATCCACTAAAATTTTGATTCTCTACACTACCTTTTGATCTCGAGTATAACTGAGAACCATACACGATCTCAAAGAATAGTATATAGAAATACATTATATAAATAATTGTTCTGTGTTTAAAGTAATTTTAGAACTTAAAAATAAACCTAATTATTTAGTATACAAATTCCATATATTATCCTCATTATCATGATGCATCATATTTATTTATAGAATTTAATATAAATTAATAATATGAATAAAATTGATCATTAACGAACTGTCATCTATTATTTCCATTATTTAAACTATGCTATAGGTGATTGATCTTCTTCATCAGAGGATTCTCTAAATTTGATTCCCTTGTTGATCATATCCAAACATGTAATTGATCTATCTCTATTTCCAAATGTATCGAGAGCATACATATCTTTATTTGGTGGATTACTTTTCTTTACTTTCTATTAGAATTATGCTTTATAAGATGTATTCTATTGAGATTATTGTTTTAATTAATTTATGCATTAATTAGATTTAGGATCTCTTTTTTCATAATTTTCTTTATTTTATTATATAGTATCTTTGCTTTTATTTAATTGTCTGTTTTATTTACTTTATTTTTCCTTATCTTCACATAAAGATTGATCAGTCATAGCACTTTAACAAGAAATATTAAATTAAGGTAACATATATTCTTAAGAATATCTAGAATCTTCTTATTATTTAATTTCTGATGATAATTATTTTACTTATTCTTGTAATTCTTAATTTTATTATCTCAATGTTTACTTTTCTTATTTGAATTTAGTAATTTATTTATGTATTTCAGTTAAATGATTTTATAATTCTTCAATAAAATTTTGATTCTCATTTAATTATGTCATTAAATTTTAAATTTCTTTTTAATGTTTTGTTTCAAGTTCTTTTTCTTTTATATCATACTATTCTTCAAAATACTTCTACATTTCTTCAATCACTACTTATTCATTATTTGTCTATAATTATTATTCTAATATAGTAATCTATTAATTTTATTAACATAATTTCTTTTCCAATTCATTAAATTTAACCATTAAATCTTAATTCTCTTTTTCTCTTTATTAAATTAACTTATCCTTTTCCTTTATTTATTCATCATAACATTATTTAGTTGTATCTAATTAAACTTAATTCTCCTCTAATTATAATTCCAATTATTCAATTTAATTCTTCTATTAATTAAGTATATTAGACATTTAATTGTTCTAAGTATTTACAATATTCAATTATTTCTAGAATTCGTTTCTAAAATTTAGATTTAATAAATATACTTTTATGCATTAAGACATTTCTCTATAGTACATTTCTCTCTAGAAGATAGATTATTAGCTTCTGCTATCAATATCTCATACTTTTCTGCTATTTATACTTTCTCTCTTTCCAATTAATCAACTGTATGTTTCATTTTCTCTATTTATGTTATCCTTTCTTATAAAATCTATTGATGGTTATATAAATACTTAATTCAATTTTGAATTCTCTCCTAATACTAAATTTATTTTATGTTCATATTCAATAATTCTCTTTTCTAATTACTTTTCTTTTTCCACTCTTCTTGAAGATTCTAATTAATCATCTTTATGTAATAATTTATTCTTTTTAACATAATATAATAATATACTTCAATTTCTAATTGTCTTATCAATTTGTTTAAATTCATTATCTCATTATCCTTTTTATTAAGAATTTATGCAAACTTATCTTATTACTCTAAATATTAAGACGATTTATCAATATCACTTATCCTCTTATTTTTCTCAATCTCATCCATTAACATTCTTTTTAGTTCAATATTTTCAGATAATTATTCTTCAAGTTAAGTTCTATAATCTTCTATCTCATATTTGTTATCTCGATCACAAGCAAATGAAACCACAGATGTTTTTAAAGATGCCTCTGATCTGTTAGTAACATCTAATTGTTTCAAAACCTCTCTATTGGATTATTAAAATTGCTTTTCCCCACTATCAATATAGTATTTGTTCATTTTGTTGTTTTAACGAATAAATATTTAATATTACAAATATATATAAAAAAAAATAAGGTTTTTTTATAAAACAACATCAGTTTAGAATTAGATGAATTTATGATTAATTCACATTATATAATTAATAAAAAATAAATAATTCATTACATTTTCACAAACCTTACTCTGTCATTCATATTATACATATAAAGATGAATTTGTTTCAAATTAAAATCCTTTTCTTCCCTTTTTTATAAGAATCTAATTTAAATCATTATAATCAGAGATGTTAAACTCTTAATATATGCTTATTCGTTTATAATATTAATGATATGTAATTAATGTAAAATTTCTGTAAACATACATCAAATTTTATTTTAACAATTACATTATCCAACTTTTCCATATAAACTTTATAAATTATTTTAATACATTCTCTAATATAACTTCCACCAAAAAAAAATAAGATATTTAACATTAAATAAAACATATAATAGTGTTTTCAAAATCATTGACATATTTTCTTTATCAATATTATTTACTATTCCAAAATTTACCTTACTAAATTATACTCTTTTTATTATTCCTATCTGAGTTGTTATTCAAGTACATCTTTATCCATATTAAACTAAACTTCAAATTATTCACTATTTCTTTAGATTTAATTATTCTAAAGAAATAGCTATAATTAGTTGTTTAATTTCTATTTGCTTTACTACATTTTACAAATCTACTCACATCTAATTCCTTTCTGAATTTAAACAATCTATCTTAGTAAATCAAGTTAACTATCATAATCTATACTTTATTCAATAAATGTACCTTTATAAGATTATTAGATAACTCCATGTCTTCTAAATTTGTTTAGAATAGCTTTTGCTGTTGAAAAGTTCATCTTACATATTTAAGCAGAAGCTCTTATGGTTTTTTTATCACATAAAACAAGTCTGAGAAATGTTATTTTAGAAGCAATCTTTTCTTATTTAGTTTAAGAGTTGGTTTTTTTTGTAAAATTCTCAATTTACTTGATATTCCTCATATCTATTTAAAAATATTAATTCAGAAAAAATATCCATTAAGTTAGAAATAATTTAAATAATATGAAATAATCGGCATTGCTTAATAATTTATACTATTACAATTGTATCTTATCAAGACTATATGCTCAAAATCAAATTTCCAATAAGTTATCATTATAAAATATAGGATTTATATAAAAATTAAAATAAAATTTTTAATTTAGAAAATTACTGGTGCAATTAATACTAAAGGGATTTCGAGTCCAATTATGTTTAATTCTCTTTTAATTAATATATTTAAGATTATTTTTCATTGAAGCTTGATATTAAAATATTTTTAAATCTTTATAAATTGAATATCAAATTATGTCATCGATTTTTTTATAATTAATCCTCTAAATTTTATGTGTAAAGTTCATTTTTCTTCAATTTTTATTATAAAATCTTAACTTCTCCCATGAGATTTCTTATCTATTAATCAGCAGATTTATCTCTCTAAAATATATATAATATTATATTATACTATTGAATCAAATTCCTACATAATTAATTATCTAATCTTTGCTTCTTATTCATTCAATTAAAATTTCTATTATTGATTTGCAGTTTACAATTCTGATATTAGAATTTAATTTTTTGTATTTCCAATTGTTAAACCTTAAATTTCATTTTCTAATTATCTTATTTTGTCTCCTTTTTAATTAAGTTCATATTTTAATTATTAGTTTTCTTAATTAATAGAATTTACCAATAAATTAAATTAAGCCTTTTAATCATTTGTTAATTATTAATATTACTCAGTTAATTGTTATTCAGTTCTTTTTCTTATATCTTCCATTTATTAATTTACTTAATTTTTCAAAAGATTATTTTATTATTCCATATTATAAGATTATATTTATTCTTATTTTAATTGATCTTATAATTATTAACATTCCTATTATTTTTTCTATATTTATATATTCATCAAATTAATTTCCTTTTCAAATCTAACTTATAATTATAAAAATTCTTCATTCAATTATTTATACCTATTATCTAATTATAAATATGCTTATTATTTATCATTATATTAATTTCTTAATTTTTGTAACTCTTCTTTTAATTTATCAGTATCATTATTATATTATAATTTTAATTCATTATAATTTTAAGTTAATCTATCAAATTATTAATTTAATAATTGTTTATCTTAATTTAAAAGAGTATTCTAAAGAACTTTTTAATCAATCTAATCTTATAAATTTTTAATTTAATCATCTTATATAACACTATGTTAATTATTTAATTGTGCTTCTTAATCATATCTTCTCTATATAGCTATCAATTATTCATTTGTTGATTTTAATTTAGCCTCCAATTCTGCTATCAATTAATTCCTATCATTAAGTTATTATTGGAACCATTAAACTTCTTTAGATTATTATGTTTCCATTTTATTTAAATCTTATTAATATCTTAATTTCTATATAGAAATTTCCTCTTATAATTATAAATAAGAATTTGATAATTACTATTTCTCTTCAAGAAGTTAATTAAATTAATATGTTTTATCATCTAATTATCTCTAAATTCTAGTTATTTAATCTTATAAATCTTTTATTGTATTATTAAAATTGTATGTATCTTGATCTAATTTTTATTATAATGAAAATATTTTATTATCTAATTCTCTTTTCAATTTATCCAATTCTAAAATTTTAAGTTCTTTTTCTGTTATTTATTATTATAAAGTTGTACTATCTCTTAAATATTTGGATTCTCCATTTTTTAATTATTATTATAATTAGAAAGATAAAGCATTTGTTTCCAATTGTAATTTCTCATACATCATTGATAATTAAGCTTTCTCATTCTGTACTTATTCTAATAATTTTGATTAAAGATCCAATTAATCCTTAAATCTATTACTTTAATCTTTTGTATCTTAAACTTCTGTTCTTAATTAAAATGTATCTTAATCATATTTTCTTTACAATTAATATAAATATTCTTGAGCTTACTTTAATTTTTATTCAGTAGTCAAGAGAACTGATTCTTTATTTGTTAAATTAAGTGAGATTACTTGACTTTCTTTTGAATATCTTAATTCATTTTCTGATTATTCTTATTTATGATTTAATGATTATGAATTAATAAAATTTTTAAGAGAATCAATTTCTTTTTATTAAGCCAATTTATTTTAATTTAATTCATTAATTTATATTACTTATCTATCACATTATATCTATAATTTTGCTAATCTATCTTATAAATCTAATATATGTTAATTTGTTATATCAATTGTTAAACTGTTTTTTAGTTTTAATTAGTTTTATAAATCATCTATTTTATTTTATAATTGCTTGATAGTTTGATTCGCAGAACTGAAATCAGATTAAAGAGATTCTCTTTGAACTACAGATTTAGTAATTTCTCTATCAAAATCTAATGGTTTCTATTGCAATAATTTTATTGCTGATTAGAGTTCTAATACTTATTATTTTAATTTTCTCTTTTCATCATCATCTTAAAACGATTAATTTAATTTATCCAAATTTATTTCTTGTTGACTTTATGTTAAAGATCGGTCTAATTAGTATTGAATGTCCTCTATTTTTCTCTATTTTAATGTGCTGTCTCTCTCAAAAATCTTTAATCTATTATTGGCTTAATTTAATTAGCTTTGTAATTAATCTCTCTCCTTTTACAAATTAGCTATTTATATTTAAGGATCCTGGTCTTATTAGATATTTTGCTTTGGCTTCTATGAGGTTCTAACACTCATCTAGATATTCAATAATTAAATTTTATTTATATATAATTCAATAATATTATATATCTTATTAAATAAGTTTCTGTGAATGTAACTGTTTAATCCTATCATTTCTATAAATATTACTTAAATTAATATACTTATATATGATTTAATTATCAATTATAATAATCTAAAGAATTAATTAACTTCATAATAAATACCCTAGATTATTAGTATTATTAAAATTGATGAATTTAAACACTTATTGAGGTTGCTCCTAAAGTTCATTACATTTTAATTATTTTTATGATTTTCTTATTATCAATTAAGTTAGTATTTTTAATTACATCTCATAATTATATTCTTAGAGTTCTAGAAATTATTGATTTTTTCTAAGATTTAACAAAAAGTAATTATTCTAATTTATTATTTAATTATCTAATTCAGTTTAAGAATTATCTTATTCAATTAGCTATTCTCTCTCTATAACAATTTAATCTCATAATCCTAATCATCTATCATTAATTCTTGGATTATATTTTATTTTAATGATTAATTTTCTTATTTGAAGAAATAATCATTTTATTTTATTTCCATTCTCATTTAGTTAATATTTCAATATTTCTCTTTTAGAGAGACAATTTAATTTGAAAATTTATTGATTTATTTACATTAGCTGTGATAATTAATAGATTTGATATTAACAATCTAATCCAAAAATAATTTATTTGATTTCACTTAGATATTACATTAATTAATCATCTATATTTAGAATTAAGTAATTTCAATTTGAAGGATCAAATTTATAATACATTTTTTATTTATATTAAATTTTCTCTAGCAAAATTTAATATAAATATTCTCTTTATTTTAATTGTAATAAATAAATTTAATTTTTTCACTTTACTAATTGTGGAAATATTCATATATTATTGCTATGCTTATAATAATTGACCAATAATGAATAACTTTCAAAAACAATACTTCTCAATCTATATTCTATATTGTTAAAGAATAAATATCAGTTATAACAAAGTGTTTAATAATTCTTCATTTCAGATCTCAGATAAATAATATCTAATAATTTTATTTCTTTCTTGAATATTAATTAAAAATTTAGTGATAGCAAAAGAATTTTCTTAAGAAATTTAAAATTCTATTTTATTGCCTTATTTTATATTTTTTGTAAATTTCTTTCCAATCTAAAATTTAAATATACAAGGATAAAAGAAATCGCTTGATTCCTTTCACAATAATTTCCTTAAAGAAATTTAAGTACTTTGTACTAAAAGAATGAAAAATTAAAAATGATTAATATGACAAAAATATTTATCTATTTTACATCATTATTATTCAGCAGCTCTTCTTTCAGCTAATCTTTCTAATTCATTGACTAAGACTAATTCTTATCTTCTTCCTGCAGTGACTGTTTCATATTCAACATCGAAACTGTGGCACAAATCAGCAGCATCATCCCATAAAGTTTAGTTTCTTTATCTTTTATTTGTAGCGGCTTAAGCAACAGCGGTTTAAGTTGAAATTGTTCCTTATAAGTTTTCGGCTTTGCTACTTAAATGGGTCTTGGCATCATCAAGTCTTACTTATGAAGCAAGATAGAGATCTTTTTATTAAGAGAAAAGACCCAAAGCATTTGTGTTTTCAGCAGTGTATGATGCCCAAGCTTCTTCAACAGTGCTTCTCAAGGTTTATAACAATTAAACGAGTCTTTCAGCTGCACCAGTTGAATCTTCTTCTTATGTAATTTAAGCCAATGCACCAATTGCTTACATGAATACCTTGTTCATTTTGGTAGCAATAGCTGATTTCATTAATTTAGTTGTCATATCAGCAACTTAAACCAAAGATGCTTCTCCTTTAGCAAGAGCAGTAGCCAAATCGATTGAATCATCAATAGCATTAATGGCATCGTTGAATGTAACAGCTCCTCTGTTATATGATTAAGTGTCTTCCTTTCTGGCGTCATTAATTAAACCAACGTGTTGAGAAACTGTATTCAAAATGTTTTCAGTTTCACCAAGGGTTGCTTAAGTTTTTTTCAATAAGATGGTGGCTGTCTTCAAAATTCCGTTAGCAATTTTGAGTGTACCATTGGCATCTTCAACTTCAGCTCTTCTGTATGTGATTTCACTATCGCATTCAGCTTTTTATGCGTTATAGACATCATCATGTCCATTTTGTTCTTATGCAACTGCAGATTTGAATGAATTCAAAACTCCCTTAATTGAATCTAATGGTGAGTGTGTTTTGATTTTGTTTTCAACTTCAACCATTATGTTCATGATGCTTCTTTTACCACCATATTGGAGTGGGTATTTTGACATCATGCTAGCATTGCTTATGGCTAAGACAACCAAGATAGTGAATGCAATTTTCATATTTTAATAATTGATTTATACTTTTTTATTTCAGTTCCCTTTATACCACAACATTTGCCTAATTAAAAACGGATTGTAGTGTTAAAAATAATAATTAATTTTTCAAAAACGTGTATATTTTTATATATTTAATTTTAAAAATTTTTTTTATCCATTTATTTTTATTAACTTGATTATAAATAATTTATTAATATTTCATATTAATATATTAAGAAAAAGAACCTTAAAAATAATAAAATATTAGAAAATTTTAGAATTCTTTATGCAACCTTATTAATTCTTATTGGATTATTATGTTGTTGTAAGTGATGTAATAATGATGATTATTTTGTGTATTGATTAATTTTTATTTTATTTTAATTTGTGAAATTTCTTGAAATAAGAATTTTTTTCTTTTTATATATTTTATATAAAATATATTCAAGGTGATAGCAAAATATTAATATAAAGACATTATTTAATTTTATGTAAATGAATAGGATTATAAAAATTGAAATATTATAAGCATAAGTTTATGAGTATTTAGATAGTTAAGAAATAAAATCAGTTTTCATGATTTATTAAATGCATTATAAAACTCAATTCTCAAACCTTAGATATTTTCTAAGCATTTCATCATGCATTCTTTCTCAAATGGAGTCAATATCTTTTCCATGTATGATTTAACACATTAATTATAACATAAGTCGGCCATATATAATTTCACAGAAATTTTATCATCTTGATTATTCATTTATATTATTATTTTATCATGAAAAAAGCAACCGATGGAGTCTATTGTATTTATATTATTCACATTCTTAGATGAAAATGAATACATAGCTAATTAGGAAGATAAATTACTTGCAAAGATGAGAAAGAAATAGGTATGATAATGTCTAATAGAGGAACGAGAATTGGAGCAATTAAAATTGTATGAGCAATAACAAACAGAATAAGAAAGAAGAAAATATTCTATCTTAGAATCGACACGTTCAAAATAACAATAAGTGGAATTAGCTTTAAAAGAGAAGAAATAAATGGTTAGTCTATTTTTATTATTATCATTTTAGATAGAATTAAAAAGAAAAGAAAAAGAGAAGGAAAAATTACTTTAGGTGTAAAAGATTGAATAAGAAAAATTAAAGGAATTGACAGAAAGAGAAATAAGTAGAGATTTAATTCTATAGGAATTATAAAGCAATAAAAACAATTAATAAAAAACAATTCCAGATAAGGTTAAACCATCTATTGTAAAAAAGTAAAAGTAATATTTACACAAGAATAGCTGAAGGAATAATAAATACATAATAAGAAGAAATATTGATGAAGAAAATCTAATTAGATAAATTATAGAAGGAGTAGGAGGAGCAGATTAAAGATTTGAGAGAAAGAAAAGAATTGTTATTGAAAGAGTTGAAATAAGCAAAAAGAAAGCAATTAAAAAAAGTGAAATAAAGAAATGAGGAAGAAAAAAATGCTTATTATCAAGAAAAATAACAAAAAATAGAGCAATATTAGAAAAAGTTAGATGATATTGAAATTACTTAGTAAGCTAAAATTGAATTGATTGAATAAAAAAAAAAGGAGAAAATGGAAAAATTAAAGAGAGTGATGGTTAATATATTTTCTTGATATTTTTAGGAGAATTACAAAAAAATAATGACTGAAAAGAACGAGAAGGCTTAATTAAAAGTTTCATAATTAGAGGAGAAGATAAATTAGATTTCTGAAAAAATGAAATTTACAGAAGAAAAAATAGAGAAAATAGAAAAAGAAAGAGCAAGACATAGATAGAATGTAAAAAAAATTATTATTATTATTATAAGATTCAATCTAGAAATGGCAGTATTTAAAATAATAAATCATAAACATTTTAAGAAAAGATTCGATAAAAGGAAGAAGAACATCTAAAATCTATTACAGAAACTCAATCTATTTCTAAAATCAAATTGTAATAAGAAAAACAAAAAAAAGAAGAATTAATACGAGATCATAAAAAGAAAGCTGCAAGTATCTTAAAAGAGATGGTTGAAATTAAAAATAAGAAATTAAAAGAGAAATTAGACAGAGCATAATAATTTAAAGATGAAAAAGAAAAGTTATTTATACAATAACAAAAATTAGCGAAAGAACTTGAACGTCAAAAGTAAAAATTACTTTTGCACAGTCCTAAATATAAAGCAGAAGAAAAATGATTTATTATATTAGTTATATTTAAAGAGTTTATTAATAATTAATATAATAATGTAATAATAATAATAATAGCCACGATAAAGAACGAAAGAAAGATATGTAAGCGAAGCAATAAATTTAGTTAAATTATGGAGGTTTTTATTTATTGTTTAATATTTAGATAAGTTTATTAAATTGAAACTAAAATAGTAGATGGCAGAACTGTTAGAATCACATTAGATTAGGCTGCAGAAATAGTAGGCTGTCCAAGAAAAACTTTAGAAGATTATTATTATTTATTAAGAAAGGCTGAAACATTAGGTAGATTTCAATATTTAAATATAAGTTAATTTAGAGGACAAGAGAAATGAAAAGATGGGTTATATAAGAAAATTATGTAGGGAGAATAAAAAATAAAAATAATAATTAAAATAGGAAGAAGAATGTTACTAACTTAATTAATTTTAATTTGAAGATAACATTCATGATGATTGAATAAAATATCAATTGCATTTTTCTAATATTTAATAGGAATATTAAATAATCTCATTTCTGCTTTTTCTATTTACCAATTGATTAAGTATCAACAAAAGGAGATGCTGGTTTCACATCAACTCTACCTAAAGTTCTGTTTATTTCAGATATTTGTGGTAAAGCTTGAACTTACTTAAACCTATTTATTATATATCAAATTTTATACCATCTAAAGAAATGTACATACTTTCCAGCTTTTTGTTCATCATTCCATGTAGATACAATATCATATGTGTGAATATATAGAAATAAATCTGCTAATGTTACATGATTAGTAACAAAAAATACTCTGCTTTCTAAATGTTTGAGAAATGCCTAAATTTAACACTATTAATACTTCAATTAAATCTTCTCCTTATATTTTTCTTTATGCTTCAAAAACTTATAAAACCTATCATTTTATCATCAAATTGTACTTGCCCTAAAGTTTAATTATCTGTGCCAATCAGTATTCTTTCTGTAAATGAAATATTAGTTAAGTATCTATATTATTCTTATTTTTTATTATTACTATGCAATAGAGAAAACATTTGTTAAAATTTAAGCTTCCTCTGTTACCAATGATGGAATAGAAGGAATTTTTATTATGCCTTCCTCATTTAATTTTAATGCTTAATTTGATAACACCACAAGTTTTACTCTTCCTGTTGAAACCAATCTAGTATAATGTACCAAAAGTGTTAAAAATTATGAATTCAAATCTGATGATAAGAACAACTCCATTAATTAATATAATTTATATCTTTATTTTTAAACATAATTCATTGTGTTTCATAAAATAATCCATTATTCAATATTATTCTTTTGATCAATATGAATTATCTTAATAATCTATAATATATTGTGATTATTTATAAATTAAATAACAATAATTCTATTAAACATTTAGTAATTATAAGAGACAAAGTATATATGAAAACTAATCATTATTTAAAAATGAAATTACCTTTTCAATGGACTTAAATGGCGATCCTATTACTATCAATAATAATTCTAATAATGACTATTATTTTTATGGAGAATGAAATTTTATTACCTTAATGGGGATCATTAATTATAATTATTTTAATTGGAATTATTTTCTACTTGCTTTATTTAGCTTATAAAACCTATTAACATGATTCCATAAAAAAGTTAGTATTAATAGGATTGAGTGGGGTTGGCAAGACATCAACATATAATTATTTATAATGCAAAAATGTTTCTTCTTAATAAGGATTTACAATAGGAACTTCTGGAGAACTTGGTATTGTTGACACTCCTGATTTTGATCTGGAATCTGATATCCATATCAGAGAAGTTAGAATCTAATAATTTTAATAGTTTTTTATAAAATATCAAAATTCTATTAGAACACTATTATTGTTAGTTAATTTTGAAAGAACAGACTTAATGAAATAAAAGATCAATAAAACTTTAAAGTTTTTGATTAAGTTTAATTGTAAATTCTCTTTATTGATTACTAATTTTGAATTGAGTGAAAACTAAATTGAAGATGAAACAAATTTAAAAAAAGCTTTAAATTTTTATCATTTTTAGAAAATTTTGTTTGTAGATAAAAATAAAAATAATTCAGAATTAAAATAAGAATTGATGTAAATATTATAAGAAACTCCTTAATAATAATTAAATTTAAATGATACAATTTTTGAAATTATTCAGAAAAAGGAGTAATAGAAAATTATGGAATAAATTTCTCATTAATCATAATAAAAAAAGTAATAAATTTAAATAAATTTTAGTAATCTTTAAGATGTCTTTTTAAAATTTTGATTAATTATAATTATTATATATTCTAAATTTCATTATTAATTTTTTTGAATTAATAAATTATAATAAAAAATAGGATAATTAAATGAATGTAAAAATACAAATGAAAAACAAATCAACTTTATTGTTCAGCAGCTCTTCTAGTAGCTAATCTTTCTAATTCATTTATTAAGACTAATTCTTATCTTCTTCCTGCAGTGACAGCTTCATATTCAACATCAAAACTATGGCACAAATCATTTGCATCTTCCAATAAATTTTGATTTCTTGATCTTCTATTTGTGGCAGCTTATGCAACAGCAGTTTAAACTGAAATAACTCCTTCAGTTGCTTCTAATTTAGCAACCAATCTTGATTTAGCTTTGTCTAATCTTTCTTAAGTTGCATTGTATAAATCTTTTTGACCCATAAATTATTAAAGACCTAATTAATTTTAAGTTGTATAATCTGTCCATGCAGTTTCAACAGCACTTCTCAATGTTTAGAGTAATTAAACAAGTCTTTCAGCAGCATTTGCATCTTCTTCTTAAGTTATAGCAGCTAAAGCAGCCATTGGTTATTTAAATTCTTAAATTAATTTGGTTGCTAATGCTGATTTCAATAATTTAGTTGAAAGTTCAGCAACTTAAGCTAAACTAACTTATCCCTTAGCTAATGCTGTAGCCAAATCAATTGAATCATCAATAGCATTGATTGCATCATTGAATGATACAGCAGCTCTATTGTATGATTGAGTATCTTCTTTTCTGGCTGAATTAATCATTTCAATATGTCTTGATGCAGTATTCAAAATTTCTTCAGTGGCTTAAAGTGTAGCACTAGTCTTGCCTTTGATGATTTTTGCTGTTTTTAAAATACCATTAGCACTTTTAAGTATGCTATTAGCATCTTAAACTTCTAAAGATCTGTATTCGATTTCACTATCACATTCTGTTTTTTAAGCATTATAAACCTCATCGTGAGTAGCTTATTCTGAAGCAACTTCTGACTTGAATGAATTCAAAATTCCTTTAATAGAGTCAAGTGGATTTTTAGCTTAGAGTTTGCTTTCAACTTCTGTCATAATTGACATAATGTTTCTTTTATTTGAGTAGTTCAATGGATATTTTTAAACAAATCCTGCTTATGTTAACACAATAATAGCTAATATTCCAAATATTGCCTTCATTTTATATTATTTAATTTCATAGACCCTTGATCAGTATTTGAGGCAACATTCTTGAAAAACGGGGAAAACCTCACTTTGAATTAACGTAAAACTTTGAATTAACGTAAGTGTTTATAATTTAATTTCAAATTCTATTGTATTAAATAAATTTATATTTATAAATATAATGAATAAATTATTTATTCAATAACGAATTTTAAATATATTTGTTAAATATATGAAGAGTAAAAGACCTAAGAAAAATTGATATAAAATATTGATGAACTTAAAATAATAACTTTTTGATTCATCAAAGAAACATATTCATTATAGTTAGATATAAGAATGTTTTAATTTCTTAATTTTACTATATATTAAATTAGTTAATTATTTTCTTATAAGAAAAGAAAAGAAAAGGAATATACTTTTGATTAACAAATAATTTTTTAATTTATTGATCATTTTTTTTAAATGTTGAAATGAAAAACAATTATTTGATTATAAGAATAAGGTAATCAAGAGAAATCAAGTATAACTGATTTATTCAAGGCTATTATTATTATTTAAAATAAGATATCAATATTTAGATGTAAATTAAATATATAATTTATTTTTCAAATGAATTAATTATGTTAAGATTATTTTATAAGCTTCGGCAATTTCAATTTTCTACTACATAATTTGATCCTTATGTTGAATTAGGTCTCAATTCTACAGCTACTATATAGGAAATCAAGGATGCTTATATTAGATTGAGCAAATAATGTATAAAATTTAGTTATTCTTTAAGATCATCCTGATATTAATCAATAACATGATTCTCATGAAAAATTTAAAAGAATAGCTGAGGCATATAATATTCTTAAGAAGGCTAAATTTGAAGAGTAATTAAAAGAAGAGTTTAAATAATATTACTATTCTGCTTAATCTGAAGAATAATTATTTTAGGAAGTATTCGGCTTCTATTTTCATGAGAAACCTTAAGAATACTATAAACCTGAGAATGCATAAAAAAGACATTAATATTAGGAGATGTTAAAAAAATTTAAGCAATAAAAAAATTCAACATATGATCATTAAACAGAATCTAAAAATCAAAAACAAGATTTCTCTGATATAAAAATAAATAGGAAATTTGAAGGTCATTAAGGGACTAAAACTAATCCATAACAAATATATACTATAATTGCTTTTTGTAGTATAGCTATGGGTGGTGTTGCTTTTTATATAACAATGTTGAGAAAGGCTCCAGAATTGTAAAAGGAAGTAATTAACAATTAATAAATTAAAATCTTAAGATAATAAACTTAATTGAGACATCAATAAGATATAGATAATATTAAATAAATGTATTCCAATATCAATCACACTATGTTATTATTTGATCCAAAATGTAATTCTCTTGATATGTTATTCAACTATACAATATTTCCTGATCTAGAATTTTATTATGTAAGTCCAGAAATATTTTATTAAGACGAAAAATACTTTTTGAAATCAGACTAATTTGAAAAAAATGCTATGAGAAAATCTAAATTAAATTATAGAATTACTCATGCAATAGAAGCAGAAAGATGTTTATAGAATATTTTTGTGCCTGTTGAAGAAGTCTTAAATTAAATAGAAAAAAATGGAGAATATAAACCTCCAGGTATATTTATGTAATTTTATGGTTATATTTATTTCAAAATCAGACGCAAACCTATAATTGTTGAAAATTTAATCAAATCAAAAGAATATATATCTCTCTTTGATCTATATTTTTATTACTAAACACCTGTACCCTATTATTATGATACCTTAAATGAATTTTAAATATTCAATGATGCAGGTAATACATTAAGTCATTGGGAAGGGAACGTTTATTTTAGTACTAAATCATTAGATAGATTTTACTTAAAAGGAAATGTCAAGAATATATTTATGCAAAGACCCTAATAGGATAGCAATACAGAATAAATGTATATGTTAGCATGGGGAAATCATTTCGAACATTTTTAAGTGTGAATTCTTATTAAGATTTTTTTATTATAACCAATTATAGTTTTAATTTATTCTTATAAATTTTGTTATAAATAATGATATTCCATAAATCTATATGTTTAATATATTCATTTAATTAAAAGAGAATAATTGATTATCTTTAAATAGAATATAAATCAATAATCAACATTTCTTAATTATAAATTATAATTAATTAAATATTGAAATAATAAAATCATTAATTAATTTAATTGATTAAAGGTATATCTTGAAGAAATGAAGTTTCCGAAAGTTGCCCTACTGATAAATGATATCCACGTTTTGTATCTAAATGTGATCTACCTGTAAATAATTTTTAGCTACTTACTTAAAGTAAACCTTAAAATTAATGACTAGCTATCGAATTATGATTATTAGTTTAATGATTAGATTTAGATAAAATTAAAAGACTAGTTTTATTAGGAACACTATCAATTAATTGATTTGAGGGTTCTAATAACAATTTCAACATATTAGAATACTCATTTTATAATGTTGAGATCTGATTTTCTAATTGATCATATTCATTAATTGAAAATTGAAGATCTGATGAAAATGAATTCTTATTTAAGAAATTCTCCCATAATCTATAGACCTTTGGTTTATAAATTAATTAGAGTATTGGATCTCCTAAAGATACCAATATACAAGTTGCTTATACATCAAAAATAACAAGAATAAAGGAATCTTATTTTGTAAATTTGATTCTCTTATTACCCTTTTATGTAATTTAATTTATAAATTTACGAAGACAGTTAATAAATTATTGATTTTAAGGTAAATTTAAGATAGAAGTACAATTCCACATACCAGTAACTAATTATTCTGAATTTAGTATAATTCTTTATCTATAATCAAAACTTATTGTTCCAGAAGTTAAATTATATCTATTTAAAAATGCTTGATTCTAAATATATTAAAATTAATAGTCTATAATTTAGAAATTGAGTTAAGGTCCATAAATATTAATTTATCCATTTAAAATAAGCAATTAAATGATTGATTTATTTAATTAAGCTTCATTATAAACTACTGGAAATGTATTGCCTTTAACTATTTCATTTCCATTAATATTGACACTTTTAATATTAGTTGCAGTCAATAATTCCTAAGCTAATTATTCTCCTATTGTTAATTATTCATAGCCTATATTCCAATCCAAATTTTACAGATTTTACATAAATTAGGTACCTTCCACATATTAATACATTCGTTAATTAATTATTAATTAAGAGATTTTTAAACAATAGAATTTAAAAATAAAGTATTATAAAAAAAAAATAATATTAGAATTTACTAAATTTGATGGATATCAATGTTTATAAACTCTTGCTTCTCTCCAAACCTTTGCTTATGAATCAATTGATTTAGGCATAGTAACAAAAGTATTTCCAGTTTTATTGATATAAACATTCCCTTCTCCTGTAATTTGTTATAAACAGGTTCCTTAATTATCACTAATTATGTTAAATCAATAAAATTACAAAATTTAAACAGTCTTACTATTACTAGCTCCAATAATTTTATCTCCAGCTTCATTAAATGATATTGCATAAATCTAACCTGGAAAATTTGCTAATTCTCCAACAAATTTGCCATCTTACAAATTATAGATTCTACCTGTATTATCATCAGAGCCAGTCACAATTTATGTTTCTAAAGATTAAAATATAAAATTAATACCTTATTTATTAAATGCTAATTCTTTGACATATTTTTAATGTCCTTCTAAGGTGAATAGTGGCTATTCTGGATTCCTGATATCCCAAACATTTGCTTTACTAAAATTAATTAAATATATTATTAAACTTATCATGTGATCCTGTGGCACATATATATCCAGAAGATGCAAATTTAGCTACTTCTAAACCTCTTGTATGTTTTGATAATTTACAAACTATTTAACCATCATTGGCATTCCAAATCTTATTATATTATTAATTTTTATATACAAGTGCTTCATTTTCATAACTACATGTTAATAGTCTATCCCCATCTGGATTATATGAAAGATATGTAGGTGTTTATTTATGTTATGCAAATTCAAAATTTAGTTTTCCTGATTCAACATCCCAAATCTTTATTTTCATATTCTAACATGCTGTAGCTGCTATTGTTGATTATGGATTAAATCCTCCAAGAGATACTAATCCTTAATGACCCTTTAATTCATGTAAGCATTATCCGGTCTTCAGATCCACTATCTTTGCCAAATTATCAGCTGAACCCACTAATGCTTTATCACTAAATTTTTAAAAGAAATACTTAGTTTTATTCAAATCTATAAAACCAATAAACTTAGTAAACAAATGTAGATTTCTAATTGTTTTTCCTGAATCACTGTCTACATATACCAAATTTTCTTCATTTTCATATAATATTCTGTTGAATAATTTATTCATCATACTTTTAACCATCATCTGAAATAACTAAAGCAGTAGGAAATTCAAAAAGCATTTTAAAAACATTTCCAACTACGTATGGTAAATTTTTAGCAAATCGAATACCTTTTTCTTCTTCCATGAATCTTACTTTTATTTTAATAGTTTTATATATATTTTTATGAAATTCAGATATTAAAAAAAATTTGGATTTGAAAGAAAATAATAACTTATAAATTCAATTATAAATATTGAGTATAGAATTGATGAATGATTATATCAACCGGCAGTTCTTTCATTATTTAAACATCCTTATTTTATTAAATGATTTTTCCATGTATTCTTCTCCAATTTCAAATCTTAATGACATAATGGACATCTAACTGTTGTATTATCATTTCTACCTCGGCAATCCTCCAAATGTCTAAATTATATTACAAATTATTATTTACTTATCATAACCACTCAATAGAATAGCCTCTTTGCATTTAGGACATCTCTTAAATTTTCTTTTATGATCACATTCACTCAACAAATGATTAGTTAATTCAGCTATTTCAATAACCTATCCACATTATGAACAAGTAACTAACATAGGACATTCTGACCAAAGATGTGTATCTATTTGATCTGAATCTCTAAATGATGGATCAACTCTATCACAATAATCACATTTTGCTGTATTATGTTATTCAAATTATTATTATTATTATTATTTTTATTATTATGGTTTTTAATTCTATATCTAATTTTAATTCCCTTTTTTAGCTCCTTAGGTTTCAATGTTAGTTTGAATGATGGCTCTTTATTAATTGATTTATGGTTGATCATCAATATCTCCACCTCCATCAATTTTACTAAAAAAATCTTCTAAAACATCTAATTGTGCTTATCTAACATTTGTTAAAGATTGTTTAAGTCTATTTCCAGAAAATTTATATATTTCAACCAAGAGTAAGATGGCTTAAGTTCTAATAGGTTCATTCTAATGTAATTTAATTACAGAATACTTTATCATCCAACAATTTTACAGAAAAATCAACAATTGGTTAATATGGCATATTAGCATTATTGATTTCATATTTCTTTACTAATGCTGTCAACATAGCTAATCTCCCAACAATATGTTTAGTAGAACTTTGTAATTTAGATTTTCCAACAAAACCTTTTATTAAATGTTAAACACAAATTGCAGGACCAACAGATGGATGATCTGCCATTTACAAGAATGCATTTTCAGCTTATTCCTTTCTTTATTCACCTAATTTTTCCATTAGAGATTATAAAATTCCATCAATATGTTCATTAAATTCTGCACTTTTATTTATTTTTATTTTTGGATATTTTGCAAATAAAGATTATAATACACTTAAACTTCTTAGTGAAACAGCTGCAACTTTATCACTTAAAGTATAATTTATAGATGCTATTGAACATAAAAAGAAAATAGATGGATCCTATGAATTTACTTATGTTGGTCTACCAATCTATTCTTCTAACCATTTTAATCCATCTTCTCTAGCTCCCCATTATTTACTAAATATTTTTTAACAAAATTCTTCTGTCAATATAGGTATTAATGGTTCAGCTTTTTATAGACTGTCTCCTGTTAATGGTTCAGTTGTATCTTTAATTACAAATTGATCATACATTATTATTATTATTATTTATCATCATCAGGATATTAGTTATTGTTTTACTTCCTTAAAGCAGCTGGTACAATCATATCTTCATGATGTTAATTTAATTCTTTAGCAATTCTTTTTTGTCTCATTTATGATGGATCTGCTCTTTATTCTTCAAATTATGATTATGAAATCATTTCATCTCCTTAAAAAGGCATCTATGGTGGAGGAGCTTAATAAGGGGGAACATAAGCCATTTAAGATTAAACTGGTGGTGGTTAATATTATTATTATTATTAATAGTATTATTATTATTATTATTATTATTATTATTATTATTATTATTATTATTATGGTTAATACACAGGTTATTAATATTACTAAATTTTAATATATATATAATATTACTGCACTATCTGGTCTACGTATCATAGAATCTGGAGCTACAGCATTCCTTAATTTCTCTATTTCTTATTTGATAATATTAGCTGAATCATAATCTTCATTTTAAATAGCCACTGCCTTTCTCTCTTCTAATGTTCTTAATTGAACTCCTATTTATTTTAACCTTTCTATTGCCTCTTTTATTCTTTTTGCTTCCATAAAATCTTCTCTTGAAACCGCTAATTATTTTATTATAGAAATACCTTTATCCTTAGCCTCCTCTAACATTCGCAATCTTTCAAGTGTATTTTAATCAAATTATGTTTCAAATTAAATTTCATTATAAAATTCTTTCTATTTCATTTACCCATATCCAGGAGGGGAATCAAGGGGTTCACCAAACACTGACAATGCAATAATACCAATTTAATTAAAGAGATTAAATTTATTCACGTAACATTTTTGAAATACAAATTTCATGAATAAACATGGTGTGTCAATATAGACACTTTTTAATTCTCTTGCCTAATATCCTCCTCTCTCATTGGAATCAAGTGATAAATATCCTAATTTCTTATATTTGATTTGATTATATTGTGGAGGTATATTCTTATCTGGCATGTGAACATAAAGTTCAATCTAAATCAATTTAAATATATGATACTTTTGTAGATATCTTACAATGATGAGACAAGAACTAAACTTGTCTAACTCTTGCTGCACTGACAAATTAAATTGCTATTTCTTAAGGATATTCACAATATTTTGGTGCTTGCCAACCTCTACTTTATGGTGATTGAGTGAGTAATTCAGTCACAGGATAATCTTAATCTTCACCTGAACAATACACAATCCTATATTTCAATTTAGAAACTCCTTTCATAAAAATAATAAATATTTATTGATAATAAATTAAGTTCAATTATCGAAAATATATTTCATGTATTCATCAGATGACATCTATTTAGATGATTATATATTTTTTGGAATTTCTAAATTAAGATGTTATTGTTTTAATTCAACAGTAGTTTCTTTACTTTTAATTTCTTAATAATGTTTATAATATTTCTTTTATAATAATAATAATTATTATTATTATTATTATTATTATGGTTAATTTTAAACTTCTACATCTTTATTAGTTTATACACGCATATTTTAAAAATTTGTTATTACATAAAGATATATTTTCTTATTAGATTCATCCAATTTAGTCAATGCATAATATGTACGATTATTAATAATCTATGAATTAAATTTAACTTTTTCTTCTAATCTCTAATCTCCCTAACTCTTATTTGCATAAAGTAATTCAATATGTGTTGATATTGGTTTGTAATTAATTTTATCTATCTAATAAACAGATTCAAATTCATTCATCTCAGTAATTGGAAAGTTCAATAAATGAAAGGCTTCCTCTGTTGGTACTAAAATGACATCAAATTCAGTCATTATATATTAAATAATAATAATATTTATATATATATATATATATATCAAATATCAAGTTATTTTATTTTATTTCTTATTTCGATATAATGACCATAAGTTAATCGGACTGGTTTACCATCAGCTATCTATTCAATTTTAGAATCAATAGCAAATTCATAAGGATCCTCAAAACATTCTTGAATAAGAGAAGCCAACTAAAAGTAAGTTATTAAATAATCAAGTAAAATTACACCACCTTCTATATCAATAGGCAATAATTATTAAGTATCTTAAATCACTATTTTTTATTCTATTGAATATTCAATTTCTTTTATTGCACATCTTAAAATAGAATTTAAAATAATATAGAATGATTCATATTCAGTAAGATTATCATCAAAAACAGCATCAAATTTTTTATCAACAACTAATAATTATTTTTGATCTGGATTTTAAAGTGATAACCAAACAGTATTAAATTAAAGAGTATATTTTTGATTATATTAATGGATAGCTGCACATAATTTTGAATATTAAGGATTCTGTATATACTATGAAAACTTTTCTAATCCTAATGTATTTTGTCCTCCCATTAATTCATTTAAACAATTCATCTTTATCATTATATTTTTGTTCACTAAAAACAAAAGCTTTTCTCTCAAATAAGGAGTTTGAACAAAACGATGTTTATCCATCAAAGCAGAAACCCTATATAAATACCTACAGAAATTTAGCTAAGCCAAAATAATGTAATCATTCTTCTTAGATTCATTCCAACAATCCTCCTCTCTCTGACTTGAATATTCTTATTGCATCTATTAACTGATTTAAGATTCCTTTCTTGATTCCTAGACTCTTTTGATTGATTTCAATGGTTATTACATTATTGATTATTATGATTATTTAATAATGACAGCATTCTCCTTTCCATAATTAGATTCTCTAGGTTAAAGTGATATAGATTATTTATTTTGAGTATCTCCTAAAGGTGTGGCAGCATTATTATTCTATTAAAGATGAGGATTATGTTGTTATTGATTACTCCTAAACATACTAGAGAATCCATTTCCTTTAATTGGTTAGAGTTCTTATTTTGACAACCATGCATGGCTTTCCAATTCCTCAACTGTAGCTCTTCTACTTTCATCTACTATCAAACATCTGTAAATAAAATCTTTGCATTCATCTGATATGTGACCTGGAAATTGTACTGGCACAGTGGCCATTCTTTAAGCTAATTCTCTTTCACTTCCTGCTTACCATGGGACTTACCCAAATAATAATTCATAGAGACTTACACCCAAAGCCCAAATGTCTGATTTCTCAGAGTATCTATTTTTGAATGCTTAGGGACTCATATATAAAGGTGATCCAACATTGACATTTGGCATTGTAGCTGCTGTCTGAGGAGTAGTAGCAAATCCAAAGTCTGCTATTTTTGGAATTGATCCTTTAAGTAGGATATTGGCTGGTTTGAGATCTCTATGTACAATACCTAATTAAATAGATTAATTCAGATACCCCTTTGTTTCATCTACTTGTAACCTTGGATGATACCATAGAATACTTTTTGCATGTTCTATTCTTTTTAAACTCCTGTTTTAGTTACCAATTATCCTAAGTCACCTGAGTCACAAAATTCAGTGATAAGATATGTATTATTTTCGGTGTAGTAAACCTTATATAATCTCATAATATTTTGGGAATTGAGTTGAGATAAAGCTTCAACTTCTGATCTCAGGAGTTGATAATGTAAAGGAGTTTTGAGTCCTTTTTTATCTATAACCTTTATGGCAACGACCTCGTGGGTTTCATCATTTCTTCCTTTGTATACAATGGAACTAAAGCCTTTTCCGATAGCATCTGATAAGGCATAACTGAAATTCTCTATAACTTTGCGTGCATTGCCTGGAATAGGTGTAGCAGGCATCTATCTTTATTGCTGTTAGACAAGCATAATAATTGTATATTTTTAATTTTTAATTTCAACGGTAAGTGAATAAATTAATTATTATCATGAAGGAAAAAATTCATTTCCTTTTATTTGTCAAATTGACTTTTTTTTATTTTTCTCTTTTAATCTCATCATAATCCAACAAGTCATCATCTTCCTTGATCAATTTCATATACATTTTAACTTTAGTCCCATTGACTTCTACATATTATTTATTCTGGAGTGGCTAAGATTGGGATGTTGATAATTTGCTTTGAGTTTATTAAGGTTGCAACAAAAATTAAGGAGGAATCATTGAAACATTCAAAGGTGAGACTGGAGACATCATTTACTATTAAGGTAACATTGGAGACATCTACATTTAAGGTATTTATTAAAACTATTGCTACATCATCCAATAATTCCAAGGTTAAGGTGTCCTTTAAAATTGCTATATATATTTACATCATAGGATAACAGAACTATTGTTAAAATGATTACTATTATTGCTGTTGTTATTTGCTTTTGATCATAGCTAAATAATCTTAATTTGGAAAACTCATTTATATAAAAATTATTTAATTTCAAATTTATTTTTATTTATGTCTCATGACACTAATCGCTTTTATTAAATAGAATGATTATATATTATAATTACATTTAAATTCTTATCTATGAATATAGAAAATAAATTATTATAATTGTATTCAAAATCATATTTAATAAATATTGTATATATTCAATATATTTTACAACATCATCTTATTATACATTCATCTACTAATTTTTAATTTGGTTCAATTGATGCTAAATTTCCTAAATTGCATTTATTCAATTCTGTACCATGTCCAACAGCAGATTCATTTGATAAAATACAATGTTAGATTAAACAACTATTTATATATATAAATAAATACTTAGAATTTATGACAACATTTTTCATAATAATGGAATTGCTGATTTTAACATGATCACCTATTGTACAATTTTTACCAATAATTGATCTTTATATAATTACCTTATTGCCAATTCTAGTTCCTTCTCCAATTACTGTGTCAGGACTAATACGAGCATCAGGAGGATATTAAATTTAGAAATCTTGGACTGATTAATAAAGAGGAATTCCTTTATTTCCCTTAATCATACTTTCATAATTGGCTTGTTGATAATCTTTAATATTATTTAATCTTCTTGCATAATCTTAAGTTATAAAAACTTTAATTGAAAATTATTATTATTTTCTTTCATGAAAGAGACCTTATTCCTTTTTGGTTATTAAATTAAGTAAATTCAAATTTTTTTGATGTTTAATAATATAGGGTAAGAATTCTTCTTTCCAATTTTATATATCTATTACTTACTTAATTAATTTTTGGTACAATTCTAGTACTTCATATTAACAAACATAAATATGAGTATCAAATAAATTTGTCATTATTTATATACTTTCACAACTCAATAAAACATTTCTACTAACTGAAAGATTATCTTAATCATCATCATCTGAATTAGAGATGTGTAATAAACTATAATCTGAACCAACAAACATAATATCGAAGGATTCATTTAAATTACAAGAAATAGGAGCTCTTCCTTACTTTTTATCTAGATCTTCTTCTTTAATCAAACATGTAATTGTTGCTTTTGTTGAATAATGAAAATCCAATAAATTTAAGATATTGGCACCAATCATACTATCACAAGACAGAAGTATGAAATCTTTCTTAATTTTTTCATGTGCTTCCAATAATGCAGATCCTGAATCTGAATTATCACTCACATAAAATATTTCTGCTCTTCTTTAAACTAAATCAGCCACAACTTAATGATTTTTAGTTATCAAAATTAAAATGTCTTATGGTATAAATCCAGCTGATTCTAATACATCTAATTAGTAGAGAATCATTGGTTTATTACAAATTGGCAATAGACTTTTAGAATAATCTTGACAGAGTGGAAATAACATATTTCCTGCTTGTTATCCACCTCCAAGAATTACAGCTTGATATTTTACTTGCATTAATTATTATTATTAAAGAAATATATATAATTAATCTATTTTATATCAAATGATTAATAACTTATTTGGGCAATTTCTCTACTTGCATTTTGCTAAATTTTATACTTTCGCATAAGAATTAGTACTTAAACATAAATCATACTATTTAATTAATTAAGAATATTACAGCTGCTTTACTTCTCTAGATTCCAGCAGGTGATAAATCATCCATAGCTGTCTAATAACAATTAGATATTTATTTCTTACTAGAATAAATGATTATATTCATTACCAAGTCTAATCTTTTCTACAAGCCTCTACTTCAACATTGCAATATTGATTTAAACAGTCACTGTGGGTTGTGGTTTCTTGAATGGAAAAGACCAATGAAATGATAGTAATGAACAATAAAAATTTGATCATTTCGTTATTTAAAAATAATAATATCTGAATAAAAACGTCTAGTATTATTCTGATCATGCAATAATTTTCTCTAAATTTTCAATATCAATATCTATGCCAATCAAATTGTTTTTTAGACAATGCCTTGCTTGACAGTCATTAATGGCTCTGGCATTTTAGTTGGTTCGCATACAATAATTAAACTAATTAAATCATTGAATAACTTATACATCATCTAATGCATGTTCAGTTCCTTTATAAGCTTTAGAATCCTAAGCTTTTTTAACATTCTTTCTAAAGTCATTAGAACATTTAGCTATATGTTATTGACAAGTTTAATCTCCCTTACATTATTTAATTTCATTAGAGCAGAATGCTTAAACACAATTAGCACCTGCATATGCTGTACATATGAATGTCACAATAAAGATAATGACCAAAAGTCTCATATTTAAAATTAATTAAATAATATTCTAGAGTAATTAGAATGATCATTAATATTTAAGTTCTCTATCATCACTCAGATTATTTACTAATTAAAATGATACGTATGTCATTGATATCATTAATAATAAATGCTTCCAAAGTTTATTAAGTTAAGAGCTAGTTTCTCCCTCTTGAACTTCAATTTCATTTCAAATCTATCTCCAGAAGTAGAAGAATTACGATCTCATGTCACTAAATTTGCAACAGAAGAAGTAGCACCATTAGCTGACAAAGCAGATTAAGAAGGCAAATTTCCACCACATCTATGGAGAAAGATGGGAGATTTAGGATTATTGGGAGCTACAGTAGATCGTAAGAGATAATTATGATTATGTTAGCTGCTTATGGTGGATCAGGATTATCATATTCAGCTCATTGTATGATATTGGAAGAAATCAGTAGAGCCTCTGGTGGTATTGGATTGAGTTATTCTGCTCATAGTGCTTTAAATGTTGCTTAACTTTAAAGACATGGAAATGAAGCATAAAAGAAGAAATATCTACCAAAATTATGTTCAGGAGAATGGGTTGGAGCATTGGCTATGAGTGAACCTAATGCTGGATCAGATGTTGTATCTATGAAGACTACAGCTAAAAAAGTTGGTGATAAATATATACTCAATGGAAGTAAAATGTGGATCACTAATGGACCTGTTGCAGATGTCATTGTTGTATATGCTAAAACAGAACCTGAAAAGAAATAGCATGGAATTACTGCTTTTATTGTAGAATCAGGAATGAAAGGATTTTCAAGAGGTAAAAAATTAGATAAAATTGGAATGAAATGTTCTGATACAGGACCTATTTATTTTGATAATGTCGAAGTTCCTGCAGAAAATGTACTTGGTGAAGTAAATAAAGGAGTTTATGTTTTAATGAGTGGATTAGATTATGAAAGATTAGTTTTGGCTGCTGGACCTGTAGGATTAATGCAAGCTGCATTTGATATTTCAAGAGAATATTGTAATACTAGATAATAGTTTGGAAAACCAATTGGGCAATTTTAATTAATGCAAGGAAAATTGGCTGAAATGTATACTACTTTATAAGCCAGCAGAGCTATGCTCTATTCAGTTTCTCGTGCTGTTGATTCAGGAAATATAACAAATACAGTAATATACTTATCTATTTTTTTAGGATTGTGCAGCATTAATTTATTATACTTCTGTTAATGCCACTTAAGTTGGATTAGAAGCTATTCAATGTTTAGGTGGAAATGGATATACTTAAGAATATCCAGTAGGAAGAATTATGAATGATGCTAAACTCTATGAAATAGGAGCAGGAACAACTGAAATTAGGAAATGGTTGATTGGTAGATAATTGACTTAATGATCTTAATATATAAAATTAAAAAGAATTTATTTTTTAATTTCTTATGCTAAGTTATTAAGATATATAATTATTATTAATGTATTCTATATTTAGATGGCTCATCCAATATCACAATATTTAGAAATTTCATCATAATAATAAATTAAAACATGTCAAACTATTAAGGATTACTATATTGTTATATATATATATAACAAATAACACTTGGAATAAATACCTCATTAACTTTCATTTGAGTTTTTTTGTATTGTAATGAGGCTTATTAAAATATTAAAGTAAAATATAGATTGTTAATTTAATATTTTAAATACGAATAGAGTTTTACAATATTATTGCTTTAGATATAGATCTAATTAAACAAAGAGACAGATTCAAAAAGAACTATAAAGTAATTAATTTAATTTTTAGTAAAGAAAGTTACTACATCCAGTAATAATCTTTATTTTATAATTAAATTATTATTTATTGCTTCAATCTCAGTTTTAATTAAATTTAATAAGTTTTTTTATTTTATTTTTCCAACCATTATTAAAATATCACTATAAAATTCTTTTGTTGATTACAAATTTTAGTATTGATGAAATTAAGAAATGGAATAATTATGATTAGAAATATAAATAAGATTTTATTTAATCTAATAATTGGTATACAATAGTCAGACAATCAAGAATATAATTTAATAGTAATAAAAAAAACATATTTTAATCATACAGCCTTTATTCTCTCTTCTTCTAATTATTAATTACTTCCATTGCTCTAATTTGTATCTATTATAAATATATTTAGATTACCATCTTTACTGGATCCACCATTCTATTCATTATTGTTATCAGAACTTCTTGTTCCATTACTCATTGTATTCTAATTAGTCTTATTGAACTTTTGAACCATGTCTATAAATAATAATGGAGATATATAAACTTTGTAATTAGTCATTAGGAGAAGTGTTTGTTAATCGAAATAACAATTAACTCATTAAATCACTATAGGTTTGACGCTTGCTCTTTATCATACTAAATTCCATAAATAAAGAGTGATAGGATTCAAGCAATGTGGATTATGTGTTTTGGAACTAATAGCATTACAAAATGATACCTATTCAACTTATTTACTAATGAAGTTTGATTCTATATTAATGTTTTGTATCTCTAATTTCAAGGAATTGTATTTTTCGAATAATTCATCTTGGATATGCTTCACTTTGTAATTTTTCAGTTTAATGGATTTTTCCTTTTTAGGTTTGATTCCTCCATTTCTTCTAGGTATATTGCTTAATAAATTTCTAGATTAATATAAATCAATTACTCCATATTTTTCCTGAAATAATAATGACTAAATTCATTTTGATTGTTAACATTGCGAATTTTCTTGAATCCATACATATTTAATTATCTTATAAAAGAACTGAAATTATGATGTTTAAAATGGGTTGGGAGGATCTCATTACTTAATTTAGTTTGATCTTTAACAACAAATGCATTGCCTTTATCAGTAAATCCAATAATATCTTCGTTTTGTGGATTCTAAAAGTTATTAAAATCAATTGAATATATTTAATAATTCGAGAATTTAATTCCTAAAATCATCAAAAATTTAGATGATCAATTTAGGAATATTCGTAGATGTATAAATTGTTAAATACCATTACGATATTGTAGGTTTTGAGTAAAAAGTTTGGCACCCCTTTTTTCATACTTTTTGTTTTCTTCTAAGACATTCTGAAGAGTTCCTAATATATATTTTGCAAATTAAAAAAATTATTAAAATATCTGATTATCTATGCGCCTTTTACTCATATTATTATACAATAATAAAACAATAAGTTAAATTTGTCAAAAGAGAACATAATATTCATGTTTTAAAACTATTTTAACTAAAGTAAATATCTGTTAATAAATAATTTCTAGATATTCAAATTTAGTTAGAAATGACTACATACGATAATGAAAATGCAATGGAAATCTATATAAACGATCTAGAAATCTAAAAAATGGCTGTAACTCCTAATTTTTATATAATCAAATCAATTACATTAACTAAATATTACTATTTATTATATTGATCAATTGGAATGGTTCTATTTCATTAAATGATACAAAAATATAAAAAATAACAATTATCATAATACCATTTATTCGAAATTTAATTCATTCTTTCTATTTTTAGTTTTACTATGAATTGGAAAAGTTTTAAAAGCTCTGAAGTAAATTTAGCCAGACCAAGCAATATTGTAAAGGTATTTTCAACATAGATTCATTTAAAAAATTCATATTATTAAAAAATGGGCTCATTGGATTAGATTTTGATTTATCTATAATTTTTATTAAGTGATTGAACTATGTTCTATTTAAATAATGACAGCGTCATCATCAATTTCTAATTATTGTCAATCTCTAAGTATCTAAGATAACATATTTAAAATGGATTATTCTATAAATCATTTTGAGTAATGTGTGATAATGCCATACTTAGTAATCTAATACAATTAGTTAAGCTACCATAAAATAAATAATTTATTATGTAATTATTGATGAGAATAGTTTCTTATTCAGTATCATTATTGGTATGTTATCAAATTTATAGAATTTAATGTTATCTTTGCCAATAAATTTAGAGTGTTATATGGTAGCAGAAAGATATGAAACATATTTATGATTATTATGTACTTTAATTAAACTCTTAACTCACACTATTATAAATATTGTATTTTCTAAATTAATCTAATTTTCAGTCTTTTATTTGATATTATGCATACCTTGATCTCTGAATAAATGATTTTTTTATTGAAACATATGATCTAAGTTGTAAATTAATGATCAATAGATTTGAAAAATAATATCGATCCATTATTTTTCTATAAGAGAGATATTGAATAGAAGGAAAGACTTTAATTATTGTATTGATTTACTTAATCAATCTATAATATATTATTAAGTAACTACTAGTGTATTAACTTAGATGATGTTGATATTAATAATTGAATAAGCATTGAAATTTGCTATATGATTTACTCTTATTATTGTTCGATTTATTTATTATTGATCTATAATTGATTGTAATTATAGTTGGAGCATTTGATAATGGTAACTTTTCCATTTTATAATTCAATTCATCCTTTTTTTTTCTCTTTTTTTTTAGTCGTGAAATTTCCATTTTCTAAAAAATATTTCTTTAAGAACATAATTTAATTTTTGGAAGTTTCCTAAATAACTTACTATTTGAATCAATCAATCAGATAATAATATTGTTTATTTGATAATTCTATTATTTCATCTTTTCATTATGTATTATTCTAGATTCACTAAGTGACTTTTTCAATTTCTATTGATTTTATTGAAAAATATTGATTAGAATTATAGTTTCTCTATTTTGACTGATAAGTATATAATCCTTATGATTTAGGGTCTTTTTTAATTAAAAGATTCTAAATAAAGAGTGTTTAAATGACTGTTAGAAATTATTATTTTTTAATTTTCTATTTATACTCTGTTTATTGTATATGACTTATTAATTATTCTTTATTCTACATTTATTTTTATGTGGATTCATTTATAAAATTAGTAAAACAATTTATATTATGTCATTAAATTGACACCATTTATCCATATATTAGAAATAATAAACCTTTGCAATATTGAATAATAAATTGTAGAATTATTAATTTAATTTTCTTATTAATCTTTAAATAAATAAGGAATAACTACAAGTTTATTTCTAAAAGTGTTCAAAATAAATAGTCTGAATTGTATTATTTATTCTAAATTAAATTATTGATGAATTTGATTAAGTTATCATTTTTATGTTTTACTAAAATGATATTGATTTTAAATGAAATCTAATTCTAAATATCTAAAGATTATTATATGCAGATATGAATGTATTCTATTTCTAATTTCATTTTCTTACAATCGTATTAATAATTTTTATATTATTAAAAAACACAAAATTTTAAATATTCACTCATTATAAATAGGATTCAAAACAATTTCATATAAGTAATGTCAATTTATCAAAATCATTTTTAAGAGAATTGAGTGTCTTTGATATTTTAAAATCAATCATTCTCAAATTTACAAAATAAAAAGTTAATTATAATATTCTTTTGTATAATTTATTTCACTTAATATTTATTTAAAATCAAAAGTATATTATATGTATTTATCCTATATTCCTCAAATATATTTATATAATTACTAATCCTTTAGGAGAATCATAATATGTGAAAGGAATATTATATTTGTTACTTACTTTGTAAAATTTTAAACATATTTTTAACATGATTTAGTTTTTTCTTAGATTATAGAAGAATCTGAATAATAAAAAGTCATTTTCCATAAGTATTTAATAAAGATTAATGGTATAATAGACACATAATTAATAAGGAAAGCAAATAGCAAAAACAGTAATATATAATCCACATGAAATATAAGTTACTTATTTTATGTTATTGATTCTAATTAACAGAAGAACAATAAAGTATTACCTATTTAGTCATTAATAATTTATCCCCACTTCCTTATATGTGAATTTAAGAATACGTTTTTAAATAGTTTTTGGATGAATTTGTATATATAAAATAATTAATATATTTTTAACTATTATATCATCTATTAGAAAGAATAGGTTAATTTTCCAATAAACTACGTGCAGATTAACATTATATTCGATATGTAAATATTTAATCTATATTAATTTAAATGTATTACCAGGTTCTTGACTCATTTAAGTTGTTTTTAATTCAGAAATTATTTTCTTATTCTGTTTCTTTAGATTCAGTTAAATTTTCTATTGAATTTCAGTCAGCATTAATTATTTATTTAAATAGGTCAATGATTTCTTATTTGTTGGAGTATTCACATTTCCCATTTTCAGTTATTTAATTAAAATCTAATGCAATTATTAAATTAATCATATAATTGATTCAATTGTAATTAATACACAATAATCAACACAAATTATACTTAAATTAATTAGATTAATAACCTTTAAGGATATCTATTTTTATAATAAATATTGAAATCTAATATTCTTATAAAGTCTAAATTATATAAAAAAATGATAATCTATTAATTATATATATCTATAAGATATTAACTAGTTGTAATAATTATTATATAATATGAAAATCACTTCAATTCAGGTTAAACTGATTTTAAGAAGGCTTCTAAATGTTATCCTTAATATTTGAGAAATTCAATTTCTTATTTCCTCTTTTATTCTTCAATTTAATTTCTTTCTTTAATCTTCTTATCTAAGGAATCTTTTTTATTAAGTAAATCAATCCTCTGAATTCTAATAAACATTCATACCTTTTCTTCTAATTTCTATTTCCTCTATTCTAATTAAACTATCTTTTCTTCTAATTCACTCTTCCCCATTTCAGCTTACAATTATTTTCTCATCCCAAATGTTACAGATGAATTATATAAAGTTTAATATGCAGCAATTGTCATTTTTAATTCATCTCTCACTCTCATTAATAATAATCCTATATTATAACTTAATAATAAATACCTCTCTCTGGACAATCTATTGTAACTTGTCTTATAATCTCATCAAAACATTAACTTAATAACTCTTCTCTTATAGGACAGATCCCAGTCTCTCTAAAATTATTTAATATATCCCATAACTACCTAGCTTATCTTGCCAATAATCTCTCATCCAATAATTTTTATAAGTTTCCAACATCTTCCCTTGTAGCTGGCACATGTGATACATATTATATATAATGTTTTCCATCATGATCCCATTCAATTGGAGGTAAAATGGCATTTAATATATCCTAATATTTCTCATTTTATTCCTTACTTCTGTATTAGGCTTTGATTCCAAAGGTGAAAGTTATGCTTTCTTTTTACCTTATAAAGTCCTTGAGGCATCATTGGCATTGCTCACTTCTATAGGATTTTCATATTTGACCAAAGACTCTCGAGGAGGTCTAACTTCTGTCATTTTATGATAATTATTTAAAATTATTATAAGAATTTTATAAATTGAAAAATAACTAAATGAATATCTATATATATTGTAAGTGGAAAATTTAAAAATATTATTCTCATTACTTAATTTTCTTTTTATAAATAAGAAACCTATTCTAAATATTATTTTATATCTATGTAGCTATAGAATCCATTTATATTAGTTTTTGATTAGAACTAAGTTCAGTTGCTTTTTTAGTATTCGAAGTAGATTTTTAATTTTTGCCATCTTTATTATTTTCGTTCGGTTAAGTTTGTAAAGGTTTTTATTCTATTTTGAATGATAATCTCCCTTATCTAGAGGGTATTTTTGAAACGGATGTATTATTTTACATACTAACACGTTCAGTGATAATAAACTTATTATATCCTTAAGGGTTGGCATTTTATCTTAGATTTTCGAATTAATCATTATTAGTTTTTTTAAAGAATTCTCCAATATGAACTTATCTTGTTTATTTAGAAAGTGGTTATTGATTACTAAGTGAAGGTTCACGTTTTTGAATGGGTTCTTGTGATCTAGTCTTGCTACGTCTAAGAAATAGGTATGAATATTTTATACATTTTTTTTGTGATTGAAATATTATTTTGATTTTCTTAATGAGTTTTTCTAGGAGATTAAGTAATATGTTCTTAAGTAACTTCATTTTGTTATTATTAATAAGGAGATTTACTTTTGAGTTTAATTTTAAATATTTATGGAGCATTTTCATTAAATGGGACCTATTAAATAATTTATTGTGTAATTTTATTGAAAGTTTATGATGAGAATTATGATTGTGATTAAGGATTTTTATTTTATAAAAGATAATATGTAGTTGTAATTTGATTATGCTTATTATTTTGAATCATTTCAATTATTTCAGATTGGTTGGCTAATCCAAATTGAACCATTTATTATATAATTTCATTATCAATCTTAAGAGACTGAGGAATAGAATATTTACCTGCAAATTTAATGAAATCATGATTCATTATTTCTTATAAAGTAATTCTTTATGTTGGATCTTTCATCAATAATTTTTTGAGTAAATCAGCAGCCTATAAACTAACATGTTTAGGTAAATGGAAATCTGAAGTTTTTATTTTTTCATATAATTTCTTGGTATTTTGATCTTCAAAAGGGACACATCTCAAATTAATTATAATGTAAATACCCACATAACATTGCATATAAAATGATTCCACTGGACCAAATATCTGTAAATAAGCCATCATATGAAAGTCCTTGTAACATTTCAGGAGCTGCATAACATGGACTACCACAAGGTGTTTTCAATTTCTATCCAGATTGATAAGTTGATGATAATCCAAAATCAACTACTTTTAATGTGCCTTCGTTGAGTAATACATTTTCTGGTTTTAAATCTCTATGAACAACTTGATGTTCATGAATATAAGTAACTGCATGTATTAATTATATGAATAGTCTAACAGCTTCTCGTTCTTCAAGACGTTTATTACTTACAATATGATCAAAGAGTTCTCCTCCACTAACATACTCAGTAACAATGTATAACTTAGTATCACTTTCGACAATCTACTATGCAAATGGCTTACTTCAAATAATTACACCACATTAGGATGTCTTAGTTTTCTTAGTATTGAAATTTCACGATGAATTCTAACATAATCTGATTCTTATTATTTTGTCTTGTCAATTATTTTTATAGCCACCTAAATTCAATTAAGTATACTATTATTACCTTCTCTCCTGTTAGTTTGTGAATCCCCAATTTAACCTTACTGAATGTTCCTTAACCTAAGTCTTTATCTATTGTATATGATTTCATTAATTTAATGATTGATATGAATAAATATACTAATTATTTGTTTTTTTGTATTGATCTTGTACTTCAAATTATATAAAACACATATCAAAAGTTCAGATACTTGTATACTAATGTTATTTAAGAAAATCAATATATATTCAAAATATTCAAAGAGAAAATATGTACTTAAACAATCCAAAGATTTTTTTCAATATTATATTGAATAAGTCCTAAATAGTCAAATTAAGTATTAATAGAATTTTAAGCCTTCTCTCATTTTTTAAATTTCAAATTTAACTTTCAAGTAATTAGATATAAATTTATAAATAGATATATGTGTCTCAAAATCTTAAGAATAAAATATAAATATGCAGAATCAAGAATGATAAATACAAAGATGGTCATATTATATTCAAAAAAATAAACAAAAAAATAAATTAAAAAAATGAGTATTAATTATATTATAAAATATATGGGTAATAATTGCACTGGCTAATGTGCAGGATGTTACAAAAGAGACATTGAAATATTAGTAAATATCTTCAATTCTATTCTAGAAAAGCGAACAACATTAAATATTATCAGAAAAACCTTAGGATTCACTAAGCAGAAAAAGTTCGAAAAATTTTGTAGAAGATGCTATCCCATTAAGTAGTAAAAGTGAAATTAATACTAAACCTATAACTAAAAGTGTTGTTGATATTGTTGGAGACAAATCAAAGAAAACAAGGGCTGTTATTAAAATTTAATCTTGTTGGAAGGGTTATTCAGTTAGAAAAAAGTTTCCATTTGTGAACCGCATCAAAACTAGCATTGAAACTGAAGGAAGTAAAACAGTAGGCAGTTACTTTGGAAGATTGAACAATGAATCAAAATTAAAAAAGTATAACTACACACAAAAATTTAAGATTAGCAAAAATGTATAATGGTTAATGGTTGGGAAAAGATAGACATGGAAAAGGTATCTAATCTTGGCCAGATGGAGCCCAATATGATGGTGAATGGGAACATAATAAAGCTCATGGAAGAGGAATATTTCGTCATGCAGATAAAATTGAATATGAAGGATAATGGAAATACAGTAAAGCATGTGGCTATGGAGTTATGAGATCTCCAAATGGAGCTTATTATGAAGGTGAATGGGAAAATGATCTTTAACATGGATATGGCAAAGAGAAGTGGGCTGATGGATCCTATTATGAAGGCCAATATTATAAAGGTTTAAAGCATGGAAAAGGGAAATATATATGGAAGGATAATAGTTATTATGAAGGAGAATGGTAGAATAATAAAATTCATGGATTAGGAGCTTATCATTGGATTGATGGTAGAGGTTATATAGGATAATGGAGAAATGGAATGATGAATGGACATGGAGAATATAGTTGGAGTGATGGTAGAAAGTATATTGGTGAATATCTAAATGATTAAAAGGATGGATATGGAGTATATAAATGGGTAGATGGCAAAGAATTTAGAGGATTGTGGTAGAAGGGAGTTTAACATGGAGAAGGGATTTATGTTACAGTTGATGGTAGAACTAAGAGAGGATTATGGCAAGAAGGCAAGTTAGTTTAATGGTTGAAATGATTGATTACTAAAAATTAATTTTATAATTTAACGTTTATGAATTTATATAGTGAGGAGTGTGTACCCTAAAATATGAGTCAAGATTTTATTAAGAGGAAATATAGAGGCAAAGAAAATATGTCATTGAATCGTAATTCAATTAAGATGAATTCTATCACTTAAGTCATTGAAAAATCACAATAATTCCAAAATCTAAAATTAACCATTGGAGAATATTGGGGATAAGTCAAATTAAATAGAGCCAATGGGATAGGATCATGTCATTTTAATACAGGAGGATTTTATTATGGAGAATGGAAAAACAATATAATACATGGTATAGGAATATACTTCTTTAATGTTGGTGGATATATAAAGGGTGAGTTTTAAGATGGAAAGGCAGAAGGAAATTGTGAGTTATGTTATCAAAATGGATAATTATATTAGGGAACTTTTAAATAAGGAAAATAATAAGGTTTAGGAGTTAAGACTAGCAGAAGAGGAAAAGAAGTTATTTAGTATAAAGATGGAATTCGTATAAATGTTAATGAAGAACATTCATAAAAGGAGAGTATTAATTAATTATTGAAAATCTAATTACCATAAATATATATTCATCAAGATAGAACAGTTTATGGATTATAATGTGATTTAACAGGTTTAGGTGTCATTCAGTATAAAAATGGTAGAGTAGATATGGGATAATTTTAGAATGGTTTCTTAAATGGAAAAGGAAGAATTATATTTAAAAGTGGGGATATTTATGATGGATAATTGAAAAATGGATAATTTTAAGGATAAGGTAAATTAATTATATAAATTTAAAGGGTTTTACTTAAATTACAATTCCAAATAGATGACAGAGGGTATTTTCGAAAAGAATTAAATTGTCTCAATAGAAAATTAAATTATTTAATATCCTCCAAAAGGAGATGATGAATAATTTGTTGTTGATAAAAGAATTAACATTAAAAATTTACATCTCAAGAGTAGAGGATATAATAATATTAATTCTTAATATAATTCCGAGAAAAAACCAAATAAAGTAAATAAGATTTAAAATTTAATTTAACATATGCTTAATCCAATAAAAAATAGTCTTAAAAGTGAAAGTGTATAAAATGAAGAAGTCTTAGATAATTTATTATCTAGAGTATAATCACCATAATAAAGAAAGAATCTAGAATAAATAATTAATTAAGTAACATCACCATAAAGAATAAGATGATTTCATTAATTTATTTTATATAATTTGATTATTACTAATTTAAGAAATCATAAATATAAATATTCACATTTTATCAAAAAACTATTTAATTTTCTACTTTTTAAGATTCGTAATAGATTATTAAAGATTTTTAGTTTTCAAACTCTTTTGTTTTTTCTATTTACCATCATCATCATCATCATTTTCATCATTATCATCTGAATCATCAGAATCATTATCAGATTCTCCTTCCATATCTATTTCCTTTTAAGTTTATTTATTTGTATATTCAAATTCTGTTTCATTTACTTAAACTTTTGCTGATTTTCTCTTATTGACAAAATCTGCAATATCATAAAATTTAATTGAACTATCATGTGACAATGAAGCTGCAATTTTTTATGTTCTATCAACAACTATTTTAGTAATAGGGAAATAAGAATTATCTTCATGTTAACCTAATATTCCTGTTATCATATTTGGGAAAACAGAAACTCCTCTTACTAAACCATCTTCACCACCTGTAATTATTGAATGTTCATCTATTTTACACTAATTGATATAATATTATAATTTACAATTGAATCAATAGAATTAGGATGACCAATTATTCTATCTTTAAAATCTCCAAAATAATCCCATTTAAATAATAATAAATTACCTTCACTTGTTGATATACAAACAAATTAACCATTTTTGACCAAACAAATATCTGTTAATTCCTCTTCCATACAATCACTTTTTGCATATAAACATTTTTCATTTGTACTTTAGAATCTTAAATCATGAACACTTAAATAACCATCTAAACTTGATGAAAGCAATAAATTATTTGATGAATCTATTTCAATTCCAGAAATAGCTTCTTCAGCTTCCTTTACTTTAAATACACATTTATTTTATCTTAAATCCCATATTTTAATATTTCCTGTATCATCACCTGTAGCTATAATACTATCATTCAATTATTTAAGGGCATTTATAGCATGTCTATTTAAATAGATTATTATTATACTTATGAGCTTTGAGTTGATGTAATACCATTTTACCATTATTATCTAAGATAGCAAATGAACAATCTTTGCTTGCTGTTATTAAGTGTTAACCATCTCTAAAGAATTAACTAATTCTTGCAGATTATTAATGATGTGTAAAGGCTGCTATTTCTACTACATCATCAGATGAATATTTCAATCTTAAATTGTGGATAAAAATGATTACATATTCACAACTCCTGAAACCTATGCACAACATACAACATCTTAAAAAGGGTGAAAATTTAAGTCAAATAAATGATCTTTAGCAAAATAGAGAGGTGGTTCAATTACAATTTCTTATTGTTATTAAATCATGGTAATAAATTATCTTATTTTATTTAATATTTACAATACATTTATATTGTTGATTAATGTATTCATATCACCAAGTATATTCTGTTCTGAAATCGACCATTTTGCTACGGTCACTACTTGGATATGATACTTATGAAACTGTAATCAATCTCTTTATTGCTTATATATATTTTCTCTAAGTTTCATCATTTAAGATGTGAGCTATTTGTGAACTTGAAATCTTTGATCTTCCAGTCCTTTCATGTATACCAACCATAGTTACACC